GTAGCTCTCTGGAGCCTTGGTCTTCTGCGGCTACAGGGAAGTGCCTGGGGGCTACAGAGCCACATGTGGCAGGAGTCATCAGCCTCTGAGAAAAAAAGTCCTTACAGTGCGGGATGCTTGTCTGAAAGTGGGATTCAGCAGGTGCTAACTCAAACTGGTCTTCTGTCCTACTTCGGCGTGGAGTGTTTCCCAAAGCGGTCAGGCGCCTCCTAGAATGGGGAGTTTGCCTCAGTGAAAGACTGTTCAGGGGCCTCAGAATAGTCAAGCAGGGTGACTCTTGGTACAGGTGACATCTTCTTCCCTACAGACCAAGTTTCTCATTGGGTACAGGAAATTCCTCAAAGATGCCATACTTGGTGTAAGAGTGAGACACTGAGGCTGGTATGTGGTACCCACTTCAGACACATTGTGGCATTCGCAGATCACGTCCACCTTGCTTGGGACTTTACCTGGACCCCAGCCTTTTTTTGAGGGCAGAGAGGACACCTAGGCTAACACTGAGAACACATTCTGCCTTGTAATCGCCAGGGTCCCATGGCAGCTGCCAGATCTCTCTGGCTCAGTTAGAAATAGGAGAGGCCCCCTGAAGTGATATTACTCTTTGTAGAGTTATGTGCCGTTTGCCACCCAATCCAGCCCTAGGGAGACAAGGGAAGGGTAGAGGGGAGCCACCTGGAGAAGGAACTGATTATATGGGGGAAGCAGCCATGTACTCTGAGTCTTAGGAGAGCTAGGGCTGTATTTGTCCTGTTCCCCGCTGAGGCCAGCCCAGATCCCACCTGTGTATTGAGTAATAAACAAGGAAACAAAATAGATCCAGTGTGGTGAGTCAGATGCTGTGCCTGGCCCAGGAAAACATGGTCTCAGTGCTGTGAGCACTCAGAGGACTATGGGAGCAATGGATTGGCACTTCTGCCTGCCTATATGGCACCCTTGTACAAAGTAGAAAGAGGCTCCCCTCCTGGTGGATGAATTTCTAGGCTGATGCAGCCCTGTGTCCTTCTACAGTGTCCAGTCTGTGCACCATATACCCAACCATCTGTCTGAGTGGGCTTTTGCAGCATATAGGGAGGGGTGTTTTGTCAGAGTCAGGTAGGCCAAACCCCAGGTAGAGAAAATCAGGCCAGCAAAAGTGTGCAGGAAGAACTGTGGTGGAGGTGGGTCTTTAGGGTCTTGTGCCTGAGGAGCCTAGCTTGTAGGAGGGGATGGAGTCGGGATGGAGTCTGGATGGGAGGGGATTTTAGAGAAAAGGGTTTTACTTAGGGGGGCAGAGGAGCCCTCGATTTAGCTGCAGTGGCCAGGCTGAGCCAGAAGGAGGAGGGTGGAGGCTGGGAGAGCAGTGGGAGGCTGTTGTGATGTTATGGATGAGAATAACTGTGGCCAAAGGATGGCCCAGTTGAGGCTGGGTTCCAGGAAGAGGAAGGTAGGAGGCCCTAGCTGTGACCCTTAGGGGAATGGGGGCTGGCCCTGGTGGCAGAGATTGGTGTGGCAGCAACCTGGCTGCAGGTATCCAGGGCAGGTGCAGACTTGCACAGCCTAGCTCAGCCCAGCCCCATCAGATTCTCCCCACACCGCTGCTCCCATTAGGGTGGAGGACTGGTGTGAGGTCTGGGGCCATCCCAGGGGGCCCAAGAAGGCAGCCAGGGCCCTGACAGATGGTGGGGCACCAGGCAGCACATCTGAGGGCATGCCTCACAAGATAAGGCCTGGATTTGCACATGGTGCACCACTGTGTGGGAGAATTCGTACCTCAGTGTCTTCTCTCCCTCGCTGGCCCGTGGTAGGATACAGGGGTGCTCCCAGTGAGAGCACACTGACACCAGGGGGTGGCAGAACCCAGCCATTCTGCTCTCTGGCAGGTTTTCTGTCCCTTGTGATTACAGGGGCTCTTGGGTTGACCTTCAGAAGGCCGAACTTGGCTCAGCTACAGTCCCAGATGGGACCCAGGACTGTCCCCCACACACAACATGCAGGATAAGTGAGCATGAGGAGTTTGCAAAAAGAGGCCGAAGTTACAGGCATTGGTGTAACAGAAGCTGCAGTGTGTAACTAGCCAGTGCCTGGCATGTAGTAGGCACTCAGATATTCGTTGAATGAAGTACTTTTGGGGGGGAGCAGTGTTTTCATGGGGGAAGTGTTGTTGCAAACATGCTGACTTGACTGCTGTTGCCCTGAGCACCCATCACATGTCCAGTACCATGTTCTACAGTTCCCCAAGCTTTCCTTTAATCTTACCCACAACATTGTGGTGCTGTTATCCCCATTTAATAGACGTGGCACAAAGACACAAGGAGGTTCAGTGGTGAAGCAACTCCTGAGAGCTGTGAGTCAGACCACATGCTCAGACTCCAGGCCAAGAAGGGACCCGGAGGATCAGGCAGGATCAGGCAGGGCCTGAGGCTAAGTCAGTGGGCACAGACAAAGGAGCAGTCCTTGGACGGGGAGAGTTTAAAGAGAAGACAGGTGTAAAGAGCAAAGAGCAGGGGCTGGCACATAGGAAAGGGCTCACTGAATGTTAGCTAAAGTTATAACACCTTGAGCTAAGCCTTCCTCAAAGGAGGTACAGGATTCTGACGTGCAGAAAGTGGGTAGGGAAAGAAAAGGCGTTCCAGGCAGAGGGATCCGTGTGAGAAAAGATTGGGAAGATGAATCAATGAGAGTTAGGGACAGACTCTGCTCAGCCAGCGGGGTCTCCAGGGCTGGCCTCTGCGGGCACTAGAAGGCCAGGCCAGGCAGCACAGGCTTCATTCTGTGTGGTAGATGCATCAAGGACATATGGCCCAAACTGGGCATGTGGATGGCCAAGGTGACACTGTCCCTACACTACTCCAGCCGCATGCATCTCCTGGTGGCACACGTGCCACTGAACTACAGTCTTTTGCCTCCTCTACTAGCCCTATGATCTCCTTGAGGGCAGAGCCAGGGTGTCTCCTCCCCGCGCCCAAGCCAGGGCCGGTACACAGTGTGCATCAGTGTTGATTGCATAAATGAATGATATGAAGAATTCCCTGAGAACAATTTATCTTAATAATGAGGTGTTTTCTCACTACAAGTCCATTGGCTGACAACAGACCTTGAGTGTTCTCCTACTGGGTGCCAGGCTCTATGCCTAGCTGGGGGATATCACCAATATGGTAGAAGCTGTAGGGGAAAGCAGGTGTGAACTCCTTGCAGGCAGAGCCAGATCAGCCTTCAGTGGAGAACCCGGAACAGAAGCGGGTGCTCCAGAAGTGTTTGTTGAATTAACGAGTGAGTGAATGACCACACTGGCAGCTGTGGTGTGACTGGTTTCACAGAAGATAGTCTTCTCTGAGGATGAGATTCTGTTGTTTCCTTAGAGCTCCAAATTTCCAGTCTCCCAGTAGGCTGGGAACTCCGGCCAAGCAGAGCTGAAAGGAGGCCCTAGTCAAGGTCCTCAGCTCACTGGATGATCTGGTGTGATGGCCCCACTCCTGCGTTGGCCTGGCCAGAGTCCCCACTAACCGCCCATTGGGCCCCAGGAGGGGAGCATTGTTAGTGAGATGCTACTTTGGGCCCTTGGGGTTGGCCTTCAGGTGAGGCCCAGGGGTGGTCCCACATAATTGCTCAGCTGCTCCAGGAGCCCATAGTTGGTGTGGTCATTCTCAGACCCAGTTACTTTGTGTGGCTCCTGACTTGTGTGAGGCTTGGGATCTGTGACAGGCAGAAGTAGGAGGATGGGAAATGGGCTTGGACAGATTCTGAGCCAAGCTGAGCTATCTGTTCAGAAGCCCAATCTGTAATCTCAGAGCCTGAAAGATTTCAAATCCCAAGAAGTCCCATCTGTGCCTGCTTACGAGCTCTTCCTGGAGAACTTTGCTCTCCCGACAGCTACTCCAGGGAGTAGGGGTGCTTGGGGGTGTCCATGGAGAGTTGGGGGTGATGAGCTTCTGATTTGTCATCTGCTCATTCAGGCCTGCATTCTGAGGTAACTGTCTCCTGGAGCTTTAGAATAGGAAGCCAGGCCTGGATGGTGCCAGTGAGGTAACAGTCAGCATCTGTTCCCAGACCCTGGGGTAAGCAAATCTGGGTTGGCACCTGTTAGGGCCAGGAGCAGACCTAGTGATTGATGGCTATTGGAGGAATGGAGAGAGAGGACAGGCAGGCCCAGGTTGAGTGGGCAGCTCTGAGACAGAGCCCACTAATCAACACCGGCAACACTGCCCTACTCCCAGGGTACCACAGCTTGACCTACCAGCACGGGAGGTAGATAATCAGGGACTGAGCAGGACTTGTCCTGCTGCAGAGCCCTGTTTTTACCACTAGTGTGTTTTCCCTGTTTGTTTGTTTCTCTAGATTGTTCTGGTGGCTGAAGAGTCCCCAGTGGGGTTCCTCCTGACCACTCACCCTTGCCCCAGCCTTGGCTATAAACCATTCTGGGCACTGACTGTAGGTCCTGCCACATAGACAGGAGGGCTACTGGGAGGGACAGTAAGGTCAGCCAGAGAATAGACAGCAAGGCCAACTGGAGGCCACACAGCAAGGACAGAAACGGGGATGGGAAGGTAGCCAGAGCTGGGACAAAGAGGGCAGCAAGATGGGATGTGGGCCCGCCAGTGAGATGGGACAGGGAGGTTGGCCAGAGGCTGATGGTGAGGCCCTAGAGACCAATAAGAGGAAAGCAGGTATCAGCATGGAGAAGGGGGCCTCAGGGAGGACCCATCTAGGCCTGCAGTGACCCCTTGACTTTGTTTGCTTAATTTATTTAATTTATTTATTTTTGGCTGCGTAGGGCCTTCCTTGCTGCGCAGGCTTTCTCTAGTTGTGGAGAGTGGCGGGCTACTCTTCGTTGCAGTGCGCGGGCTTCTCATTGTGGTGGCTTCTCTTGTTGCAGAGCAGGGGCTCTAGGCATGCGGGCTTCAGTAGTTGTGGCCCACGGGCTCTAGAGCGCAGGCTCACTAGTTGTGGCGCATGGGCTTAGTTGTTTCGCGGCATGTGGGATCTTCCCGGACCAGGGATTGAACCCGTGACCCCTGCACTGGCAGATGGATTCTTAACCACTGCACCACCAGGGAAGTCCCCCTCTTGACTTTGGAAGGAGCAGTGTTTCTGGCCCTTCTTCTGTGTCCCCTAGCTGCATGAAGCCACCTAGACCTCAGGACCCTGCTTAATGGTGGAGAATGTACCTTCGTGCAGATGGATTGGATGTGCTTCTCTGGGGGACACCTTCGACTCACCCATACTCAGCCCCCACCCAGCCTGCAGGCTGCCTCCGCCTCAGCCTGCCTCTGCCTGGGGTGGTGGAGAGAAAGGGAGGGTGGCCTTCCCCTGGCCAGTGGGCTGTTGGGAGATTTGGGTACATGTGTCCCTGATCTCCTTGCCACAGGTCAGACAGCAGGGAAAGCTGTGACCTGTGAAGACCCCTTTTCCATCTGGACTGACGTTTCTTTTCTTTCTCCTCTACCTCCTGCTTTTCCTCCCTGGGGCAGCCCCATGAACCCTCCCAGAGACATGCCTGGCCTCTGGGCTTCATGGGCATACTGTGTGGCCCCAGCTGACAGTAGGAGGACCTGAGGAGGGAGGCAGCAGTGCACGGTCATCAAAGATGGGCATTTTCTCTGGGCTGAGAGGCTGACAGGGCCTGTTTCCTTTGGATTGCAGATCTGTGGAGCATCTCCAAACCCTCCTATTGGTTCAGAATCAGCTCCCGGGTGGTTTTGTCCTAGATTTCCTCTCAGGCCAAATGATCATACGTGTGATTGAGATCTTGCTGTGTCATTGTCTCCTGTTAATGGGAGTCTGAGTAGCAGCCATGCTTCATAGGTTATAAGCTTTGTGCTGTACACATAGATTAGCCTCACCTGTGTTTGTCCTGTCTCTGGGAGAATAGTGCCTAGAGTGTGCACTATTTTGTGCCTGGTTTCTTCACTCAGTATCATCCACAGTGCTATGTGTAATGAGGAAATTTGCAACAATACATTCCAAAAAAATGTGGAAAATGAAGGCAACACTGTTGAGTTGTTCAAGTCAAATGACTCTCCTTTATTCTGAGATCATGTTCTTCCATCTATCTTGCAATAAAATATGCTGGCAGTTTGGTTGGGTTTTGTTTTGTTATTGATACATTTGTTTAAAAAATAAGTAGATAGATATAGATACAGACATTTGTATATTTGTGCCATGGTTAATGGACAGCTCCTCGTGACCCTAGGGTGTCAGAAGAGCAGCATTTCTGGCCTCTGAAAGTCTGAACAAGATTGAAGTCTGACCTTGTCGTGGAGCCTCTGTGGTGGATGGAGTCCAAGCTCTGGAGCGTGATTGTGCACATTGGGCTCTGGGTCACAAACCCCACCCACAGCTCGGGGGCCACCTGTGGCAGCAACACTCTGGGCAGCAGGCAGAGAGTACATGTGACCTCCATTCTTCAAAGTCCTGTCAGTGCCCTGCAAGGGCTTTTGTTTACTGTCACATTTTTCTTCCCCTTTCTTTGTCCACATTTACCATCAACACCATGAGAATTGCTGGAAGTTCCCTCATTAAAAAAGGTGGCTACCTGAGGCCCAGTCATTACTATTTCTGAGAAGGACAAAACAACAGAGCCTCAGAATGGGCCGATCCCATTTCTTGGTCCCGTCCACCCTGACCTGACGCAGTGCTTTCTTTCCGCAGCGGCCGCAGAGGCCTCCCTCCAGCTCCCTCTGGAAAGGTGGTGGGTTCAGTGAGAATCCAAGTGATGGGTGCTCTCAGTGGGTCGGTGTGAACAACGTCCAGCAACCTTCCTGGGCCAGCCAGGGCCTCGTTTTGCTTTGGTCTGAAAGAGATTTTTGTTTTCCGGTGAGAACAGCCCCAGCCTGGCTGGGTGCCAGAGGCAGCGGCAGGAATACAAACACTTTCATGTGACAGACCCGGGTGGAGAGGTGTGGGCCTGCCAGCAGTGGGCCCTCCCCTGCCGCTGCTCCTTGGGAGGCGGTGATTTGCATATTCCCCATTCATCTTGGCCTTGAAAAGGAGGCCTGCGTTCTCAGTCCTCCGGACCAGCTGAGGGCTGGGCTGCTTGAGCCTGGTTTTAACTCTGTGGATGCCACCGGCTCTCACCGGTCAACAGCAGGCCTTGGCGGCTGGAGGGTGGTGAAAGGCAGCAGCTGCTGTGTGGCCCTGGCCTCCAGAGGGATGACTGAGGAGGTGGCAGGGTCCCACTGAGCAGCACAGGCTTCTGCTGAGCGGAGTGAGGCTCAGATTTGTTTCTCCTTGTGCCATTCAGAAGAGGAACTTTGTCAAAGTATGAGGAAGCCAGAAAATTAAGGTGTTTATCAGAGTCCCAGAAAATTTGCCTTTAACCAAAAGCAAAACTCCCTTTTCTCTGCTCATTGTCATTCCTGCAAAATAACAGTGACCCCTGGAATGGTGGGTATAGGCGCCTTATTGGCTCCTGGCTGCAGCAGGGGTCCCTTTGGCTGGGATCTGGAAGGACAGCTTGCCTGGGACACTTTGGCATCCTAAAACCCCAAGGTGCTAGGTCAGGTGAGCGGATGGGTCCTGTTAGCTTGTGGCTGGGACTTCAAAAGCATGAGGCTATATATAGTACAAATCACCATCTTTTTCCCTCTGCAGCTAAATGCCATCTTCCCAGCCTCGCTGCCTCCTTCCCAGGAGCCCCAGCATCTAGTAGGCTCTTTCTAGGACTCTGTCCCCTTCTCAGAACTCTCCTTCCCGCCCTGTTCCTGATCTCCTTGCTCCCCGTTCCTGACTGAGGATATGTCTTAGGTTCTGTCTTGTGAATCTCCCCTCCCCCTGCCCCAGCAGGTTGTCCCCAGTTGCTCCTGAGGGAACAAGTGGGCAAAAGCAAATCCCTCTGTTGCTCTCCCCACCTCAACGACCCGAACCGCATCTCAACAGAGCCCTCCTCCCTCCTGCAAGGTGCTTCCCCCTCGCTGGAGGTGGTTACATCCTGTTTCCCCTGTACCCTGGCCACCTGCAGTTGAGCTCTGACAGCATGGCCCTGCCTGGAGCAGCCCATGTTCTCTTTCTGAGCTTGAGCCTGTAGGGTTTGCATTGTGTCCTCAGTTTGGGCCAGTGATGGAAATGAATCACTGCTCCTGAGGCCAGGACACTGGTTGCCCTAACCTAGACGGGCTGGGAGGGGAAAGGATCATGTTGCAGCCACAGGATTTGGCTTCCTGCACAGTGGGGCCTGGCCAGGGGGTGTCCTCTGCTTGTGTAGCGCTCATTGGCCCTTGCCACTGTCCCTAGGGTTCTGCCTGCCATCCCAGGGCTTGGTGTGGCAGGAAGGACGATGAGGCCAAGGCTCATCCACACCGTCAGCCCTAGTCTTCGTCCCCTGGAAATATTTCTAAAGGGAGCGTTGCCACTGTCATAACCTCTGCTGTCCCTCCTCGTTCTGAGAATTTTGTCAGGCCTGATTCGTGGTAAGGACAACTTTTATCTCAGAGCTCGTGAAAGACACTGTTTCTCTTTGCTCCTCTGCTCTCAAGGCTATTTGTATTTTTAAGTGTCTGAAAGTATTGTTTGAGCCTGGCTTCCTGGTGGTGTTGTCAGGACTGTGGGCCCACGTTCCCTGACCAGGGCTTAGGGTGAGTGAGATTCTTAAGAGGTGCTGGCCTGAGGATGGGGGCGGAGGGTGCTGGGGGCTGCTTCCCACCCCCAGTGAATTGCTGGAGGGGAGGCATGTTCACGGTGGGGTCGGGCTATTGAGACAGGGGCCCTGTGCAGTGGTCAGGCACAGCCAACTTTAGTTAGGCCTTTCTACATTCAAGAGGCTTAAGTAAACCTTCAGAGCTATAATCAGGCTCCTCAGGGAGGTTCGGCAGGCGAGCCACCCTGTAACCCAGCAACCCTGAATCCTGGGCCCGCCTCTCTTGGGGGAACATGGGGTGGGTCTCACCTGGCAATTCCCAGCTCGGGGATGCCCTTGACCCCATGTCTGCCCCAGTCGTCTGTGGTTCTGTGACTCTAATTAAAACCCAGGAGGAAGGTGGAGAGAAAGCCCCTCTCACAGCACAGACAAGCGTGAATCCCTGTGTGGATGGGGTGGGGGCCAGCTGAGTGTGGGCTGCTGTGTTTGTGTCTCTACAGATCAGGGTCACACAGGTGTGATGGTGAGATTTGTGCTTTTCTTAACCTAGTACCTGGGCCACACACTTCCTGGGGCAGCACTGCTGGGCCGTAACTCTCTGCCTCTGGCACCCTGTGTGGTTTTCCGTCAGCCAGGACCTTGGTTGTGTCTACTGGATTTTCTGCCCCAGAAGCTGCCCTGAGAAGCATTAAAGGAGGCTTTCGTCTTAGTTAACAACATCTCTGAAAGTGTACAGAGAAAAGTAAAGGTCCTGCCAAGAAGGAAGGAAAAGGGGCTTTGGGGGCTGAGGGTTGGTCCTCAGGCATTTGTGCATTTTAAAGCTTCCTCCAGGTGTGTTGCCAGAGGCTGGGGCCTGGGGGCCCAGGCAAGCTTTTGCCAAGTTCCAGGTTAGTGCTGCTGAGGCAGGAAGCTCTCTGCGCGGCCCACCTGCCCCAGATGGTGGGGTGAGCAGTGGAAGCCCTATCAGCCCCAGGGAAGGTGTTGCAAGGCCTGCGGGCTCTAGAGTTTCCAGGCAGGTTATGAACACAGCTCTCGAGAGGGAGCTCAGAGTGCTGGGCCGCGACCTGGGGCGGTCTTGCTGCAGAGGAGGCGGATGGTGTTGGGCAGACAGCAGCCCTGTCCTGGAAGACTTGGAAGCACCGGTTGTGAGTAGGGCCTGGGAGTGGTGAGCTGGGTCCTGCGGGCTGGACCTGCCTTTTACTCTCCACAGCGGCTACCATGTGCCTGCTGTGAGCCCAGCCACACCCTGGCCTTGGAAGTAGGAGTCAAAAAAGGCCGTACGCAATCACCGCCCCAACTCCTCACCCAGTGGAGAAATCTTGCAGGAGTGAGGCCCTGGGTGTCCTGGGACCTCACTGTCCCAGTCTGTCTGCCAGAGGCGTTGAGGGAGTTTGGGGCTCAGCTTTGGTTCCAGCAGGCCTGGGTGTGGATTCTGGCTCCAGGATGGCCATCCCCCTGGCAAGCCAGGAAAGCGTCTCTCAGGGCAGGCTTTAAGGAGGGGCTGGTGTGCTGCCCTGGGGTCTGTGGGGGAGCTAAGCCATTATCTTCTACCTGCTGACCTTGGTGCTTGGTCTGGAGTGTCCCCACTGCCCAGAGCATCTCTGAGCAGATGTTTTATCTGGGACTGTGCCTAATCTCCTTCCTCTCCCCGAGTAGACTGGTTGTGACCTTGTGGGGTTGGGGGGTGGAGACAGCCCCTGGAAGGTGCTGGAGGAGATTCCTGGGCAACGGTGCAGGCCGCCCTGGGCACCAGGGATCTGGCCTCTCCACGCCCACTTCCACCATTCCCACCACCCCTACCGCTGTGCGGCCTGCAGGTCCCCAGCCCACGGCTGAGGGCCTGGCCCTTAATCAGTGCCACAGATAGTTGTGTAAGAAGACTTTGTCCTTAGGCAACCCTTCTGACGAATTCCTCTCCAGGACTGAAGACAGGGTAGGGGTGGGGAGAAGCAGAGGGGTGTGAACTGAGGCTCTTGCAACCTGGCAGAGTTGGGGTTAAGGCTGGGTTGCTTGCCTCTGAGCTGATCTGAGCCAGCACTACCCCGTGTGCAGATGCAGGGGAGGGGCAGCGGGGGGCCTGGAGGGGCCAGTGGCTCCCCATAGAGCTGTTCTGTGCCCGGGTCCCTGCCAGACCTGCTGCCACAGCTGCCAGGGAGCCTCTGCCACCACTGCTAGAGCCTCTGCCACCAGCTGGCTTCTCAGAGCAGGCATTTGTTGCCATCGGCTGACCCCAGGAGGGCAGACCTGGGGCAGGGCCTTCCACTTTTGAGCTTTGATCAAGATGTGGTAAGCTCTCTCCCTAAACCCCACGCATCCTTCATAAAGGGAGGCTGGTACTAGTGGGACCAGCTCAGCTGCCTCCCCAGTGCCAGGAGCCTGCTGGAAAGGTAGGATGTGAATGCATGTGATTTTGCAAGCTGTCTTTGAGCCCTTTTGGCTGGCAGAGACAGAGTAACTGCTTCAGCTAACTTCTGTCTACTGAATGTCTCCCTTACTGCATGCCTGGTACCTTATTCTCTGTCCATGAGATTTTTGATATGAGGCTAGAGGGGTAAAGTGACTTGTCCAAGGTCATACAGCTGTCAAGAGTATGAGTCAGGATTTGGACCTGGGTCAGTCCAGCACAAGAACTTCCCTTTGGGCCCTTTCCCTGACTTGTTTGCTGGGGACCCTGGCCCCTGGGAGGTTATGATTTCATTTCAGAGCTCTTCACTGGGAGTTAAGGAGGTTCTTTAATGATCTGCTGGCTTGCCTTGTGCTTCCCCATTTCTGAAGCCCTCAGAAGTTTGCACAGACCCGGAACCCCATTGCAAGGACCCCCACCTGCCTCCAGGCTGATACAGAGCGAAGCTGGTGTGATTCTAAGGGGAGGGAAGAATCTGAGGATCATGGAGGGTCTCAGTGCCAGCATTATGAGTTTGAATTTTTGTCCTAAGGTAGGAGGGAGCCAGGTAAGGTTTTTGAGCTGCGGCATGATATGGTTATGTCTGTGTATCAGGAACATAACTTTGGTATCAGTGTAAACACTGGTTACAGCAAGGAGACCTGTGAGGAGATTGGTGTGGGAGTCTGGACAGCACTTGGTGGTGGCTGGACCAGGCCAGGCCAGGAGGCTGGAGAGGAGTGGTCACGTTTGGGAGGTGTTTAGGAAGTAGTCCTGATAGAACCATCTTGCTAGATCGTGAAGGTCTAGAGTCAGGAAGCTGGACCAGCAGAGGGCTCTTGGAGTGGAGCCATGGGTCTCAGGGCCATCTCCACTGGAAATGTGCCCTGTGGCTCTGCTTCTGCCCCCTTGAAGTCAAAATACTTCTGACCAGGGCCCCCTTCCTCCCATTCTCTCCCTTCTTGGGTTTTGACAGCTATGCCTCTCACTACCCACCTTCCATGTGCCCTGAACCAGCCTGTGCCACCACTTGGTATTCTGAACTGGTCTATGCCCAAGGCGAAGGCATAGGATGTGCTAGAGGAGAAGAGGCTAGTTGATGCTGAGGGCTGGGTACCCCTGCCAGGTGAATATTTACAAACACTCATAGCCGCTTTCTTGGCAACACCAGCACCACTGATTCCCTTGGGTGCTGTCCCCCTCCCCCATGCCCCCTGTGCCCCATGCTGCTGCAACCAAGAGAGCCTCCTGGGGGCATGGAAGGAGGCAGCCATGGCTGGGACCCCAGGGACAGAGAAGGAGAGGGGGTCAGAAGAGGCCAAGGCCCTGTGAAATAATGAGATAAGACCAGACTCCCAGGCCCAGGCTCTGCTCAGCCCCAAGCCAAAGGCCTGGTGGCACAGGCTGGCTCTGAGGTCCATGTCCTCAGAGGACCTGAATTTGCAGCTCTCCACTCCAGTGGCTCCCGGCGGTCTGAAGGGCATCTCACGGTATGTGCAAGCACCCGTGACTGTCTGAGGTTGGCAAGCCTGTACGAATGACACCCCCTGGTTGCTGCCCAGCCAGGAAGGGGCACAGGCTCAGCCTTAGGACTAGAGGAGCTGCAGTCACTTCAGACGCCTCCTTAGGGGTGGACACCTAAATAGAAGCCTGAGGAGGAGTGGGTAGCCAAGCCTTTTTCCCACCACCCTCCAGTGTCCTAGGCGAGTGGGCTTCCTGGAAGAGAACCCAGCCATAGGAGGATGGCAAGTTCATAAGGTGAGGCCAGGAGGGAGCCCACCTGTGGTGTGTGCGTGGTGAAGAGCAAGTGACTGGCCTGACTGGCGGAGCCCTGCTTACGGGCTCTGGTGGCCCCTACCCCCTGCAACCTGCCTGAGCTCTTCTGAGCAGGCCTGAAGATGGTTTTCTGTGGGTTCAGCACTACTGCAGAGGAGAGCATGGGTTTGGGTATGGATCGTACAGTGTAGGCAAGGGTTAGGGTTGCGCTGCAACACAAGGCAGTGGTTTGAGAGGCCATAGTCATCTGGGGCTCGAGTCCTGGCTCCCTTGCTTGCTCACTGTGTCCCTGTGAATGGCAGGTAACTTCTTCAGTGGAGTCTCTATGTCCTCACCTTATAATGAGTACGTGGAGCTGTCATGAGGATCGAGCAGTGCAGTGTGTAGGCATGGGCTCCCACACACTAGCAATTCAGGAAGTTTAGGCAAGTTCTCTTCTTCCCTCTCCTGGAAACTGTGATACTTTGGTGATGGCCGAAAGCTCTGCACATCTGGGAAACCAGCCTCAGACTTGTGGCACTGACCCTCGTACAAGATTTCATGGGCTCAAGACTTTATTTCCTGAGACACTATATAGTTTGCTAAGTGCTCCATGGTCTCCCTCAGCTCCAACCTTTGCATATTTGCTTCCCTCTGCTTGGGACACCCTTTCCTCTTTATCCTTCAGTCTCAGCATCAATACCACTTCCTGCCAGAAGCCTGCCCTGACTCTCCGTACCTGAGTTGGGCATCTTCTCTGGTTCCCCATGCACAGCCCAAACGGCACTCACGGCACTGCCTACTGCCTCATGTATTTCCCCCGTAAGATTGTGGGCAGGCCCACATCTGGCTTGTCCCAGTGCCCAGCACTGAGCTAGCTCAGAGCAGAGGCCATATGAGAGTCTGCTAGGTGAATGGGTAGGTGGATGGGTGGGTGGGTGGATGCCTTGGCCATTCTTGTCTGTGTTCTGTGACAACCCCAGCATTGCAGCCAGTGCCCACTTTCGGCTTAGGGCCTGTGAGCAACTGCCAAGGGCTGGGGACTGGAGGTAGTAAGGCATCCTTCCGGGGTTTTCTCTAAAACTTTTGGGACCACGTACTTGAGCCTTAGAGCTGAGCCAGGACTTCTTGGGCCTTGGCTTCCTAGCCCATGGAGTCAGTTCAGTCCATTAGAGGAAACCTCACTCAGCTCTCAGAGCTCACCCCAGGAGCTGGTGGGCATATCTAGATTTTCCACTATGTAGTGAGTCACTTATCTGATGGGCCTGGCTGTGACTTAGTCTGCCATTTGCAGCTTAAGGAAGTAAATCTCCCAGGAAAGCCAGCTGGCCTCCTGCCAAGCGTCTTCCCCAGAGCAGCTTTCCTTGGTGAATTCACTGCGGTCCATAGTCTGCCCTCCGCTGATGCAGAACCTTAATTTGACCAGTATGCCAGGAGTGGTTTGTTCCTGTGGGATGGCCTCAAAACTGATCCCGTTCAAGGAGGCTGCTGGTAAAACTGGATCTCCGCCTCAGGGACTCAGTGAGAGTGCTCTGGCTGGCTGGGGGCTCACTTCTCTCACCCAGAGCCTGTAGGTGGTTGATGAGTGTTCCCCGGACTCAGACAGCCTGTCGTGCCATCTGTAGAGCATAAACTCCTGTGGGTCCGTACTACCTGGATTCGGCCACCTCTGTCCAGTGGTTATTCCTACCTGGACTGAGCAGCCTCCTTGGTCTGACAGGCATACCTGTAGCCATCTCTTTAGTCCCAGCATGCCTCCAGCTATGCCAGATCCAGTATGAGGAGCTTTACATGCCTGAGTGATAATGTCCCCATTTTAAAGATGGGGAAGAAGAGGTCTAAAGAAGTGGGGTGTGCTCGACCTAGCATAGCTCATAAGTGCAGGAGAAGGGACTTGAACTCCGGAGCTTTGCCTGCTTTCTCTACAATGGCTTTGCACAGCCTTGACCTTATTTTTGGTGTGGTGATGTTACAGTTCAGCACAAATGCCACTTATTGGGAGTTCAGCGGACCTCTCTTCTCTCTTCTCAAAATTGCTGTTTGGCTCATATCCCGTGGCTGCAGAGTAGCTGTTGTTGGGTTTCTCATTCTTTCCCAAGAAGGAAAACAACAGCCATGCTCCCAAAGGTTGGGGATGGAAGGCCAGTGACTGTCAGCCTGGAGCCCACACAATCCTCATTGAGCTGGCAGACCTATAGGTGTCATGCAGCACTTCTAGCTTTAGGCCCTTCAGGTGGACAGTAACACCAAGAAGGCCCCAGTGGGGATAAAGTATCCAGCTGGTCCTAGGCAAAGTGCAGACAGACCCCTGAGCCCTGCTGGTCATGTGTCTGTTCTGCCAACACTACCTAGCAGCTAACAGGAGGACATGGTAGCACTTGGGGACTTCCCTCTTTGGACCAAATTCAGTCACCAGTGCTTCTCACAGAAAAGCTCCCACTGCCCACCTCAGGGCATCCTCCATGTGCCCCTGTAGGCCCACTGTGTCCACTTGGACTGCAGTGGGTGAGCGTGGCACCCAGACCACCATATGCAATGTCATGAGAGATTCTCGTTATCCCTAGGAGTGCACACAGCACTTTGCTGAGCCCTTTCTCTCCGAGCCTTCATTCCTTTCCCTTCCCACCAGCTTACCTCCTGCTCCCCTCTGGCACCTCCTTTTTCCTCTGGACATTAGCAGATGGGATCCCAGGGAGGACAACACAGGCCTAGTTAATGGTGGGGCTAGCTCTTCTTCTTGGGTCTTGGTCTGTGGTGGTGCAGAGCTGCAGTGCAGTCTGGGGTCAGAGAACAGTGCCCGGACCTCACCCTGGCTGCTCTTGGGATTTCTCCTATTCCTCAGAAAGATGGCCCCAGCATTACCTCTGGCGCTGGCAGGCCTTTGGCTACAACTTTTCTTCAGGGAGACCCCATGGTGGGCCAGGATGTGGGCCTAAGGGGACTCTGCTGTGTGTCATCCACTGGACCCTTGTCAGGTAGGTCATTGTCCTCAGATCTCGGGGGCAGGAAGTGTCTGTCAGGGCTGTTCTGTGGGCTCTGCCACCTTGCTTTCTCTGGGTCCCTTAGGGTGAGAGCCTGGTGCTGGCAGCTTTGAGGTGGAGTGGAAGGAGTTTGCATCCCTTCACCCCCCGTCGTTCTGGGCACTGTGCTAGGCACACCTGCTGCCCCTCTGTCCAGTCCACGTCGCAGGAGCAAGGATAAGCAAAATTCTATGACCACACAGGAGAGGCAGTACACCCGGGCCCTAGGGCTCAGGAGGTGTTAACTCCAGAGCTGTCAGAGCACGCTCTCTATTCCTGAAAGATGTGGAAGTACATGTCAGGCAGGGCCCAGGCCCTGAGTGTATGTTTCTCAGGAAAACTGGGCCGGATGTCTGACTGTCAGGTATGACTGCTAAGGGCTCTCTGGCCTGTCACCGGGAAAGGCCCTTCCAGGCACCCAGCTTTCAGGATACACTGTGTTGCACCAGGAGCCTGTGTACCCCAACTCGCTCGAGGCCTGGCCAAGATCACTGTGTCGCCTGTGACGCAAGACAGGTGGGAGGAGAGGCCCAGTACTGCTCCCTTGCCTCCTATCAGGGCTCCTCCTTCACCTGCCTCTTGTTTCCTGCAGAGTTCATCCTCTCGCTTCTGGAGAAGATGCAGACTCAGGAGATCCTGAGGATGCTGCGGCTGCCCGAGCTAGGCGACTTGGGCCAGTTTTTCCGCAGCCTCTCAGCCACCACCCTCGTGAGTATGGGTGCACTGGCTGCCATCCTCGCCTACTGGTTCACTCACCGGCCAAAGGCCTTGCAACCACCGTGCAATCTCCTGCTGCAGTCAGAGGAGGTGGAGGTGAGCAGGGTGTGAGCAATTGGGCTGTGGGAAGTAGTAGGCGGGGGACAGGCACCTTGAAGGAAGAAGCCAAACTTATGGCTTATTTGACCTCAGATGGCCCAGAGAATCTCCGTTTCTCCCGGCAGCCAGCCAGTAAGCCCAGAAGTGCCCCTGGGCAGGCTATCCTACTAGATGCTCCTTCTGCCTCTCCCAGTAACTAAAGCCTGGGCAGAGACTGACCTTGGCTTTGCCCTGGGCCTCTGGTTTGCCTGCTTCTTGGGTAGGGGACCTTGGCTTACAGTTGCCTCAGTAGGTGGTCTAAGCATGTGCTCAAGGGGCTGCCAGGTAAACTCCCTCCCAGATTCTCCCTGTGCCCAACCCTGGTCTGGAACTGGGACCCAGAGCTGAGCCCACCCAGGGCCCTGCCCTCCCAGAGCACGTGGACTCACAGGTAGAGCCACTGAGGGAAGAAGGGATGGTGGCCCAGCCTGGACAAGCGTGTTCCAGGCTCTGTCTAGAAGGGCCAGTAAGATTTCTTTCTTAAGTTTATGGAGTTTATTTTGCCTTTTTAAAGAACTTGAATTCCATTTATTTTGAATAGATGATATAGTCACACAGTTCAAAAGCAACCAAAGGACATAGACTGAAAAGCTTCCACCTTCTTCCCCTTGCGTCTAAGTTCTCTTCCCCTGAGAATTGTGTTAGCACTTGTCCACAAGCAAATGTATAGATGTCTGCCCACCTTTTAAAATGATAACATACCGCATACACTGTGCCGCACCTTGCTTTTGCTCTCGATGGTATGTCGTGCAGGTACCGATCAAAAGCGTGACAGAGTTTGGCCTGGTGGGAGAGGGCTCAGGTCGAGATAGGGCTGGGATCTTTAGGGCATTTTTCCAGCAGAGGGAATGATGTGTGCAGAGGTGAGAGTGTGTGATAACACACCTGGTGCCTTTGGGAAATGGCGATCCATGTGGTGTGGCTGGGAGGTGGAGAGGGGCTGCGGATGCGTCAGTAGCCTGTGGTTACCAGCAGCCGTGGGTTTGCAGGCTGGCCGTGCCTCTTACTAGCCTGATGGTCCTCGGCTGTTTCTTAACTCTCTGAGCCTCAGTTTCCTCATGTGTCAAGTGGGCAATAAAAAGAGTATCTGCTTCCTAAAGTTATGGTAAGGATTTGGTGAGATGATGCAGAGAAAGCACTAAGATGAATTATTTTTGGTAAGCTTACAGTTACAACTCATCTGGAGAGGCCAGCAAGGACAAAGCCCCATTAACTGGGCAGGGACCCTTGGAGATGGACAGCCTGGATTTATTTGAGGCTGTCAGTAGTAGGAGAGACAGGGCCAGTTTTTGCTGTGGCTTTGGCAGGGGCAGGCATGAGGAGGCAACTGGGGCTTCTGGGCTGGAGGTGACAGTGGTCTGGATGGGGTCAGGTTGAGCACCACAGAGTGAGTCGCCTCACGGGTCTGGCTGGGAGGACAGGGCATGGACACAGCTAAGGTCTCCCTTCCTGGGGAGGATGGAGCCCTCCCTTGCTTCATCCCCCAGGAGTGTAGGAATCTGGAGTGACTATAGTGAAGGAGGAAAGGAGAGTGGTAGGAAATGAGATAAGAGAGGTAAGAGGGGCCCAGATCATAGAGGGCCTGGTAGCATTTACTCTGTGTGCTACACGGTAGGAAACAATTCATATCATGTCACTCACCCTGGCTTAAAATCCTTGCTTGCTCCCCGTTGCCCTCAACCTAAAGCTCAGACTCCTCACCTTGATCTGGAGCCTTTCTGGCCTCCTCCATTTACCACTTGGAGTGGGATGAATTGCCTACAGTCTCCCAGGTGCCTCCTGCCCCATGTGTTTGCACTCCCTGTTGCCTCTGGTGAAACCGCCATTCCTTGTTCCTCATTCTTCCCAGTAAATCCTTTTGTTTTTAAAAAAACTTTTTTCTATTTCTTTATTTAATTAATTTATTTATTTTGGCTGTGTTGGGTCTTTGTTGCTGCGCATGGGCTTTCTCTAGTTGCGGCAAGCGGGGGCTGCTCTTTGTTGCAGTGCAAGGACTTCTCATTGTGGTGGCTCCTCTTGTTGCGGAGCACAGGCTCTAGGCACGCGGGCTTCAGTAGTTGTGGCACATGGGCTCAGTAATTGTGGCTCGCGGGCTCTAGAGTGCAGGCTCTGTAGTTGTGGCGCATGGGCTTAGTTGCTCTGCAGCATGTGGGATCTTCCCGGACCAGGGCTCAAACCCGTGTCCCCTGCATTGGCAGGCAGATTCATAACCACTGCGCCATCAGGGAAGCCCCCTCTTTGTATCCTTCAAAACCCAGCTCAGCAGCCACTCTCTGACATACCTGCCCACTGAGCCCCTCTGTCACTGGCACACAGCCTCTTGCTGTCTCATTTCTGTGAGTGCTAACCAGGTCTGACTGTATCTGTCCCCAGATTCCCACAGAGGTCCTGCATGGGCCTGGTGCTCAGGAAGCACTGGCCAAACAGAACTTTCCACTGCAGAACAGCTGAGTGCTGCCTGTGGTTTTGACTGTTGGCTCTGTTTCTGTCACATTTTTCCTCAGACCTGATGTTCCAAGAGGGGTAGCGGACCATGGGCCAGCCCAGTGCAGCCCAAATAGTGCTCAGAGAAGAGGTGGAGCCGTGATACTGGAGAGTGCTGGGTTTGGGGAGCCTGAGGTGGGGTGGCATGTGGAAGGGAAAGAGGCAGGAGAAGCCCAGCTCCTTTCCCCCGCCCCCCAGCACAGATGGTGTTTGCTACAGTCCCACTCTGGATCCATACTACTGAGGGCCCAGGCATCTACTACGCCATTCCCTCCACCGCCTTCTAGGCCTCTTTTCCCATCCAGTCCTCCAACTCATCACACTGTTACGTGAATGATGGATGGCAGCCTTCTTAGCTAAAGACAGCTCCCAAGTGATTCTTAACCTACGTGCATAGCAGCAACACCTTTGCAGGTTGGTCCTGATGCAAGGGGCAGCCTGACTCTAGCCAGCACTCCCCACTCTGCTGTATGAGTGAACCACGGGTGTGTATGAACAGTAACTGAAGATTCTGGGCATTTAGTGTATGCTGCCTGGTGTGTGGGTATGTGTGTGGGAGACCAGTGTACTGGGCCCCTGGGCATGAGCCGCCTGTGTTTGAGTGTGGATGCATACAGGTCCAGTGTGTACAAGCCACGTGTACATGAATGTGTGTGGAGTTTGTGTGTGTACAGCCCAGGTGCGTGTAGGCCACGTGTGTGAGTGCACACAGAGTGTGTCCCAGCTCCAACTATGTGGCCCAGGTGTGTATCCAAGCCATGTACAGCCTGGTGCATGCTGGTGCCCTCTCCTGATACCCCTGCCTGCCTGCATCAGCCAGCTTCTCTGGCCTGTGCTTGGCTCATAGGACAGTGGTGGGGCCCGGCGATCCGTGATAGGGGATGGCCCTCAACTGCTCACCCACTACTATGACGATGCCAGGACCATGTACGAGGTGTTCCGCCGTGGACTTAGCATCTCAGGTGAGAGGGGCCATGGGGGTGTGGAAGGGCTGTGGCAGGGGTTGAGCAGGTGCAAGGGTGTGGGTGAGCAAGCATGGTTCCAGGGGTATGGCAGGCGAGCCATGCCCAGGTTCAGAGGAGAGAAGCCATTCTTGGCCCTCCTGCCACCCAGACAAGTAGCTGCATTATGAGGCCAAAGGGCTGACCTCAGCTTTATTACAGCCCTGAGAACTGCTGACCTTAAGCTGTCTCTTTGCTCATATTCTATATCTCCTATTTGCAGCCCCTCGTGAGCCTTGAACTAGCAGGCTACTGGCTGGCATGGTTCTGAACCTGAGCCTCCGAGATGTCTGGGTGACCCATGGCGTGGGGTGAAGGGAGTTGTCACAGAGAGGCAAACTGCCACCTCTGGCCAGTGGCCCCCAGGTCTCCATGTCTTCTTGGGGCTGCATCACACAGGTCATTGTGGGAACTAGCGCTGTGTCAGTTCCCATTCTTGGGCCTTCCTGATCTCCCTGGGGAGATGCCATGCTTGTGCACTTTAGGCCTTCTTGGACTTCAGCAGGTTAGACAGACAGCTGGGGAGCAGTTCATTTGGCCCATGCACCGCCTCCCAGGATGGGATATTGATCCAGGTGTCTGATGGGCAGGTTCAGTGGCTCCCACACCCTGCCCTCCTCCCTGGCACAAGGCCTGCTTATCTCTATGTAGGGAATGGACCCTGTCTTGGCTTCAGGAATCCCAAGAAGCCTTATCAGTGGCTGTCCTACCAGGAGGTGAGTAATAGAAGACAGGCCCCACCCTGTCCACCCACACAGACCTGGCACTTGGCGGGGTGGGGGGGGCTTGTGGGCACCCTGGAGGCTCTCAGAGAGTCATTTTTTTCCTTGCCTGGACTGTCTGCCAAACTCCAGGCAGCAACCTCTCAGGACTTCCAGCATCACTGAGTAGGGAGTTGGGGAGCTCCCTCAGACCTTGGAAATCCCCCCTAGGGATCTCCCTTCCCTGCTGAAGAGTCCTTGCTTTCCCATCACTGCCCCATGTTTGTGTGCAGGTGGCCGACAGGGCTGAATTTCTAGGGTCTGGACTTCTCCAGCACAATTGTAAACCATGTACAGATCAGTTTATCGGCATTTTTGCACAAAATCGACCAGAGGTGAGCACCTGCCTTAACTGGTTTTAGAAGCATCAGTGGAACACAAGCTTGGGTACCGTAGAACAGCTCTGCTCCCGCTGTCTGTAGGGCCTGGGACAAGAGGAAAACTGGAGATCGTTGGTCCGTGCCATCCCCCGCTCCCTTGGCTCTGTCCCTCATCAGGGCTGGACATTCCAGCCAAGTTCCATCTACACCCTACCTAGCTGTCCAAACAGTGGCTCCCTGAGCCATGGGGGAAGAAGGATCTGGGGAAGAAGGCCATGCAAACCCTGGAGGTGGGCCTGGGGTTATTTCGAGTCCCGTAATTCCCTGGGGCAAGCAAGTTTAGAAGACCGTTGGGGAGCAGGCTCAACGGGTCAGCTTTATGGATCCCTTGCCTTGTGCGGAGCGCTCTCGGCACAGGACCCCGATCAGGGAGCCCCGTGCCTAAGGCCTGAGGGCAGTGCAGCCCTGCTGTCTGCTCTGTGCTCCCCCTTCCCCCCAACCTGTGTGTCCCCACAGTGGATCATCGCAGAGCTTGCCTGCTACACATACTCTATGGTGGTGGTCCCGCTCTATGACACCCTGGGCCCAGGGGCAGTCCGCTACATCATCGACACAGGTGAGCCCAGCTGCCCACTCCTGCCCCTGGCAGCCAGCCCCACCTCCTCCTCCCAGCCCTTTTCAGCTTATGCTGATTGTTTGACACTAGTAAGTACTTTGCTTCTGCTCTCAGAGAACACTGGGGGCTTCCACTTTGGCCCTTGAGTTGGCTTCCTGAGTCCAGCTGTCCCCAGTTGGACTTCACCCAAAGGCTCCTTCCACAGGGTAGGGCTGCCAAGAAGGAGACTCTGTACCAGCCTCCACGTAGGGCTGCCAACCCTCTGAGTTCACTTCAGCTTGAGGAAGATGCTGTGGGGTGGTAAATATCTCAAACAGACCAGGGACGATGGGGGCTGAGCCTGAAGAAAAGGAATGCTTGGAATCTACCCCGGGAGACTCCCTAGTCTTCTGCCCTTGGCTCCATCCAGGCTCTGTGCACTTTCCTCTGGACACAATACATGTCCCACATGGCCTGTCGTATGTATTTATTTACACACAAGCTTATCATGTGGCACACACAGCCCATGGTTCCACTGCCTGGCATGTGCTGCCCACGGTCACAGCCTGTGCCCGCACAGCCTGACTCTCCTTGGTGGTCCCTGCAGCCGACATCAGCACTGTGATCGTGGATAAACCTCAGAAAGCCGTGGTTCTGCTGGAGCACGTGGAGAGGAAGGAGACACCAGGGCTCAAGCTGATCATCCTCATGGAACCATTTGAGGAAGCTTTGAAAGACAGAGGGCAAGACTGCGGGGTGGTCATTAAGTCCATGCAGGCTGTGGAGGTGAGGGTCTGCTTCTGGGCTGTTTCCTGGCCACAGCTGGTTGGCCGCTGAGCCAGAGCTGCCGGTTATCTGCCCGTCTTATGCCCTAGGATGGATGTCTTGGGCCATCAGGGTGTGTCAGGGTTCAAACAGGGCAGGCTTCACAAGGGCTGGTGGTGGGTAGTGGGGTTGGTACCCACAGGCATCCTCTTTGAGATGGGCTCAGTTATTTGGCACAGTTAGTGACACAGGCACCAACAGGTAGATGGTGGTGCCAGCCTGCCCCAGAGCCACACCCACAGCCTCCGGAGCCTCCTCATTTCCAGCTAACAGCCAGCCTGTCTGAGCCTGAGGACTGTAGTAAACTTGAGGTCCAGAAGTCTTGGAGAGGTTCTTGCAGTTGTGTCGCAGACCCCCAGCAGCCAGCAGAACCAATTTTCCTTTGCATGGCCTCCGCAGAGACATTAGGCTGGTGGCAGCTTATGGCCTGCTGGAGTGACCCAGGACATCCTCTGGGGCCTCAGGCCTTTTGCTCAGTAGCAGCTGACCCCCACTGTGCCCTCCTGGATCTAGGCCTGTGGACCCTCCATTTCTCCTCCTGTCTCCCTGTCTGCTCTTAAATGTACCCACAAAGCCATGGAGGGCCTGTGCCCCTCCATGGCTTTAGGGGCCACACCTAAGCTGGCAGCCCCCATCTTCCCCTCCAGCCCTGACCACTTAGTTGCAAGCCCGGGCCACCTAGCCACTGTGTCTTGAGCATGCGTCTAGACGTACCGTGGGCCCCTCAGGCTGTCTCCCCCTTGTGCATGTGCACAGTGCTTAGCCTCTTCCTGGGCCCCAGGCCGCTGTCTGGGATGCATGGGTGGCCAAGGCCTGGATGTGTATCTGAGGAGAGACAGCTGAGGTGGAGTCTCTGTGCGGGCCACATCTGGGCAGGGAGTCTGGGACTGTGGGCTTGCTGCGGGAACAGGGCGTACTGTGCTGAGTTTATTTTGATTGATTAGAACTCTCGAGCATTTAAAAACAGTGTTTTCCTCTTCCAGGACTGTGGCCAGCGGAATCACCACGTTCCTGTGGTAAGCTCATCTGCCAGCAGGTTTTGACTGAGCACTATAGTGTCCAGGGCACGTCCTCACAGACTCCCTCGCTGTGCACAAGGCTCAGTAGAGGGGCCAGAGTAGCAGCTCTGTGTTAATAAGCAACTCAGGAAATGTCCCCTTGGGGCACCCAGGACGACCTGGAACGGGAGTCAGACATTGGGAGGGAGATAAAAGGGCAGCCAATCCTGGACACCCTTGGGTCTCCAGTAACTTTTTCTTTGGGAGGTCTTATGTTTTCCCTTTCGATGTAGCAGTCTCTCCCGAGGATGGGATGGACAGGAGCAGCAACAGACTCGGAAGCGGACCCCTTGTAGCATCTGCTGTCTTTGTTCATCTTTGCTCTCTGAACTTTTCTGTGTGTCGGCCCCGAGTGATCCTCCCTGGACTCGAGTCACCAGGGAGGGTCACAGCCCCTGGGAGGGTCTTGTAGGGGCTCTGAGCTTTCTAACCAGGCCTCTTGCCTCCAGCTCCCTCTGCAGCTCAGCTCTTCCCGCTCTCACCAGCCTGTGAGCTTTCTCACACACAGGCCTCAGCAGGTCAATCCCTGCTTCCCAGGGCCCTTCACCATGAGTAGCCCCTGGTATGTCCCCACCTCTACACACTGTGCCCCAGCCTTAGAGAGCTGCTCTCTGGCCCCGCAGCATGCTGTCTCTTGTGCCTCTGACAGTGCCCAGGCTGGTTCCTCTCCCAGAATGCCCACCGTCACTTCATCTGGAGAGATCTTGCTTGTCCTTCAGTCTCAACTCATGTCACCTCCTCCGGGAAGCCATCCTCTACATGCAAGTGGTCATGGTGGGCTCCTCCTGGTGACCCCAGGACTATGTGCACAGTGCCAGGGCAAGGGCCTGATGCAGAGCAATCTTAGTGACAGAGTGGGCAGCTCAGTTCTTGGGTTACATTTTCCGTTCCCAAGCCTAAACCCAGACACTTGGGAGAAAGTGGGAAGGAAGGAGGAAGTGGGTCACATTCCCTAGAACGGTGAGATCTTTGATAGAGGCCTAGGTATGGCCGCTGCAACCCAATCCCATTAGAATTCAGCTCAGCCTCAAGTAGGCGAGGCAGCAGGAGCAGGTGTGAGGTTGGTGGGACAGATCGACGTCCATGTCCAGTTAGGTTTCCTTGGTTTTTCTTCCTCTTTCCTGGGGACTTGCCTGCTCACCTTTCCAATGACAGCATGCAGGGCCATGCACATGTGCTGACACATGCCTGCACCCTCACACAGTGCACACACGGGGGTGTGCTCAGAGGGGCTGGCTGGTGGAGGAGCCCAGGCTGGGCACACAGGGTCTCTTTAACACACTCCTCTTCTCACCTCTGCAGCCCCCGAAACCCAGTGACCTCTCCATTGTGTGTTTCACAAGCGGCACGACAGGTAAGCAGAGGCTCCTAGCCCACCAGCCAGGGCCACCTGCACCTTTCCCTGGCAGCTTTGGCAGAATGACTGACACGTCTCCGGCACCCTCTGTGGGATGGGCTGAGCCTTGTCCTGTGCCTGGCTCCAGACACTGGGTCCTTCCTGCTGCTCCCAGTGGCCAACGCGAGGCAACATGGGGCGGCTGGAAGTGAATGGACGGTGTGGACTGGGGGTGTCTGGGGTGGGGTGGGTGCTACAGACTTCCTGGAGCTGGGGCCAGAGGTGGGCTGGGCAGCTGGGGCACGTCATTACTCTGAGGAGGGACTCTCACTCCTCTGCTTTCCTGCCCCTGCCTGGACTTTGTGTCAGGGACTGGGGAAGGAGTGTGGGATTTGGTGTCTGAGAGCCTGGTTTTAAGTCCCACCTCCACCACTTGCTGGGGGGCCATGAGCCCCGCTGCCACCACTGTCCCCAGTTTCTTTCTTTCTTTCTTTTTTTAATATTTATTTATTTGGCTGTGCCGGATCTTAGTTGCGGCACACGGGACCTTCAGTTGCAGCATGAGGGATCTAGTTCCCTGACCAGGGTTAGAACCCGGGCCCCCATGCATTGGAGCATGGAGTCTTAACTGCTGGACCACCAGGGAAGTCCCTGTCCCCATTTCTTACCTGGGTGGTGAAAGGTGCCAAGTTGGAGGTGGGGAAGTGTGTGAAAGGGCAGTGCAGATGATCTGGGGCAAGATAATCTGCACAGATGATCTATGCCGTGGGCAAGGCTGTCAGGGAGAGAAAATGATGCAGTCCATGCCCGGTGCTGACAGAGGAACACGTGCATCAGTGTCAGTGCGAACAGCCAAGGAAGGCTTCCTAGGGGAGGCAGAACGCACCTGAGGACCACGGCTACAGGCACAGTACTTTGCAGCCTGCAGTGGCCCGTTCACCCTATCACTGTGTCACTGGGGCCTCAGCACGACCTGTGAGGCAGGTGGGGTGGAGACTATCCAAGGGGGCACCAACAGCAATTGGAGGCAGAGGCCTTGTGCCCTGTTCTCCCATTTCACAGCCCAGTGCTCTCCCCACTGCTGCCTCTTCATCTCATCTGATGACTCGGGAAGTCACTTGCCCTCGGCCTGAAGGGGCAAGAAGGTTCCAGCCTGTTTTCCAGACCTAGGGCTGGCCTACCTTGATGATAGCTCTTGATGGGCAGTGACCTGGAGTTCCCCACGCCTTCCACAGATGGAGCCTCCAAGGCAGTTGGCAGATCCTTGACCAGCCCCCCAGGCAGGATAATCCTTGTGGGTAGATCACGATAAACATGATGTTATTGAATCAGAGTGGGTTTTTGCCATTAACTCAAGTGGGTCTGAGAATTTCCACCTGACTGCTAAATCCTGTCAGGAGAGAAATAACACAGCCTTTGCTTTCCAGGAGCTGACATCCAGAGCCAGCCCAGAATTCAAAAATGCTCTTCAGGTTTTTGTTGCTTTTTGTCAAGAGTTTCACAATGTGAAATTTTGGTGACATGTCCCTCCACCCTGGGTTTGGGGGCAGGTCACTACTGCGGCCTTTAGCTTTGGACCCTTGCTGTTCAAGAGTGCCCCCTGGCTTTTTTTTTTTTTAACATCTTTATTGGAGTATAATTGCTTTACAATGGTGTGTTAGTTTCTGCTTTATAGCAAAGTGAATTAGTTATACATCTGTTCCCATATCTCTTCCCTCCTGCGTCTCCCTCCCTCCCACCCTCCCTATCCCACCCATCTAGGTGGTCACAAAGCACCGAGCTGATCTCCCTGTGCTATGCGGCTGCTTCTCACTAGCTATCTATTTTACGTTTGGTAGTGTATATATGTCCATGGCACTCTCTCACTTTGGCACAGCTTACCCTTCCCCATCCCCATATCCTCAAGTCCATTCTCTAGTAAGTCTGTGACTTTATTCCCATCTTACCCCTAGGTTCTTCATGACCTTTTTTTTTTTAGATTCCATATATATGTGTTAGCATACGGTATTTGTCTATCTCTTTCTGACTTACTTCACTCTGTATGACAGACTCTAGGTCCATCCACCTCACTCCAAATAACTCAATTTCGTTTCTTTTTATGGCTGAGTAATATTCCATTGTATATAGATGCCACATCTTCTGAGTCAGTTAGTCACAGCTGCTGCCCCTGGATCTGGAAAAGAACTTGATGATGCAGAAATGTGTTGTTGCCTAGCTGCAGAGGGCAGGCCTCATGTCCAGTGCTTTTTCAGCCCATGGAGTCTCAATTGGAAGCTGAGCCATCCTGCCCAGGCTCTATGTGGTAGAAGCAGAATGTATGGAGGCTAGAAAACGGGTTGTGATTTGCTGCCCAAACCTCCCACTCCAGCGGTGTGGCTGGTGCCAGGGCAGAGCTGGGGGAGTGAGCAGGCCTCTTACCTGACGTTACCCTGCTTGGCTGCACGTGTGGATTTCCTTGGCATTAGCCTAAGCCTGTGCTGTGCCTCTGGTAGCCATCCTCTTGTCCAGCACATCACAGCTGTGGATACAGCTTCCCTTCCATAATTGTCCTGGCCTCAGCTTCATCAAGAGCCACATCGTTCTTTCAATGAGGAAAGATGGAAAATATGATCTGAATCTGACATTTGAATCATGATTCTGGTGGGATCATTCTGGGAAGATTTTTCTCTTGATGTGTGATGGAAACATATGTGGAAATTCCCAGAATAGGCCAGTGCTTTGGAGCCACTAGTTAGGGCAAGAAGGCCCTGGAGGAGGTGAGAGCTTGGGGTTTGTCTGTACTCAGGGATGGCTAATGGGTGGGTGTGTGGTTGGTTGTTCGTTTCAGAATAACCATCAGCTGGACTGAAATCAAGCTGCCCTCTCCAAATAAAAGATAATTTGTGGGTATAACGTAGCCCAGTCTGGGGACTTGGGCCCCATGAATGATAGTTCAGATGTATCTTTATGTGTTCATGTGCTACCCTCCCTTCCTAGAGAAGAAAATACAGTGGTCTTTTATTTTATTATTTATTTATTTATTATTTATTTATTTTATATATTTTTGGCTGCATTGGGTCTTAGTTGAGGCATGCGGGATCTTCATTGAGGCATGCGGGATCTTTCGTTGTGGTGCACAGTCTCCTCTTTAGTTGTGGCATGCGGGTTTTCACTTCTCTAGTTGTGGCGCACAGGCTCCAGGGCACGTGGGCTTAGTTGCCCTGCAGCATGTGGGATTGAACCCACGTCCCCTGCATTGTAAGGCAGATTCTTTACCACTGGACCACCAGGGAAGTCCCTACAGTGGTCTTTTAAAACATATCGTTCTTAGTCTATGGGTTTTTAGCATTCTTTTTCTAATTTATGTAGATTCATTCATTCAGCTCATTTATTGAGCATCCACTATGCATCAGACCTAGTGTTGGAGGCTGAGGACACAGGGATGGACAAGACACGACCCTGCCCTCATGAGCACACAGCTCATGTCATGAGGCAGTTCACTGCCTCGAGGGTCTGCATCCCAGGGTACATGGAGTGCTAGGCCACCAAGAGGTCAGGACAGCGGGACAGAAGGGATTTCAAATCTAAGCAGAGTCTTGAAGGATTGGCAGCTGGAGGAGAAGAGGAGGAAGGGCATTCTCAGCAAAGGGAACAGCATGTGCAGAGGACCAGCAGCAAGAAAGAAAATGTTTCTTTGAGGGAGAGTCGACTGAGGAAAAGAGAGGTCTGGTTGCAGGGCCTGGGAATCCTGACAGGAGAGGAACGATGGGGGTAGGAGTTCCAAATAAAGGCTGAGCAGGAGCAGCCAGAGAGGCTAGAGGAGAATAGAACCTGTCAGCATTGTCGATGGCTAAGCTGTACCCATAGGATGCTGCCGCAAAAACACCTGCTGGTGCTCCTGAGACAGGGGAGGTTGGAAGCAGAAACTGATTATGATGGACTGAGGAGTGGATGGGAGGTAAGGATGTCAACTCAGCAAGTGTGGACAATTCTTTTTTTTTTTTTTTTTTTTTTTTTTTGGCGGTACGCGGTCCTCTCACTGTTGTGGCCTCTCCCGTTGCAGAGCACGGGCTCTGGACGCGCAGGCTTAGCGGCCATGGCTCACGGGCCCAGCCGCTCCGCGGCACGTGGGATCTTCCCAGACCGGGGCACGAACCCGCGTCCCCTGCATCGGCTGGTGGACTCTCAACCACTGCGCCACCAGGGAAGCCTGACAATTCTTTTAAGAAGCTTGGCTGTGTCACCAAAAGGCATGCTCCATAATGTTCCCAGCAACACGATTTGAAAAGTCAAAGTCTGGAAACAACTCAAATGACCCTTCAGCAATAGAATGGTATATCTGCAAATAGAAAATTATATACCTTAATGTTGAGCGAAAGAAAAAAGGCACAAAATATTGTATGATTTCTTTTTTTTTTATAACAAAGTGAATCAGTTATACATACACATATGTTCCCATATCTCTTCCCTCTTGCATCTCCCTCTCTCCCACCCTCCCTATCCCACCCCTCTAGGTGGTCACAAAGCACCGAGCTGATCTCCCTGTGCTATACAGCTGCTTCCCACTAGCTATTGGTTTTACATTTTGTAGTGTATATACGTCCATGCCACTCTCTCACTTTGTCCCAGCTTACCCTTCCCCCTCCCCATAACCTCAAGTCCATTCTCTAGTAGGTCTGTGTCTTTTTTCCTGTGCTGCCGCTAGTTTCTTCTTGACCTTTTTTTTTTTTTTTTTTTTTATTTTCCTTATTTATATGTTAGCATATTGTATTTGTCTTTCTCTTTCGGACTTACTTCGCTCTGTTTGACAGACTCTAGGTCCATCCACCTCACTCCAAATAACTCAATTTCGTTTCTTTTTATGGCTGGGTAATATTCCATTGTATATATGTGCCACATCTTCTTTATCCATTCATCTGTCGATGGACACTTAGGTTGCTTCCATGTCCTGGTTATTGTAAATAGTGCTTCAGTGAACATTGTGGTACATGACTCTTTTTGAATTATGGTTTGCTCAGGGTATATGCCCAGGAGTGGGATTGATGGGTCATATGGTAGTGCTATTTTTAGTTTTTTAAGGAACCTCCATACTGTTCTCCATAGTAGCTGTATCAATTTACGTTCCCACCAACAGTGCAAGAGGGTTCCCTTTTCTCCACACCCTCTCTAGCATTTATTGTTTGTAGGTTTCTTGATGATGGCCATTCTGACTGGTGTGAGGTGATAGCTCACTGTAGTTTTGATTTGCATTTCTCTAATGATTAATGATGTTGAGCACTCTTTCATATGTTTGTTGGCATTCTGTATATCTTCTTTGGGGAAATGTCTGTTTAGGTCTTCTGCCCATTTTTGGATTGGGTTGTTTGCTTTTTTGATATCGAGCTGCATGGACTGCTTGTGAATTTTGGAGATTAATCCTTTGTCTGTTGCTTCATTTGCAAATATTTTCTCCCATTCTGAGGGTTGTCTTGTTTATGGTGTCCTTTGCTGTGAAAAAGCTTTTAAGTTTCATTAGGTCCCATTTGTGTATTTTTGTTTTTATTTCCATTTCTCTGGGAGGTGGGTCAAAAAGGATCTTGCTGTGATGTATGTCATAGAGTGTTCTGCCTGTGTTTTCCTCTAAGAGTTTGATAGTGCCTGGCCTTACATTTAGATCTTTAATCCATTTGGAGTTTATTTTTGTGTATGGTGTTAGGGAGAGTTCTAGTTTCATTCTTTTAAATGTAGCTGTCCAGTTTTCCCAGCACCACTTATTGAAGAGGCTATCTTTTCTCCACTGTATATTCTTGCCTCCTTTATCAAAGATAAGGTGACCATATCTGTGTGGGTTTATCTCTGGGCTTTCTATCCTGTTCCATTGATCTATATTTCTGTTTATGTGCCAGTACCATATTCTCTTGATTACTGTAGCTTTGTAGTATAGTCTGAAGTCAGGGAGCCTGACTCCTCCAGCTCTATTTTTCTTTCTTCAAGATTGCGTTGGCTATTTGGGGTCTTTTGTGTTTCCATACAAATTGTGAAATTCTTTGTTCTAGTTCTGTGAAAATGCCAGTGGTAGTTTGATAGGGATTGCATTGAATCTGTAGATTGCTTTGGGTAGTATAGTCATTTTCACAATGTTGATTCTTCCAATCCAAGAACATGGTATATCTCTCCATCTATTTGTATCATCTAATTTCTTTCCTCAGTGTCTTATAGTTTTCTGCATACAGGTCCTTTTTCTCCTTAGGTAGGTTTATTCCTAGGTATTTTATTCTTTTTGTTGCAATGGTAAATGGGAGTGTTCCTTAATTTCACTTTCAGATTTTTTGTTGTTAGTGTAGACGAATGCAAGACATCTCTGTGCATTAATTTTGTATCCTGCTCCTTTACCACATTCATTGACTAGCTCTAGTAGTTTTCTGGTAGCATCTTTAGGATTCTCTATGTATAGTATCATGTCATCTGCAAACAGTGACAGCTTTACTTCTTTTCTGATTTGTGTTCCTTTTATTTCTTTTTCTTCTCTGATTGCTGTGGCTAAACCTTCCAAAACTATGTTGAATAATAGTGGTGAGAGTGGGCAGCCTTGTCTTGTTCCTGATCTTAGTGGAAATGGTTTCACTTTTTCACCATTGAGGATGATGTTGACCATGGGTTTGTCATATATGGCCTTTATTATGTTGAGGCAGGTTCCCTCTTTGCCTACTTTCTGGAGGGTTTTTATCGTAAGCGGATGTTGAATTTTGTTGAAAGATTTTTCTGCATCTATTGAGAGGATCATATGGTTTTTATTCTTCAACTTGTTAATATGGGGTATCACATTGATTGATTTGCGTATATTGAAGAATCTTTGAATTTCTGGGATAAACCCCACTTGATCATGGTGTATGATCCTTTTAATGTGCTGTTGGATTCTGTTTCCTAGTATTTTGTTGAGGATTTTTGCATCTATGTTCATCAGTGATACTGGCCTGTAGTTTTCTTTCTTTGTGACATTTTTTAAAAAGTTAATTTATTTTTTATTTTTGGCTGCATTGGGTCTTTGTTGCTGTGTGCAGGCTTTTTCTAGTTGCGGCAAGTGGGGGCTACTCTTCACTGCAGTGCACGGGCTTCTCATTTTGGTGGCTTCTCTTGCTGTGAGGCACGGGATCTAGGTGCCCAGGCTTCAGTAGTTGTGGCGCACGGGCTTAGGTTCTCCGCGGCATGTGGTATCTTCCCGGACCAGAACTTGAACCCGTGTCCCCTGCCTTAGCAGGCGGATTCTTAACCACTGTGCCACCGGGGAAGCCCCCCTTTGTGACATCTTTGTCTGGTTTTGGTATCAGGGTGATGGTGGCCTCGTAGAATGAGTTTGGGAGTGTTCCTCCCTCTGCTATATTTTGGAAGAGTTTAAGAAGGATAGGTGTTAGCTCTTCTCTAAATGTTTGATAGGATTTGCTTATGAGGCCATCTGGTCCTGGGCTTTTTTTTTGTTGGAAGACTTTTAATCACAGTTTCAATTTCCGTGCTTGTGATTGGTCTGTTTATATTTTCTAGTTTTCCTGGTTCAGTCTTGGAAGGTTGTGCTTTTCTAAGAATTTGCCCATTTCTTCCAGGTTGTCCATTTTATTGGCATAGAGTTGCTCGTAGTAATCTCTCCTGATCCTTTGTATTTTTGTAGTCAGTTGTTACTTCTCCTTTTTCATTTCTAATTCTATGATTTGAGCCTTCTCCCTTTTTTTCTTGGTGAGTCTGGCTAATGGTTTATCAATTTAGTTTATCTTCTCAAAGAACCAGCATTTAGTTTTATTGATCTTTGCTATTGTTTCCTTCAAGATTCCTTTTTAACACACCATTCCCACCACCACTATTGTTCCTTCTGCAGACTCCATATGCAGTTTCTGGGATTTATTGGTTTTTTTGCAGCCACGGCCTTCTTCACCTTTCTTTTTGGGACCCCCCAGCCCAAGCTGTAGGGAACATGATTGGGCTTTTGAAGCAATCTCATTAGCGGCTGAGTTAGCTTGGGTTTCAGATTGGAGATGGGAGAGAGGACCCCTCATTTCTCCCCTTTTGATGGGCTATAGCACTCAGCATAGCTCTCTCGCCAAAGAAATCCTTCTCACAAATTCTTCCTCATTCATTCATATTCTCTCTCCCCAACCCCCACCCCTTTCTTATGGAGGTGAAATTCACATAGCATAAAATTAACCATTTTAAAGTGAAAAATTCAGTGGCATTTACTATAATACTCTTTTAACCTCAACTCAGCCCTTTTTTTAACCTCTTTCTGGGTGAGGGTTGCAAAGTTAACATTTTGGTTTATTTGATATTTCTTGGGTAAATTCTGCACATGGTCTAGCCCCTCACTTTTGGAGTTTCACAGCTGTTGTATCTTCTGCCTCAGTGGAAACTTCTAATTTAATGTCTTTTGTACATGGCTGTGTCCTTAGACCTTATAGAGCCCTATGAGGTGGGTGTCATTGTCCCTATTTTATAGGTTAGGAAACTGAGAGAGGAAAAATGACTTGCCAGTGTTACACTGCCAAGGAGCGGCAAGGCCAGGATTTGAGCCTGCTCAGATCTGTCCAGCAGCAGTGGCAGTGTTGTATCCACGTTGACATGAAATGGTGGCCAGCAGCCTCCCTCCACAGCCTGCTGTGCCTTCTGTCCCCACCTGGTCTCTGTCCTCTGAGCCATCCTAGCAGCCCTGGGCTTCCTCATGAGCAGCAGTGAAAGGTCATGTCAAGACAAAGCAAGAATATCCATGTCCCATCTCTGCCAGTGAGCAGGCAGGAGGGCTGCCCCAGCAGTCTGGACCTCTGGCCTGGCCTGAGCTGGGGCCTTTCTAGGTGCTGGATGCAGCAAGGAAGTCCTCTGCCAGCACAATTGACTGCTGGATTCTGGACACTAGAACTGCTCAGGCTCAGAGAGTGGCATAGTTTACTGGGTATATGTATAAGGAGACTGGAGGCCAAGAGCCTGTGCTCCTTGAGGAAGGCAGAAGGGAAGGTGCAGGCCAACCCATCAGTCCTGAGGCACTCTTTGAGGCGCTTGAGGTGACTCCAAGCTGTGTCACCTGCCTTCTGGTCTCAAGCACCTGGGAGCCTCAAGATGGGCTTCAAGTGTCTACAGAATGAAGGTCCCTGACACAGCATTCATCTGCCTGGGACTCTGAAGGCAGCTGTGGACGAAGGCCAGAGGTTTGCGTGGACAGCTCTGGGTGACTGGGACTGGTGACTCCGGTGCTGTTCTCAAAGAGTGGCCCTTGAGCTTCCCACTAATTCTCCTTCTTGCTCTCTCCTTTCAGGGAACCCAAAAGGTGCGATGCTCACCCATGGGAACGTGGTGGCTGATTTCTCAGGCTTTCTGAAAGTGACAGAGGTGAATAAAGTAGACTCACCAATGCAGGTGTCTCTCAAGGACACCCTCAAGCCTCAGAGGTTTTTTGGGTTTTCTTTTTTTTCCCTGATACAATCTGGGCTGCCTTTCACAGGCAGGAGTTTCTCTTCTCATTAGAGCAACCTCACTTTCACAGATACTTTTAACCCCAAACACTGAAATGATCCATACCTGGTTAATATTCAGTTGATTTCTGAGAGTGCTCAGATCCCAGAAAGAAAAACGTGGAAACCTATTTTTCATTTTTAACTTCAAATATTAAGATACCTGATGGTTTTACGTATACCTTTATTTAAAAGTAATCCTTAATAACTTGTTTTTCCAAGTAGGTCAGGGTTTAATTCAGTCATTTTGTGTTTAAGGACTACTAGAGTCTGAGAAGCAATGGCAACTGCTAATTTATAAAGCTGTACTTAAAAAAAGGTAAATCTAAAATCAAAAAAGCTTGTTAACTTGGCCTGACAAAAACATGTTAGCACTTTTTAAGCGGCTAAGAAAGAAGGACCTTTTTCCACAAGTGGTGAGTATCTGAATGTCCTACACTTTCCTAAAGGAGAAAGGAATGTACCTTTTCCTATATAAATTAAGCCTTTTCTCTACTGTGGAGAAAATCGCTATCCACATTTATGCCAGATGGCATTATGGAGCATATGCCCATTTGTTATATATTTTGGTGGAAAACTGTGAGACACTGTTGGTAGCTGAGCCCAGACCGGGAGCCATGAGCAAGGTTCCCTGGGCTTGTCCAAACTCGTCCAAAAGCCAGCCCAGGAGACTGAAGACCTCTGTAAAAGGGCGGAGGGCAGGGAACTCAGCCAAGGAGAGCTCATCCCTGAATGGGGCCCCCTGGCCAGGGCAGCCCCTGTCCCTAGGGTCAGACCCATCCTGGAGAGTGGGGTCCCTCTTGGCCATCCACTTTAAGGCCATGTTCCCAGGCTGTAGCTTATGAGGCCTGGTTCCACCCACCACACCTCTGTCCGGGGCACGTACCCCAGCCCCAGTAGGCATAGACCTAGGGTTCTCTTGGCCCCTTTCTCTCGAAGGAGGACCAGAAAGTGCCAACAGGCTGAGACCCTCTGAATCGCTGTCCAGGTGGCCCAGGAAAGCTGGTGAAGTGGGGCCTGAGGCAGATCCTGCAGCTGTGGGGAGGGAGAGGCATGCCGGTCTGGCGCGAAGACTGAACGAGGTGCAGGCCCTCCCAGAGGAGACTTCCCTGCGGAGCTCGACTCTGCTGGTTTATGTGTGCTTCAGTTGGCTCTTTGCTTCTGCAGATAACCTAGACCCACTGGCGCTTCTACCTAACACTCCGCTTCCTACACTGCCCTGTCTCTCTGTCTCTCTCTCTCTTTTCTTTCTGCGCCTCCCATCTTCCTCTTTCTCCTCTCTCTCTCACTTTTCTCTCTCTGTCATCTCACCTCTCTCTCTGTCCCCCCTTCCCCACTGCCCTTCCCCTCTTCATGTTTGCCCCTCCAGGTCATTTTCTCTTTATTGTTTTATGACTCTCTTGTCGTCTTCCTGTCAGTGTTTCTTTCCTTTCTGTCTCCCATGCCCGGCACCTGCAGAAAGTGATCTTTCCGAGACAGGACGATGTGCTCATCTCCTTCCTGCCTCTGGCTCACATGTTTGAGAGAGTCATCCAGGTAAGACGCCCGCCTGACTGACCGGGCCTTGCCTGGGCTCCTTCTGTTTTCTTACAGAGTCAGTGGGCTCCCACTTGTGCGGATGTGCACATTTCCTATTTGCCTTTAGCACACATGTTTGAGCGAATGGTGCAGGTAAGGCCCTGGCTTCAGGGAGGCACAGTCTGAGCCCAGAACCCAGAACCCTAGCAGGGTGTCACACTTGTCACTGGCAGCTTGAAGTAGAACTAAACTGGCCTGTCCTTGGAAGGTGCCACAGGGGTCAGAGGGGTCAGAGGACCTTGGACCCCCTGATCTGTCCCTCCTGTGAGCACTGCTCCAGGGAGGACCCAGGCCTGCTTGTCTTACTGTGGACACACCTTGGCTGAGAAAGGCCCCAGCTGCTCAGAGAGCATTGCAGCTCTGCAGAAGTGCTTTACCATTCAAGCTCTGTACAGTATGGCTCCATTTATGGCCCAAACACCTATATTCTGTAACTTTCATCACTCACTAAACTCCTAAAAAAGGAAACAAGACAGTGAAGTTGAAAGGGGAGTCAAAGTATCATGGCCCCTCAGGCTGTGGATGGGACTGGTGTTATGGTTGGACCTGGGACAGGCCTTGTGGGGACACAGAGAGAATGGAGGAGTCCTCCTGAGGTTGTGGGGACAAAGAATTATCCGTGTGTGTCACTTAAGGGACCAGCCTGTGCATAAACTATCTCCTAAGCCTCTCCCGTTTTGCCTTGGGGGAGGTCTGGTACACTAGGGCGTGCTTTCAAGCTTTCCAGACCCGGATTCGCATGCCAGCAATTACCGTGAACTAGTTTTGGGACTCTAGGCAAATCCCTTTCTTTACCTCTGTGACCTTTGCATTCCTCATCTGTAAAACAGAGATTAGAAATTCTGTTTCCCATATAGAATAGCTCTGAGCATGACAGAAAGGAGCCCCTGGCATACTCTTAGTCCCATTAGCAACCAGCCAGGCTCTGCCTTGGCCTCCCACCGCCAACATTAGCAGCACCTCCAGTACCTGTGGGCACTGCATACCCTTCCAGAGTTGCCGAGGTATCCCTGGGGAAGACCACAGGCGCTCTGAGACCTGGAGCGGACACACCGATAGGGTGTTGTACAGCTCAGAGACTGAGTCCTCAGGGAGGCCCCTGTCCAGGCTTTGGGAGTAAGCTTGAAGGGGCAGGCACCAGTGAGACTGGCTGCTCTGGCATCTCCCAAAGGCTCAGGATTCCACCCTGTCTCCTGCTTCTTCTCTCCATGTCTGAGTGGGACTTGGTGGGGAGGGGTGTGTGTGTGTGGGGGTGTCACCTCTAATGGCTTCCTTCAGTGTCCCAAGGCAGCAGCCAGAGCTGGGTGAGGGGTGTCACCGGCACCCTCCGTGTGGGGCAGAGCTTTGGACAGCTCTGGATTACAGCCAGGAGTGACCGCCCTGAGGGACTCCTCCCTTCCTGTCCACTTCTTCCAGTCTGTCGTCTACTGCCACGGAGGGCGCGTCGGCTTCTTCCAGGGAGACATCCGCCTCCTCTCAGATGACATGAAGGCTCTGTGTCCCACCATCTTCCCTGTGGTCCCACGACTACTGAACCGCATGTACGACAAGGTGAGCTCTGCGGGGAGTCTCTGGCCAGGCTGAGCAGCTGCATATCTGCTTGTTTGGACAGAGGCTGGAGCCCCAGGCAGGCTTTCTACACCACCAGCCCCAGGTCCTGGAAATTGCCTCTTCTCTTGTATTCCCTGACTGTCACCCCTCCTTCTCCTGTTTTCTTCCTATTCTCCAAAACCCTGGTTGGGAGATTTTGGGGGGAGGGCTTCTTTCCCAACAACATGCCTGGGCCTTGGTAGCGTTAACCTTTAGCTGGATGTCACACATTCAGTGACCTCCTGCAGGGGCAGAAATAGAGTGTGGCTTCTCTGCGGGCCAATCTAGGCCTTCTTCCTGGGGGTGTATCTAGAGGTGGGACCTGCAGTCTTTACAGCTGTTTCCAACTTCTGTTCCTCAGATCTTCAGCCAGGCAGACACATCATTAAAGCGCTGGCTCCTGGAATTTGCAGCAAAGCGTAAACAGGCTGAGGTCCAGAGTGGAATCATCAGGAATGATAGTATCTGGGATGAACTCTTCTTTCATAAGATTCAGGTAAGAAAATGAACAAGTGATGATAGAGTGGCACCCAAGTGTCCAATGGGTGACCTTACAGAAGAATTAGAGAAGTTCATCCCAATGGTGTGTAATCTTATAAAACAGTAACTTTTTGCTAATGAAATCAAAGCTTAAGCTACCACTGAAATTTTAAAGGACCCATTTTTGTTCATTGGAGATGTGTTATATTTGCCAAAGGCAACCAGCAAGGAGGACTCCTGGCAAGTAAGTTCCTTGACCTCTATAGGCAGTAGGGCAGCTTTGCCCTTGGGTAGTCAGATTCACCAAGCAAGCAGCTCTTGGGGCTCGAAGATTCTCTTGCCCCTCCCTGTAGCCTTGGCCACGGTGGCTTTCCAGTAGCACAAGGTTCTAGCCAGATGACCAAGAATCTTCCTTTCCCTCCGTGTTTCCCATCTCTTCAGCCTCTCCTAAACCAAGCTGTTTATGAATTACTCATTCCTTTCTCCTCACTAAAGTTTTAAAGCTGTGCATTACTCAAAGAACTTGTAGTTAATGTGTACCAGTACTCATTTTTCCTTACTACTCTATTTTTAGCTATGAAAATTAATATTTAAAATCTCTTGGCTCAACTTACAGAAACAAAGTGTTTAAAAAATTCTTTGACCTCTGCAGTGCATAGTAAATAGCTCATGGCATTGATTTAGAAATGAAAAAAGGCCATGCCATTAAGGTGGAAGTGGGAAGAAATTGTCCTCAGTAATTGTATTGGATGCTTGCAAATGATGGGAGAGTGAGGGAACAGCTGTGTATTTTAAGAAAGGGAGAACCAAAATTATAGAATGCCACACAGATTAATGGCCCTTATCTCAAAATACATAAAAGAGTTGACCATATTGTGGGTTGGATTGCAAAGCTGATTGGGCTGGTTCATTTGGAAGAAGGGGGCTTCCTCAGCTCATGTGTTGTACAGCCTCAGGCGGCCTCTCTGATCCCAACCCTAGGGTCCAGGTAGGGTACAGCTGCTGAACGTTGATGTTAGGTGAGGCCCAGGTGAGCTACACTCCACTTGCCACAGCACAGACTCTGGCAGGTTCTTCTCTCTTCCCACAGGCCAGTCTTGGTGGGTGCGTGCGGATGATTGTCACTGGAGCAGCCCCCGCGTCACCAACAGTCCTGGGATTCCTCCGGGCGGCTCTGGGGTGCCAGGTATTTCCTTTATGTGGCCTTCCCTGGGGGCAGTGGGGTGAGTGTTAGGACAGGGCAGGAAATCCATTATACCCTCTACTGTACAGAGAAATATTCTGGGGGCAAGATCTTTGTGGAATAAAAGCTCCCTTCTCTGAAGATGTAAAAAGCCCAGGGTCACTGATAGCCAAGATAACCTTGTGACATTGTGGAAAGCCCAGGTGTGTATCCACTCTGGGAGAAAACCGTATATGGATCATCAGTGTGCTGGAGAACCTGTCCCACACCTGTACCAGCATCTCTGCATTCTCCAGCCTGCAGACTATTTCCCAGCCCAGAGAAGGAGCACGAGGGAGGGGGATAAAAGTTCATTTGTGTGTTTTTATTTGATTCAGTAGGTTTTGTCATTGCTAAAAAAATTCATTCCTTTATTTATCCATTCAATTAATGTTTGTCAGGTTCCTACTTATGCAGACTATAGTAACATAGTTGTGACTGGTGGGTTTTAAGTAAAGTAGGCACATCTACTTCATAAATGTGCATGCTTAAAATTTTATCCTTTAGAAGCCGTGGGCTTCCTGGGAATTCCCTGGCGGTCCAGTGGTTAGGACTCAGCGCTTTCACTGCCGTGGGCTCAATCCCTGGCTGGGGAACTAAGATCCTGCAAGCCGCCAAAAAAAAAGGAAGGAAAAAAGAAGCCATAGGCTTCTTATGCTGACTTCCTGTTCTACACCAACATGAGCTGACCGCTCCTAAAGGCAGCTCTCCCACATGGTCTATTCATGCGAGCACATGGGGCTCTGAAGGGGAATATCTTACAGAGACAAAACCTTTATTGGATTTTAAAATGTTTGTCTTTAATACATATTATTCAAATTAGAAATAGAGTCAGTGGTTGAAAATAGCTTAGAAGTCTTTATCCCAAACCATATAACCTTATCTACTAAGTGTCTGTGGTTAAAAATAGCATTTCTTCCAAGCAGAGTAGCTACATCTGTTGCCTGTGTTCAGTTTCTCCTGAAGGTACCTACTTCCAGAGCACCTCCCCTCCCACCGTCCCCAGCATGGAGCAGCCAGATGCTCCGTGAGAGGTTAGCTGGCTGAAAAGGGCAGCCAGCTATCTGCAGGCAGGTGGGCACCTACAGTATGGTTTCTGTGTTTTGCTTGAAGGTTTATGAAGGTTATGGCCAAACTGAGTGCACAGCTGGATGTACCTTCACTACACCCGGGGACTGGACATCAGGTAGGATTGGCTGGAGATGTGGGAATGAGTTAGAACAGCAGGCTCTAAACTTCCTCATGGAAAGTATATTTACATGGGCACATAGGAAACAGCAGAAGAAACAGAAGAAAAACAATGATGGTAGTTTTGTCTGTGTTGTGGCATTATGGATCTGTTTCTTTTTGTTACATATTTTTGTATTTCCTACTATATTTTGTATTTTCCTATTTCTTTTATAAATAAATAGAAGTTATGTTAAAAAAAAGTAGTAAATCACAAAATACAGCTCCAGGTAGAAAAATGCCTATGATATCAATATATTGGATTTTCTAGTTTCTAAATATCACACAGTCTTGCTTACAGTCATTTCAGAATGAAGGAAGCAGGCTGTGAATTGGATATGATTTAGGAAGGAGAGGCAAGCTTATAGCAGCCAGTGCGCTGTTTCTTGAAGAGCCATTTCAGAGGCTCTTTGGAACTATGGTCTCCTGTGATAGCAACATCTAAAAGGCAGTGGCAACCTCAGAAAGGAGCAGCTACTATCCACACCCTCATTCTGAAGGGACCTATCTTTCAGGGCAAGGAGGAAGCAGTAGGTAGCCCATGTATTGGCTGTCACTAAACTTGGACCAAATACAATCATCTGAAAAACATTCAGCAAAAGAATTCTTCAGGATACCAACTTCCTCTGTGAGCCTGGAGCCACGCTTCACGCTTAAGTTTGCTCAGCTACAAACTAGAAAATTTAGGATGATGTGCACAGAAAAGAAATATGCTTAGTTGTGTAATACTATTTTCAGAGCACCTTGAGGTAGTCAGCAGAAACATGATAGGTGGATTCTAAATTGAAATCACATTTGGCAAAGTCAGGTACAGAAGTTTTATCTCCTTAAACTCTAGCTGAATAAAGCCTATCTTGTATGTGAAGTTTTTGATCTCCCTACCACTGGCACCTTTACTACACGGACCATCTTCTGAGGTCCTGGCTCATTAACTTTGTTCTTGTTACTGCGATCATATTTACTGATCATTTACATGTATACCCTTCCTTTGGACACTTTCTTCCCTCTTATGATGTCCTGCATTTTCCTATGTGAGGCTTTTGAGGTTTTACCTTTTTTATGCATCCTTACCATAAAAACTTGCAAAGGTTATTGAGTATGAGAAGATCGGTATCTTTGTACAATATTATAAAAGATTTGGCGGTCTCTCATTTAAAAGAGAAACGAAAGTGTCACAGCCTGCTTTTTGTTTATGTGGCTCACTTTATTTCAGGACCTTGGCCAGCATCTGCTTAAAAATCGTCCGCCTTGCCAGTGAATTGTGTAACAACCACAATTACTAGAAAATGACTTAGATGTAGTTTTGTGGTTGGAGTATATAAGACCAAGAAAATTTGTAGTCTTATTTGAGGGGGTGGGGTGGCGAGTTGCCTCATCCTTGTTTTCCATTTCAGCAGTCTGGTGACTGGAAGAAAAAGCAATAATGACTATATTGTATGATCCCCAAACCAAAACATATGATCTGATGATGGGGAAAGTGTTTTAATATAAAAAAATCCTGACTATTTGGTTGGTGTGGGTATGAGCCTCCCCAGAGACCCTGTACAGGTTGACTCTGGGCCATGTAAGCCTGGCCGGCTGTTTAAGAATCAGATGTAAAACAAAGGCCCAGCAGAGGTTGGCCTCTCCTTTCTCCAGAACTTTGTTTTATCATCAATGCTTGCTTGTGACAAACGCCCATCTAGAGGTGTATTGCTTTCCATCCACGATTCCCCACTTTGACCACTTGAGGGGTTTCACATGGCATGGAGCATCTTCAGTGCCGATATTGATCTAAACACTGACAAATGCACATTGTTCTGGTGTTCTAGGACACGTAGGAGCACCTCTGCCCTGCAATCATATCAAGCTCGTGGATGTCAAGGAACTGAACTATTGGACCAGCAAAGGAGAAGGAGAGGTAAACTTGAACGTTTAGCCATTCATGTTTGTGGATGCTCTACATGTAGCGAGGAGAAGAAAAAAAAATGGAAATGGAATTGTTTTCCTTTCACCCTATGTGTAAAGTCATTTTATATCATTGATTAATTTGACTCAACTGAATTGAGCATTTTCTGTCCTGTTTATGAAGTAACCAACCCTCAAGGCTGGGACTGGGCTGGTCCAAAACAAGATTTGGGATTCGCAGACTGTTTTAAAAATCCATTTTTTTCTTAACTGGCATGGCTTGTTGCTGTGTATCTGTGCAGGCAGAAACATGACCATTTGCAAATAGGCCAGATGGGGTAGATAGAGCTGGCCTGTGCTTGTTCATTCCATGGGAGTAGATAGGAAAGCTGAGTGCCTGGTCATGAAGCAGGGGGCTCAAGCACCTCTGGTAGAATCAGCCAGCTTTCAGTATCTGATGAGACCCCATCCAGTGTCACAAAGCAGCGCATACCGAAAGCCGCAGTGTTCCTGAGGAAGAAGGGACGGCAGAGAGGTAGTTGGAGAGGACACTGCTTGAGAGAAGGCAGGAGACAGGTGAGAACGCTGGCGGCTATTCCTGTCCTCTGTTTCCATCACTGTAGTTTCCACAGTGGATTTCCTGAGGGATAGTGTACATTTTTCTACACACGCCTCGTGACAGCCTCATATCAGGATTCCTTATGCTGTGGGCTGAGAGAAACCGGGCATTTGTCCCTACAGATATGTGTGAGAGGACCAAATGTGTTCAAAGGTTACTTGAAAGATCCGGAGAGGACAAAGGAGGCCCTGGACGACGACGGCTGGCTTCACACTGGAGACATTGGGAAGTGGCTGCCAGTATGTATGTTTGGAACCGTGGGCCTCCACACATGTTGGTGGTGGGGGTGTGTATAATCTGATTCACTCCAAGGCAGGAGTCTTTATATCCACCCTGACAAGTAATCATTCCAGAATACCTCTGGGAAATGGGAGGTTCTTTCTTACCTCGCCCCCAGAGCCTCCTCCTGCATCCTCCTGATGAAGGTGACAGGGATCTTCTGGGAGCGTAGAACTGGAGTTTGAGCCCTACCCCCTACCCTTAGGAGGTTTCCAGGAAGAGATCTGACAGTGTTCTGGAATCCGATGGGTGAAGTACAAGGAGCATGGGGCTCGTAACTCTGGGAGATCTGACGAAGGCAGGGCCTGGGAGCCCATGGACACTGGCCGCCAGCTGACAGGTGGCACTGAGCAGTGTGAAGAGCTTGGAGCTGGGCAGGAGGATGCTGGCGTTCCTTTGTCTCTGCTAGCAGCTGCCCTCATGACCTTGAGCAAAGCTTCATCCCTCTCTGGGGCTCTGTATTGACTCAGTTATAGAATAAGAAAGTAAGGCTACATGGCATTCTTTAGCGGTGGCCCCCAACTTTTAGCCAAAACCAGTAATGGTGCCTCATTCTGTCATTTGTAAAATGGAGGTGATAACATTGCTTACCTCTGTGGTCATTGTTGTAAGGAACAAATGAGATTATACCTGTAAAGCCCTTAGCACAATACCTGGCACACAGGAGATGCTTAGATGGAAACTATGACCAGAAAAAAACTATGTAACTGAAACCGAGAGCCTCCACCTGCAGCAGCCCACCCCAGGAAACCTTTCCTGTGTCTCTGGGAGATTGCTAAGATTTTGGGTGGAGTTCTGAGATGTTGAATTTATTGGACAGGTGAATGATGTTGAGCCCTCCAGGGGCCCTCTGGGCTGGTGAGCTGATTTGCCCCTGCTTGGAACTGCGCATTTCACTTTGAGACACCCTCACTCTTGCAGCAGACATGGATGTATCCCTGGGCCAGGAACTATGCTCAGGGGAGAGACACATCTTTAGACAGTTCCCAACCCAGTGTGATGGGCATGAGATGAGGGTCATGCTCACCTAGGGGAGAAGGACAAGCGCCTACTGGCTCTGAGTCTCAGCATTTAAGTCCTGTTCCAAGAGGAGAAGGGAGAGTGGGAAGGACAGTCAGGGCAGGAGTAATAGCATGTGCTAAGTAGAGAGACACTAGAGGTGTGAGGCAAGGAGTTCTAACTGAGGGCCCGCAGATGTGGAGGAGGGAGGCTGGAGAAGCAGCAGGGCCCTGGACACTGGCAAAGGGTAGATTGTCCCATCAGCTAACGAAGCCTAGGCTTCAGCCTTCACTTGCGTAGGCCCCTTTCAAGGCTCTGCACTTCATTTTATATTATTTTTCTTAAAGGTGGGGGTCTCAAAACTGGAAAAAACTTGAAGTCCCACAAAACTCTGGATCTGCCACTGATGCCCTGTAACTTGGATGAAACCACCCACCTTGCAGGGTGTTGTGAGAAGCAAGTAAATTGATTCATGTGAAGCACCTAGTGCTGTGCCTGAACTCAGAGCCCAAGGCAGTAGGCAGGCAGTTTGTGGGAGTCAGTTTTTAAAATTATTACTATTTTGAAATAGTATTAGATAGATCAAGGAAAAGGTCTAAGTGTCTGATCCAGAAAGACCTGGTTTAAGTCCTGGTTCTCCCACCTCCTAGCTATGTGGCCTTGGAGGCGTTAACTGACCTCTCTAATCCTCACCTTCACCATTTATGAAATGGAGGTGATGACAACCAGCTCATGGGGTGCCACGAGGACCAAAGAAGCCAGTGTAGGGAAAGGCTCTGATGTCCAGCCTGGATTTTGAGCAAAACAAGGCCTGCTTGTTTTTCTCTTCTGGCGAGACTACTCTGGTTCTGATGATTGAACAGATACAGCAGGGCCAGAGTGTATGCACACGTTCAGTAAGGAAGTGGTTTTGATGGAGGAGGAGGTGTCTGTGAGAAGGATTTATGAGTGAGGACAGATGAGCCTGACTGCTGGAAGTCCCAGGAGAGGCCAATGGCAAGGCCATCTCCAGGTTTGGGGCTTGGGGAATGGGACAGCCTTGAGGAGGAGAAGGATGAGCTTCCTTTAGGGCATGTTGCATCGTGCAGGGAAAAGGGCCTGGTTTTTGTAGAGTTTGGAGGATAGTGAGGTTCTGGGTCTGGAGCTCAGTGAAGAGCTCTGGCTGGAAGTTCAGACGTATGCAGGAGTGGCCACTTAGGAGATAAACGGTGGTCACCTCAAGGAGCATCGTCAGTGAAGGTGAGGAAGTTGCAACATTCAAGGAGAGAGCCAAAGGAGAGAGACCCACCTATTCACCTTGGAAATTCAAAAAGTTTTGAAGGGAGTCAGGGAGGTGAGTGGGGTTCCTGGAGGCCAGGGGCACAAGCACTCACTGTCCAGGGGGTGGCCTGCCTGCTGCAGAGGTCCTGGAGGGAGAGGGCTCCTAATGCCACCTGGGGTCCTCTGCCAGAGCTGTGCTATGTGCTGAAGGATGGAGAGGCTGCTCTTTGGGAGTGGTGGCCTAAGCATGGTTCAAGGGGGAGAATCTGAAGATGCTGCTGAGAAAAGCGACAGCTGGAGCGAGGGCCTGGGTGAGAGGACCCCTGATGGGAAGGTGGGTGGCCTCCTGAGGAGGAGGGCACCTGTTGCCGGGCACCAGGGTGGCAGGGGTGGGAGGGGGAGTAGGGCACATGGTGAGGGTACAGGACAGTGGGCACTCAGGGCCCAGCAGAGCTTGGGAGCCATCCACCCTTGTGCACGGTGTCCCTCTCCATCTGTGCAGTGGCTCCATGAGAGCAGAGATGTCAGGTGCACGAGCAGATCTGGTGGGACTTGCAGGGTGAGACCAGGCGTTGGAGAGGTGAGGGGCTATGGCACTAATGAGTGAGGGGCTCAGGCTTGGGAATGCCGCCATTTTATGAAGCCGCTTGTCCAATTCCACAGGCTGGAACTCTTAAAATTATTGATCGGAAGAAGCACATATTTAAACTTGCTCAGGGAGAATATATTGCGCCCGAGATGATTGAGAACATCTACATCCGGAGTGAGCCTGTTGCACAAATGTATGTCCATGGGGACAGCTTAAAGGTGAGTCCCCTAGGCCTCAGCCCTCCCACACGTACTTTGGGCCTGATGAGTACTCTGGGAATGGTTTCCTAAGTAACTGGTATTTGATTAAAGTGATGAACATTAATTTCCAATCAGATCCTGGTATTCTCTGGCGTATAGGATCATGAGAGAAAATGCCTTTCTAAGGGAGAAATCTTAATTGCTTATAGTTTGGTAAATTGCAGTTAGGTAACTAAGTTGCTTAAAGTAGTAGTAATAACATTCCCACTACTTTTAACTTATGCTCTGTCTACTTCCAAGGGGAATTTTGAGGTAATATGCTGAAGCAAGATTCAGGGTTTCTGCTGTTTTGATTTTGAAATACACATAAGAACTTTACAGATAAATAGGTGCAGTATTGCAAATAATGATACTGATGATATATCTTAATATATTAAGCTAATGTGCTAATATAGTACAGGATTAAATTATTTGAAGGGGATTTATATTTATTCTGCTTTCTGGTATCATTTAGATCTGAAGTCAGAAAGATCACTGTGAATATATTCTGTGCTGTCATTGGATTTATGTAATTAAAGACTATTAAATTATTTTTTAAGAAAATGATTTAAAAATTAAAATGGTGTTCTTAAAGAATGAGGACCATACTAATGAATCAATTTCAAAATGGTCTGGAAATCCTTAGAAATGTATGTGTTTTGGATTGTAGAGTTGGTTGATCAGTATCCTAAAGATGTACTCATTTAAGATTGGCATGAGAATCAAAGGTACATACAGGACTAACCTTACTGATTCCTAATCTTCTTAAGCTTATTTTTTATTAATAAACTTTTTACGAAGTTAGGGAAATATATTAGAAATATTCAAGAATATTTCTGTCAAGAATGTGTGATATGTTTCATAACATAAACATATACATATTTTTAGAAAAGAGTGGAGTCTGAGAATACCAAGAGATTAGTTTTAACGCTAGACCGCAAATAACCACTTTAAAAGCTTTTGTCATAACTGTGTTTTCTTTTGGTGGGATCGCAGGCCTTTTTGGTGGGCATAGTCGTGCCCGACCCGGAAGTCATGCCCTCTTGGGCCCAGAAGAGAGGAATTGAAGGGACGTATGCAGAGCTCTGCACAAATAAGGTCTGTACCTTGGGGCTGTTCCCCAAAAGACTGCTGGACCTTCTGTGATACTGCATAATGAGAGGACATACACAAACAGTAGCCCAAGTGAAATTTGAACCTATAGGGAAATTTCTAACTTTATTTTATAAATGGTAGGAATCCTAAACCAGAGGTTTGCCTTTTGTCATTGTTGTAGAAGGAGCTCATATCTCTTCTTAGAACACTTGATAAACTATTGAATTTTCCAGCCAGGAGACATCAGAGAAAGCTTGTCCAGCCCTGCTGTTTTGCAGCTTTCAGGAGAGTCCAGAGAGGGAGGCGGCTTGCCCAAAGCCACACAGCTGGTTAACAGCAGTGTCAGATGTGAGAATAGGCCTTCTGACTCACTGGCCCTGCTCTCTCCCAATGAGAGGTAGCTTTTATATCTACTGGGCTTAGAGAAACAGTCATGGAATTGAAAAAGGAGCACAGTTCTCCCTGCTTAGAACATTTGCCGCTCACACCTTCCGGAAGCCTTCTCCTGGCACATGTACTGTGCCAGGATCTCTGTGCCCTGACTCAGAGGATCTCTGTGCCCTGACTCAGCATCGGCCCCTCAGTCACATGATCTGTTTCTTAGCAGCAGCCATGAACCCTAGAGCTCCCACCAGGCCCTGGGCTCTTCTGGGGGTGACAGGGCCCCTGAGACTCACTAGGCTGACCAGAGGTCTGCTTTAAAAAACAAAATTGAGTGGTCCCTTAGCCTGTTGTTGGACACTCCTTAGGCCATGCGGGCACTTACTTGCCAGATGAGGGATGGTGATTGGCTTGCTGCCAGGGAGCGTCAGCCCTAGTTGGGGGTTTGAAAGGTGGGGGGAGTGTTGGTATGATTGCCAGTTGTACTTTGCTCACAACTCATTGATTCTTCTATCTCCATTTTGAAATGTGTTTTTGCCTTGTAATTTTACCTATATGGTTCAATTCAGGAGCTGAGGAAAGCCATTTTGGAAGATATGGTGAGGTTAGGAAAAGAAAGTGGACTCCATTCTTTTGAACAGGTAACTGTTACCTTCTCCATACTTGTTACTGCCCTTTATGCAGGGATGAGAATTAAAGTAACCAACAGTGACCCTGACCTAGATTCCCTATCCTCCACGCTGTGGCCTGCAGGCAGGCTGTGTACCAACGGACCCCTGAAGGCCTGTTCTAAGCTGACTTTGCAACAGCCTGCATCCTAACTAAAATCGGTCGTAGGCTGAGTGAGACTGTGCTTATTGTCCTCATAATCACAGATGTTCATAAAGCTGAACTATTACCCTAGCCATAACTGGTACAGCATGTCTACATGGTGTGTCTCCAAGCTGCGTGCAGTACTCAAGACCAGAGTCCTGTCTTATTTTTATTTTTATGGGGACTCTCTTCTTGGCTGCAGCAGGCAAGCTTACTTGCTAGGACATCAGAAAGATTGCACTCCTGGGGCCAGTGATCTGTCAGCCCAGCAGGCCCTGAACAAAGAGGAGGAAACAAAGAGTATGTTGGGAGTGGACACAGCAGACCTCTAAGACTTTCCGTCTTTGCAAGGTTGGGGTTCTCTTTTGTAACTGAGTTCATAAGCGTACTTGGTCCTACTTACACATGCCATTTATAATCCTCTTTAGTCACAAATTCAAAAAGAAAAATTCTTCAAACAGAAAAATATTAATATGCTGATTTTTAAAAATTTCCTAGTATGTATTTAATTGTTTTCAATAAAATGGTTCTCCAACAGTGTCCCCAAATATAGTATTAAGGATCTGCAAGGTTTATGAGAATTTTAAATTTTATCTGTTCTTTTTTTTTTAATATAAATTTATTTATTTTTGGCTGTGTTGGGTCTTCGTTGCTGCGCACGGGCTTTCTCTAGTTGCGGCGAGCGGGAGCTACTCTTTGTTGTGGTGCGCGGGCTTCTCACTGCGGTGGCTTCTCTTGTTGCGGAGCATGGGCTCTGGGGCACTTGGGCTTCAGTAGTTGTGGCACATGGGCTCAGTAGTTGTGGCTCACGGGCTTAGTTGCTCCGCGGCATGTGGGATCTTCCCAGACCAGGGCTTGAACCCGTGTCTCCTGCATTGGCAGGCAGATTCTCAACTACTGCGCCACCAGGGAAGCCCCTTTGTATATGTTCATTTTGATGTTAACCTAAAAACATTTTTAAACCGGTTTTAAATATAAACCCTTACAGCAGTTGTTTGACAATTAGAAAACATTTCCACAGATTAAGACTTTTAATTTCTTAAGTTTCAAAGTGAGGAAATCTAAATATAGTTTCAGGGTTTGAGGGAATTGTTTTTCTTTTGAAATGGATCTTTACATTAATCTAGCTTGAGAGAAACTGCTTTACCCTCATCCATCAGTGTGTTTTAGGGCAAATAAGGCCTGGATGAATAAATCCTTATTTTTAAAAATTATAAAATCTGAGGCATTCAGGCAAGTCATATTTATCTTTCTGAATGCAAGGTCATTTCTGGCATGATAATTAAATTTCTAAATTTGCTAAAACTGACTTCATTGCTCTTCCATTACGGGGAGCTGTGTGACTGTAGATGTGATCCTGTAGAGCAGGCGCCACAAATGAGTGGTTGGAGACCTGGTTGATCTGGGCTCCCTATTACCTGAATGGATGGCTGTAAGGGCGCTGGGGGTGCACTGGGGATCCTGCGGATACCCTTGTGATTCCCAAGGCTTGCATGCCCCCTGCTGGATGTGGGCTGCGTGATCTGCCTCAGAGCAGGTGGAGAATTGTAACAGATTCCTCTCCTTGGAAAAGACTACCACTCTTAAGCTTATGTTTAAAAGAAACCTTTGGTTAAGGTTCCAGTGTTAACCATTGCTCAAGTTAGAGCTTTTACTGAGAGGACACGTATTCTTGACTTTCCATACGCCTTAAGCAAAGTTTCTGCTCTAATAATCGGCCCTCCCTCGCCATGGTAACCTTAAATACAGAGAAGTCATGTGGCATCCCAAAGGCCTGAGTTTTATTGCCAAGGCTGTTACCTCTTCATTTTCTCTGTTCTCATTCTCCTCTTTGTTGGTGTGTGCTCCTAGTTGTGTTCCAAAGCTCAACATAAATTACTTGAGTTAATCCATAATCTATTGTCAGCTAGTCCTTTTCCCTTTTCCTCAAAAAGGAATGATCAATTAAGGCTTAATGCTAATTTTTTACCCCCCCTCCTCCCCCAATAGATATCCAAGCCCAAGGCTTAAATCATTCAACAGAAGCTTTAGGAGTTCAGACTTACTGGGCAGCATTGATCTGAATGAAACTTTGAATTAGATGAAAAATTAATGTAATTTGATTTCCAGAAACAGACAATTCCTAGAACTAGGCCAACCATTATCAATTTATGGAGATTTAATGAGTAGATAAGAAGCATTTAAAATAACTGTTACCAATAATTAAAATATGTAGGTTCTTGTGAAGTATCTGAGCATACTTAACTGCGATTTAACCTTTTTTTTTTGACATTTCTATGCCTTATTAGTTTGCATAGGCATATAAAATACAAAGTGAACTTTGAAACTTGACAGTTTTCAAATTCGGACTGCAAAGCCCTTGCTAAATATATTTTACTGTATTTCTTGTCATTGAAATGAATACTTACCTAATCAATTTACCTTTAAATCAGAAATGAATTGAACATTTCCCTAATTTAAAATTTTAAAATTTCTCTTGTCCTAAATTATTCACTCTGTGTTTATTATCTACAAGCAATATTGTGTGTTAAAGTGTTTCACAGAGTAATACCATTGAAAGATTTTAAATAGTTTTTTTTTTCAGAATTATGAAAATTTCTATGCTTTAATGAGTTGGCATACATTGACATTTTTGAGGCATTATATTCCAATATAATATTTAAATGTTATAGTATCTTTAAATTAAAAAAAAAACTATAGAATCACTTTTCTGTGACAAGAGTGTAGTTTCAGAAAGGGAGGTAACATTAAGCATCTCCTTCCTTCTTTCCTCAACAAAAACTTTGCTTATTGCAAACTGGAAAACAAGTTTTATGTTGTGTTAGGCATAAAGGGAGACTAAAGACTCTCGTTCCTTTTTCCCCCCCATAATGCAACAGTTTGGTTTTATTAGAAAATATGTAATTATTTATAAAAAATGAAACTTCGTTTTACCATTGGTTTACTTCTGAAAATAAACTAACTATAGGTTTTGGGGCCCACAGTTAAGGTCAGTTAAAGAACTGTTTTGACTCATTTTTTTCCCACTTACTGATTAGACTTTTAGTCACTGGCACAATTTGTATAGGTATTTTCATGGAAGAATTTAAATAGAGCCAGGGCTGTAGGTCAGACTGGAGCAGGGACTGGCAGTAGTGCCACTCTGATCTGCTCACTAAGTGGCTGAAAGGTGAGCTGAGTGCCATATTACTTGGCTTCCCTCAACACTGTATTTAATTGTGTTTCCTCTGCTCAGGCAGAGACTATGTTGTAGAGAGCCACATTGAACTGCAGATGCCCCAGTCAGCACTTTAGGCCTGCTACAGGTTGCTGGTTTGACAGATACTCAAAATCTACCAGCAGATGCAGTTCTTTCTTCCTAAGATCATAGTGTTTTCTTTTACATTCTACTTACCATCTAAATAGTGTATGTAGCTCTCCCTATGAGAGTCATCTTCCCTGTACTGTATTGTTTGAAGCTTCTGCTTGTCACTGCTGTATTTTCAAAGGTGTTCTCCCAAGTCCCTGTACTGAACATAGATTCTTGTCTCAATTACACATGTTCTCCACATGCTGTTAGGAATGCAGATGAGCTGAAACCCAGGCTGCCAGGACACTTGTAGAAATTGTATCTTGGCATTGGCATCTCCTATAAAATTATATTATTAATTTCATTTACAGAAGAAGGTGGATAGATCGTTTACACTTGCCAGAAGTCTTTATGTGATACTGTTTCTATCAGAAAGGAACTTCAAAAAAAAAATTAAGGATATTAGCACTGCCAGTTTTTCATTTCATGGAGGTAAACATGAGTTACTAAGTTAAATCACTGTATCTAGGATTAAGTTTGATTTGGATTTTGTTCATATTTTCTTCAAGCTAGCTAGTTTTGTTATCAAATGGTGATTTCTGAACTTGAGTAGCAGAACTTAGATGACATCTTATGCACCTTAGGAGCACATACAAAACATAAGAGCAGTGCTACTCTGGTAGGTTTGGGGCTTGAGCCAGAGCCTGTCTTCCACCTCCCACCCCTCAACCCAGCCCCCTCACTCATCCCTCCCCCACCCCGCCTCCAATGCACTTCTGCCTCTCCCCCACCTCATCCCACCCGTGTCTGTCTACACTCCACCTTCACGCCCATCTCCACCTCTATACCCCCGCCCAGCAGAGGCCACTGCAGAACCCCTAGCTCTCAGTGCACTATGGTCTGAAAACGTCTCCCTTGGGACCTGTTTCCAGTGAATTTTGGATCCCCTAGGATGATTTATGTTTGATCAAAACAAATTAGGAAAAAAGTATATTCCAGAGGGTACAAAAACTGGCAGCCCTATTCCTTACCAAATCAAATTCTTTGAGCATCAAAAACACTAAGAGAATTTTCTTTTTTTTAATTTTTTTTATTTTGCCATGAAAAAAATTCAGAAAATTTTTATTTTATATTGGAGTTGAGAGAATTTTCAAACAAAACACTTTTTACAAGAACCTTAACAAATTTTGAAACATTCGATAATGCCTCTTTTTAGCCAAGAGCCTCAGATTTCCAGTTATTTATGCTGGATATCCAAGTAGAAATCCTTTCAGTGTGTAAGGTAAAGTTGAGGCGGCTACCTGTAATGCTAGCTTTAATTTTAGCCTAAAGTCCAGTCCTCCCCTTCCCACCACACACGAATCCCTTAAAATGCTATTCTTTTTATAGCAAAAGTGAATCCTTCATTTGAACAAATTTCTAAAGAGACAAAGATGAATCTCATTTATTAATGCTGTGCTCATTTGAAAATTATCACATTTTAAAATTACAAGCATGGGTTTAAAAAATGCCAGAATTCGTTAGAATTTTTCTTAAAAACTTATTAAGAAGTAGAAAGTGTAGCTGTTTTAGGGGTCTTCTTTGTATATTGAGTCTTTGATCTGAAAAATCAGTGAATGCAATGGAGAATTTTCTGAGGAAAGACTTCTTTGTCATATTGCAATGCCCACCTGCCAGGACACTAGACTGTTAGCATCAGAGATTTGGAAAACAATCACTGACATGTTGAATTTTTTGCAACTATTTGCATACATTGATTTTTTCCAATTTTTAAATTTTTGGTGGTTAAATACACATAACATAAAATTTACCATCTTAACCATTTTTAACGTGTGCAGTTCAGTGGCATTAATACATTCATAATGTTGTACAACCATCACCACCATCCATTTCTGTAACTCTTTTCATTTTGTAGAATGAAACTCTGTACCCCTTGAACAATAACTCCCAATTCCCTCCCTCCCCCCAGCCTCCAGAAACCACCATTTTACTTTCTGTCCCTATGACTTTGACTACTCTAAGTACTTGTGTTTTTGTGACTGGCTTATTTCACTTAGCCTAACGCCCTCAAAGTTCATCCATGTTGTAGCATGTGTCAGAATTTCCTTACTTTATATAAATAATATTCCATTGTATGTCTATGCCACATTTTGCCTATCCATTCATCTGCTGATGGACATTTGCATTGCTTCCCTGTTTTAGCTATTGTGAATAATGCTGCTATGAACATGGATTTACAAATATCTCTTTGAGATCCTGCTTTCAATTCTTTGGGGTATATATTCCAGTTTCTCTATATCCTCACCAACACTTGTTATTTCTGTTTTCTGGATAATAGCCAGCCTAATGGGTGTGAGGTGGTGCATAGACTGATTTTTGAAATAAGTCATTTCCTGATTGTATCCATTGATTTTAATTAACAATTCTCATATGACAGTAACATATGCCACAGTAACCTTTCACTCTTGTTCTCCTGGCTTCTGTAACCCACAACCCCGTTCCTTTCTACTCCTCAAGAAACTCCTTCTCTGTCCCAAGCCCAGGCTGAAGCTGTGTCCTACATACTAATACTAATATATCCAATGTCCAAAAACCACTTGGATGTCTCAGAAGCATTTCAAACTTGACATGAATACTTGATCTTCCTGCCTCCAAAGAATCTTTCTGCTCCTCCTCCAGTTTTTCTGCTCAAGCAGAAATCTAGAGCCAGTCGTAAAATCTCTTTCTCTATCAATTACCCAAACCAATTGTAAGTCCTGTCCTTTCTACTCCCCAAATCTATTTCCATCTCCACAGCCAACTTTATAGCCTAAATCACCATCAATCTTGCCTTTTGGCTGGTCTTCCAGCTTCCACTTCTACCTCATTTTAATCCTCTCTTAACAGGGTAATCTTTCCAAAGATGCATTCTAGTACTGTCTCTCACTGTTTAAAAATTGTTTAAAGAATTATGTCCAAAATCCCTACCTTGGCATATTGATCCTTTGTAATTTGGCCCCAGCCTATCTCCACAGCCCCATCTCTTTCTTCTTCTTTATTTGTATCACCTGCTGCAGCCTATACTTGTGATGTCCCATGTGTGTTTTGGCACATGTTGCCTCTGCCTAGAGCCATATAACAGCCTCTCCCTTCCCCTTGCTATCTTCATCTGGCCAAAGCCTACTTATCCTCCAGAGTTCAACTCAAGCATCCCTTTTCAATGAATCCTGCTCCAGAGACTGGGTTAGGTGCTATATCAGAAAGGCATTCAGCTCTAAAAGAAAACCCTCAGGGTCTTAAACACATAGGGTGTGTTTTTTTGGTGTTCTCACATAAGAAGTCCGAACATAGGCAGTCCAAGGCAGGTACAGGTTCTCAAAGACCTAGGCTCTGCCTATCTTTCCACTCTCCCTTCTTAGTATGTTGGCTTATCACTTTCTGTGGCTGCTACTGCTTTGGACATTGTCCATATTCAAGGAAGGAAAAAAAGAGAGTGGGTAGAAATAGGTATGTCTGAACCTTTTATTAGGAAAGCAAAGGCTTTCCCTTCTCACTAGCCACAGACGGATCTTATGACTACACCTTAGCTGCAAGGGAGCCTGGGAAATCAGGACATAGGATTGTCATAGTTTACATAGAACATTTTGGCCCCAAATAAAACCTGGGTTTTATTAGCATGGAGGATAGGGAGTGATACTGGGAAAGCAACTGACAACTGCTCGTCCCTATAGTAGTATTATCATACTGCAGCATCCCTCATTAGATTGTAAGCTCCATGTGTGCAGAGATTGTGTCTTGTTCTTCTTTGTATCCCTGGTGCCTTACACTATACCTGACACATGGTAGTTGCTCAATAAATGCCAATTAAGCAAAACAACAAGTGAAAATATATATGTATTTAGCGCATATATTTTGAGTTAATTTTTTAAAGTCTATATATAGCAATTCATTTGCCATTTAATAATATGGATCTGTTGTCTCAACAAAATAATTGAATGTAGACCCAGTTGTCAGTCAGGATACAATTTCTTAGAGACACTGTCACTCCAGGATTCAGCTCAAGCCCAGATCATAAAATTCTGGTTAAACTGACAGTCAACCTTTCAGCTGCAATCTCACGTGGGAGGAGACTGCCCAGGCCTTCCCAGGTTAGTTCGTCTATCTCTCTGGTCCCCCATTCAGGCTTGCAAAGAGACTTTGCATGAGGAGGCCTGGAATCTGCCTCATGGAAATAGGCAACACGAACACTAAGTCTGATCCCTCCATTCCTCCTTCCAATAATGTGATCACATTTTCTGGCAGAACTTTTTTTTTTTAACACAGATTCGTCATGTCCCCGCCTAGACTTTATATTTCTCCTGTGAATGGCACCATTGTCCATGCAGCCCTCCAAGCCAGAAACCTGGAAGTCCTCAAGGCTGCCTCCTTCTTTATTACATCCTGCCCATTTATCTCTAAATCGCTCTTAGAACTGCTTACTTGTCTCTGTCTCTGCCACTTCTGTAGGTGCAGGCCCTTATCTTCTTCTCTCCTGTGGATTGGTCAGGTCCTTCTGATTGGTTTCCCTGCTTCTAATCTTAACATTCTTAAAAGCCATCTTCACATTTCTCTTGGAGAGATCTTTATAAATTGTATATTCAGCCATGTCATTGTCCTGTATAAAAATCTCCTACTGTTTTCCTCTATAAACTGCCCCATCTACCACTTCAGCTTCATCTCTCACCCACTTTGCCTCCTACTTTATGTAACTACAACAGAAATCACTTGGATTTCCTTTTTCATACTCTGCCATTTCTCACTCCCATAGCTTTGGTCATAGGGTTGCCTCTGCCTGGAAATGCCCTTCTCCACCCACTTCTCCTCCTTTGCTGGTTAACTCTTACTCGTCCTTTAACACTCACCTGATTTGAGAAGGCTTCCCTGACTGCTCCTCTCTCTTCCCTGCCATAACTGAGTTAGGTGCCCTTCATCCTGTGTATACCGCATTGTCTAATAATTGCCCAGTGTGTCTGCTCTACTGGATTCCAGTGTGCACTCCCCGAGGGCAGGGGTGCTCATGATCCCCCTTTGTGTCCTCCGTGCCTGGCACAGAGTAAGGAATTAACTCATTTCTGTTGACTGGCTAAATGGAGGAGTAAGAAGGAAAAAAGGTGGCTTTCAGACATATCAAATAGGCTGAAATGTTATTAGGATAACTCTGACTTTTAAATAGGCATAGTGTTTTTATATCAATATTTCTATTCCCATATGCCTGTCTACTTTTATCATGTATGCTATGAATGCTGTGTTATATTCCTGATAAAGATGTGTTCTGCATTTGGTTTTTAGGTTAAAGCCATTCACATCCACTCTGATATGTTCTCAGTTCAAAATGGCTTGCTGACACCAACACTAAAGGCTAAGAGACCTGAGCTGAGAGAGTACTTCAAAAAACAAATAGAAGAGCTTTACTCAATCTCCATGTGAAGTTCAAGGGAAGTTCTTCTCAGTATAATGGACAATGTAGCAATATTATAGTTATTTTTTGAAAGTAATGTGTCAGAATGATGCAGCTGAAAATGAAAAGCACGTGACCTTATGACTGAGCCTCTTCCTGTCCCAAGAGGTCTTTAACAATATTTTCTCTCTCATCACCGAGTATACTTTATTTTTATTACAATGATATTGTAGTAAGCTGCTAAAAATATCACAAATGGCATTGTAAAAATCAAGACTTTTCTCAAGAACTGTGTACCACTAAAAGTAATATATTCTCAGTGTTCACAGAACTTCTATTAAACATAAAGGAAAAACATAACTGATATATTGTACTTAATTATTTGTGGAATAGTAACCAGGTACAGCAAATATCTAGGCAATGTGGACTACCTCATTCAATAACTGATGGTCAAAATCACAATTAAATCAGACTTAAAAAATTAAAACTAATACAGAATCATTCTGAAACAAAACATGATAGCTCACATTCTACATAACTTCAGATTCTTTAAACATAACAATCCTCATTGACGTGAAAAAATTTTCTCTCCAATTTTTACTTTTATTTATGAAGATTGCAAATTCAAGTATTCTTAAAACAAATGTATTTACATAACATTTTACAAAGATCTTTCAATACATTTTCTTATTTATTAAGCTCGTTCAAATATTAAGGAGCTACCCAGAAAAAAATGTAATGTATAACTACTTCAAGGATAGCATGTGTATATTCATGGATGTCTTACCACATGAATTATAAAAGATGTCTGTTTGACTCTGCTCTGCAATGAATGGACCTTTAGGGAAGACTTGGGAGAAGAAACCCAGAATTATTTCTCAGGGTGGGCAGCAATTAATGTACTGATGTTCCTTGCTGGGTTCTTCCAGTCTTTCCATTCTCAATGTGTCCATGCCAGGCCTGCGAAACCCATATGGCAATAATTCTGAACAGCTTCACTTTCTTCCAGTAAGAGATTATCACAGCAGGATGTAGGGAGGGGGGGATGTTATTTCCAAATGAAATAATTTTTCAACAACGTAAGTTTGAAGAACCTCTTCAGAATACCCCTAGAAAACTATTTACGTCCATCATAGATAAATATCTCCTTGGGAAATAATTTCATGCATAGAATCTCTAAACCCTTCTAAGCTTACCCATGAAAACCTCCTTTCTTGGCGTTATGTGTTTAAATACTTCTTGCACCTGGGTGCCAACAATGTCGTATAATTAAAGCCCAGCATGGACAGCAGTTAGGTTCCAAGCTACAGACTGCATCTACAGAAGAAACTGTCCCTAGGAAGGTGTTTTCTTCTGTAGAGACAGGACTCTGAAAGCAGAGATGGGGGCAGTATTCACAGTCCAGAAGCTCCTTACCCCTGGAGCAAATCCAAACTGTCAATAAATGCTGTCGGTTAGAAACTGCATAATCACACAGGCTTACTAGATGAATCTGCACCAGTGATTATACACTTATATTTCAGTCTTCACAAAAGTGGACAACCACAGCTTCATTTGATGTATTTATCCAATCTTTTACATATTCCTTTGCTGGATTCTCTCTGCAGTCCCACTACTTGCACTTATAAATTTGACTTTTAGTAGATGACCTAGTTCTGTGCACATTAATTTTTAAAGGCATTTCTAAATAAACAAATACTAAAAATGTCCAAGGCCACATCTATTATACATAGCATTAATTTTTTTATATTTAATATATATTTGACTAATTAAAAGAGAAAATCATTACCTGAATTGGATATTTGTATTATTTTAAAGGGAAGTAGCTTCACATCTTGAGGAAAATGAACCTCTTTCCCATTGTCCTTCTGCTCAACTAAATTTCACATTTGTCTTTGTTTCCAAAGGATTTTAGACAATGAAATTATAAGCAAATAATTTAAAATTTATTTTGATAACATTTATACCTAATAATAGTTAGAGATAATTGATTATGGATAACTTAAGATTTCTTCTCTTTCTCACTTTAAAGATCTTATGTTTCTATTCGCCTTCCTGATTCCTGTGAAAATCATCACACTTGGGCATATAAATAGGTTGTGGCAGATGTGCTGAGAACAGTAAACAGTGGGCCCTAAATATATTGCTTGTACATTTATTTTTTCCACTGTTTAACTCTACTGAATTTTTTAATAAAGGAGAAATGAAACAATATGTGTTAATGGAAAAAAAATCCTTCTTACTTCAGAGTTCCCAACTTTATTTTGAGGGGGAAAAGTTTGTATTTCTCTTTAACCAATGTAGAAAAAGGCTGTGTACTTAAGACATTTACATTCATAGTGGACATCAGATCCAATTTAAGTCTAGAGGTATAACGGAGATCAATTACTTAACATAAACATGTTCTTAAATGTTTGGCCTTTTATCTCTTTCTCATTTAAATGTGTTAGTAATTCTTACATTTTACAAACTAATCTTGTTGTTTATAAAAATATAAAATAGAATATACACCAATTTTTTTTCCTTTTGCCATAAAAGACATCTTTGTATTGTGATTCTCCTCCAGGTGAGAGAGGAAACTGACCAGGTATGTGCAGGCCTAGCTTCACATATTAGGAACTCACGAACTCAGGAGTCTAAGGAATAAACGTACCTAGTCTCCCTCACGTGAGCAAGTCAACCTTTCGTTCTAAATTTAGGTAAAACTGCAAGCATGAGAAAAAATAGGATTTTTTCATTGCAATTTTTATAGTCAGGTAATGTTTTAGCAACTTGAAGTCAGCACTTACTTTGATTGTATTACCCATCAAAGAACCTCTGATCTTTTATTTTTCTGCAGTAAAGGGAATGAATTATTCTTTATTTTCCAAATGTATAAAGCACAAATGTGATATAGTTACTTAGAATACAAAATACTGTGAAATGAATGTAAAGAATGGAAAAATGTATTTTTGCATGAAAACAGACCACTTACAAACTTGCTTCATATCTCAGGAAAAAAAGAATGGAAAATCATATATAAAATTGATAAACTATATGAGCTATGTTGCTGTATTTTCTTGCCTATTTCTATTTTAAGGAAGTATATACATGAAAAGAAAAAATGATCCTGGTAGTCTGAATTTTCTCTCAAGTATGCTACACAGTCCTTTCTGTGAATCTACAGTTAACTGCAGTAAGAATGGAATTAGCATTCAAGTGAGGACAAAGCCCTAATGAGAAACTCTTCAGTTAGAACACATGAATGGTTATAACCCAGAGGCAATAGATATATACTACCTGGAACACAAGCATTTCTAAACTTGGTCCCAAACAAAAGGTTTTCATGAGGTGACAGTGGCTTTTAAGCATTCATTTGACTGATTATTTTTATTTTCCTTGTTAAGTCATTGCAAAAATTGCATGGAGGGCAATGGATATTTTTGCAAGAACTGCTTATTCTACTTTCAATTTTTAAAAGTTGAGATTAAAAAATTACCTTTTAAATATGCATAAAATTATTTTAACTGTAATTATATTTTTAGTTGCTTTGTTATAGTAGCATGCATATCAAATATAAAATGCATTTATGAAAACATTTGTAAAAAATAAAGATTTTTTGTTTCTCAAAGTTGCTTATAATTACTATTTTATAATATTTATTTAGCATAATCCCCTGATGTTAGTATACTTGGTGATCATAGATCATAGTGCTTATGGTAAACACTGTATCAAGCTATATCACTAGTCAGCATACTCTACGTCCTTTATAAGGGTCCCCAAACTCTAAAGACTTATGGCCCCCCAGAGAACCTATCCTTTTCCTTGCACATTTGCTATTACCAAATGTGTCCTGTATTTACTTCATTTTTATATTTTTAAAAGAACAAAAAATTGTATTCAAATTTTCCATCATGATGGTCCTTAAACAGTATTTCCATAATGTCTTTTACCCATACACAGCGGTACACTTTCTTAAAATTGTACATTCTACCATGTGTAAATTATGCAGATTCTGCCATATATTTGCTACCATCTACTTCTCTCTATTTTCACAGCTTTTAGTGTAGTTGGGGCCACTCTCATCTCTTGTCTGGAATATTACACTGCTTTTAAAATTAGTCTTCCTGTTTCCACCCCAGCTTCCTCAAATTTCACTATCCACATTTCAGTCAGGGGGATCTTTCTAAATTGAAAATCTGGTCGTGCCACTCTCCTGCTTAATATTCCACAGTTTCCAGGATAAAGTTCAGACTCCCTGCTTCAGCACACAAGGCCCAGCATCTCTTCTCCAGCCCTTCCTCTATAGAGTATTGGCTCCAATCATACCAATTACTTTTTGCAGTGCCCTAAAAGCATCATGCTTTTAGGTCCCCTTTTCATAGAATACCCTTTCCTTTAGCCCCCCTAATTCCTATCATTCATATCTTAAAACTCAGTTCAACTATCCTTTTCTCTAAGAAGCTTCCCACATGGTTGCATGGTTGATTGTCCCTTTGCCCCACTCTCACTAAGACTGAGTTGCCTGGGGCTGCAGAAGGTCTGGCCCATAGTGGATGCTCAAGAAATGTCTATAATCCCCTTGGCCCTTTTACATATGTTGCATAGCATTAAGACTGCAATACCTAAAGATACTTTTCATCTATCACTGTTATTTTTTTTCCAATCCTGTCAACTAAGCAAAAATAAGCCGATTTTCAGTTGGACCCTAAAGCCTGTGGATGGTACTACAAATGAAGCCTCTTGGGGCTGGGGGGTGGGGGAGTCACTTGATAAGAAAACGGTATTCAGGAAGATTTCCTCTCGGCTCCAGGGAATCCTAAACCCATGAACTGGCTGTTTTCCCAAAAGCTTTCTTCAGAAATCTATTAAAAATTTGGATTTTCTTTTCCCATGGAAGTTAGCATCTCCATGACTGTTCCAATCTAGTCAAAACCACATGACTGAACTGAAACACTGAAAGAATTCTGAGTGTAGACATGGAAGCAATACAACAGGGAAATGGAAGATGTTCAGTTTAACACTCATGGCTGAATGCTTGCACTGGCATTTGTGTATCTGAGGACGGAGTGGAGGGAGACAGGTGATTGAGTTGAGATATCTCTGCCCTACCTCACCCTTTTGTAGGGGACACATTTCATTCCCCTTTTATAGGCTGGGTAGGTGAAACTTTAAATTGCAAGTCTGTATGTAGTCCCTTCCCCTCCCCTTGCTACTTAGGGCTTCGAGCTCTTTTCCTTGTTCCCCCCATCCCTTTCCCAGCCATGTGTTAGGAGGAATGGGAGCATGGCAAGCACACTAGCCAAATGTCAGGAGATCCATGCCACCTAGGTCAACCACCTGTCATAATGAGCCTCCTGCGTTGTGGTTTGCTCAGCTTCGAATTGAGGGGACAGCAAGATCATCTCTAAGGACCCTTTTGGCTCAAGGAATCACACCAAAGGTTATTTCCAGTTTTGAAACCCTAGGCATTAACTCCCATAAACCTTTACTTGATGGCACTTCAGTGAATGTAATTCAGTATAGAGAGACAGTTCTAGAGAATAGGGCCACCAAAGGGCAGATCAACTTTTGCTTTAAGCTGTTTTCCTTTTTCAATGTTTCTTCCATTTCTAGTCTAGGGCATCCCAGGATCTATACCTCCCAAAGGTCATTTAAGAGCTCCAAGTTTTTTTTTCACAACATTCTCCAAAGGGCAAGAAGGGAGCCTGGAGACCTGGCTTGTAAACTAGAGACTGCCTGTCAGCATATTATGGATGTGACTAAAGAGAAGATGTTGAAATACGATAACTGCTTTATACTGCAACAAAATTGTGAGATCCTTGATTGAAGAACCATTTCTAATTCACTTCTGTATCCCCAGGACCTACCACAATGCCTAACACAGAGTGAGGTGCTAAGTAAGTAGTGATTCAGTGACTCAAAGCACTATATCTAATCAGGTAAGAATGCCTACCCTCTGTTCTTTACAAAGTTAAGTCTAACGATTAATTAGTGATTGTTTTAATTATTAATAAGTGACTTTCTACGAGCAGATTTTGAATAAAAAATTCAGTGATTTTATTATGAAAATATTGTGGCTATATGTGTGCTATATTTACAGGCAATATTGGAGCATCACAGAAAAAGTCTGTGTTTTTCTAATTTCATCTATACAAACAGCATTTTTTAATGTTGTGAAATGACATTTTTTTAAAATAAGAAGGTGGTTATTATAGGCACAATATGTTTATCAGATGCAGCCAGATGGTTCAACCTGGGTGTATGGAGAGAATGAGTGGTCATTCCTATGTTACTTCCTTTGGGCAGAGCAAAAGAGCTGAGCCTCAGGGCACTAGGAGGGCATCCCTTGTGGAACTCACTACCTTAACCACAAGGCTGCCCAGGGATGTCCAGGAGGTAGCTTCTAGGCAGGGGCTAAGGGATTCTGCTTGTCCCTGAGAAGAAACCTCCTGGAACCTAAGCTCTTCTAATGCCTGGTTAGACTCTCAAGTACCATGCCCGCCCCCAGTAAATTGGCGGCCCCAGGGACTGAAGTTGATTGCTCAGGAGGACACGCCCCGTCACCATAACGTGCTTTCATTCGTCTCTGACCTTCCTGCACTGAGTCAGGCTGACCCCCAGCTAGACTCCGTGTGCTTAGAGACTTCAAACTCCATTACCATGGCCTTCCTGGTAATGTTGCTAAGGAGAGCGGCCCAGGCATCAGTACCAGGTGTTGGGCCCATCAGACTAATGAGAAAATGAAAAGCAAAAGAACAACCTCCTGGACGATGAAAAGTCTTTTTCCATTAATTTTCCCTTCAGCGCGAGGCGAGAGAGCCTGCGCCTAGAGTCCAAGGTCCAGGCCCCCCGCCCACCACCAACTTCCCTGGCGCTGCGCCTCCAGGAGGGCGGGGCACTGCCACTTCACTGTGTCTTCCCAGAAGCCACCGCGTGACTCCTCGGAGATAAAAAGGCGGGAGTGAGGCGGCGTTTCCAGACCAGCGTGGGGGTTGGCGCTGTGGGCCTGTTGTTTTTTTCTCACCTCTTTCATTCCTCTCGGGCTGCCCCGCAGGCCAGGCCTGGATGCTGGTTCCCTCTGGCGTAGCTCGGTTCCTCAGGAAGAAGACGAGACAGGCCTTCGAGGGCCAAGAGCCCTCCGAGGCCTGGCGGTGGGGTGGCAATGTGGTCACTACGGGTCTATACGCGCAAAAAGCGGGCCAGCCATAGGCTCAACCTAACCCCAACGCCAGATCTAGGTGCCCTGGCTAAGGCGGAGGCCCCGTCAGGGCCCGGCCGGAAGCTGTCTGCCCACTGTAAGCGCCGTGTGGCTGGCCTACGGAGTGGGACACGGGGTGGGCTGGGCCTAAGCCCCAGGGACCTCCGAGGCCCGCGGGCAGGCCTCCAAAGCTTTTTCCCTGAAGCATGTCACCCTCTCTTAGGCCTGAAAAGAAGTGGCAAAACGCGCGGTTTGCAGAGAATCACAGAGAAATCAGAGCGGAGTCGGCCGGGAGGTAGCAGCTCCGGGCCACCGAGGTGCGTATCCACGAGTAACGGCCCCATGCCTCTGGCCACCTCAAAATTTCAATCCTGATTTTCTCCTAATAGCCTTTCATTCTAAGAGTCAGTGAAGAAAATAGTGTGTTCTGATTTCGTTGTTCTCCGAACACAGAGCTAGAAATTTGACTTAGGAAAGAGATATATTAAAAAAAAAAAAAAAAAAGTTTTACCAAGTTGCCTGAAAGCAAGTGAGAGAAAACCTCCGGGAAAGCATTCGTGGCATCAATTGGTTATTGATACAATTCACCTACTGTGTTCCTTACTTCTTGTTAATTATGTTCCCACAGAGCTTTTCAGACTATAACAGTGTGAATAGTGATCAGGGACGTGGAGAGCCAAGTCCAGATGGTGCAAACTAATTGTGTTGTTTTTTGTTAGCACTCAGTTAAGAGGTACAGGAGAGAAAAGCCTGCATGAAAATAGCACTAGTGAAGAAGCCCAGGATGAGAAGATTGCTCCATTGAGTGTATGTATGTTTCTCCTATGGTCCTTGGATAAGCTTAGGGTAGAGACCAGTGGTGCCTGATGTACCTCTGGTCTTATATGAAAATATAATATGGTCTTTGTTCTATAGAGACTACATAGCTTTCTAGTGTTTTTATAAACATTGATGCTGTATCTTCAGACAGGGCCTTGAATTAATGATTCTGGTAGACTCATAGCCATGCATTTTTGTTTTTTCTTTCCTTTGACAAAAATTTAAGAAATATTCATTACTGGCTAATTTTCTGTGTGACAGATATAAAGTGTTTCTTAGTAATTCTCTAATGTTTGGTAGCACTTAAACATTTCAAAGCCATTTTCATGTTTTCTCATTTGACTTTGCATTAACAGTTAGAAACAGAGGATTCGTTATCATTAGAATATTATATAACTTCCTGATCTACTGTATTTAATGTGGATTCTGTACAGTATTTTAAACATGTGTAGCAGTAGTTTGGAGAAATCCAGATTTTAAAAATTGCTTGTGACTCATCAGACATTAGCATTAAATTGGATAGTCACAGTCCAGCATTTTAGCTCGCGTATTTCTCTTTGACATGTTTTTTGGGGGAGGGCAGTTTTAACAAAAGGCATTTTTTTAAAAAAGGCTTTTCCCCAGATTTTAACAGTGTTAAGTGTCCCTAATAGATTATTCAGACTATGCAAAAAAATGTTTAATCAGTTTCTTTTAAGTTTTGTACTTTTCCTTCCATTCCTTTTTTCTGTGCCTTTAAAATTTTTTTTTACAAATTATCTCATTGTGTAAATTCCTCTAACATTAAGTAATCTTCAAAAATATGGTTTTTAGTGTCTGCATAGTGCTTTGTCTTATACATAAGTATACTATAATTTGTATAACTATTTTTCTGTGGTTGGGAGATTGAGATTGTTTCTAAGGTTTTGCTGTTTTAGATATCAGTAGATATCCTACCACAGAAATTTTTTGTGTGTACCTCAGATTGATATCCTAAGACAAATATGTTGCAGTGGGTCAAGGGTTGGATTATATTTAAAGTTTTGATTCATGTTGGCCAGTTGGCACCATCTTATCTGAAACTTAAAATATCTATCTACTTATCGATCGATAGATAGATATTTGATAGATGAAAAGTAGCACGTTGTTTTACTTTCCATTTCTTTGAATACTAGTAAGGTTGATATTTTTTCTCATTTTATTGGCCATTTGTGTGATTTTTTGGTGAAATACTTATTCATTATATATTGAAGATTGTTGTACTTTTACACACACGTTACAAATATTTCCACATTTGTTTGCCTTTAATTTTATTTTTGGTATTTTAGACTTATTTATCAATCATTTTCTTTTGATTTATTTTGCTTTCATATTTAGAGGGAAAAAATTCTTTCCTACTTACGGTGTCAGAAAAATATTCATCTTTATTTTCTAGTTGCTGGTTTATCCCACAATAGTTAGTTGACTAGTATATTGTTGACTCCCTAGATATGTCCATAATATTATATTTTAAGATTTAATATTAAATATAAGACTACATCTGTATCAATAAGCTGAAAGAATGTATTACATATGAAACTGATATACAAAGTTGATACTAGTTTTGCATTTTTGAAATAACCAAATCAATGTGTTATAATATTATAATATAAAAATATTCCATCTCATAATTGGTGTTATATCTTTAATTCTTATTTCACATAGGAGTCAGTGACAGATGACCTCCAGGTTGATAGTAGCTTATCAAATAGTGAACGAGTATCAGGTAAGACTGGCAATGTGAACTTCTTCAACTTGCTTTCTTACAAACATAAGCATCCATTTGTATCTCTGCCTTATCTTCCCATCTCAGTGGACGAGATGTCTTTCTCCTGGTCCAAGTTGAATCCTTCGGCCTGTGCTGTAGACTTCATCCTCAAAGCCTTCAAGCACACACCAGTAAATTATAATTGCGATAAGTGCTACAAAAGTGAGGTTAACTTGAGTGTAACTGAATTTAGTTGAAGAGATTAGGGAAGACTTCCATGAGGGAATGGCAATTTAATTAAGATCTGAAAAAAAGAAGAGCTGAACTATAAAGAGAGGTGAATAAAGAGAAATCCAGGCAGAAGGAACAACATGTGCAAAGACCCTAACATGGGACTGAGCATTTTGTGTTCAGTGAACTGAAAGAAGGCCAGTGTGGCTGAAGTAGAGAGGAGGAAGTGTGATAATAAGACAAGGTTGGACAAACTGAGGCTTTGCATAGCCTTATAGGCCATGCCAAAGATACTGATGTTTATCTTTGGAGCAGCAGGAAGCCACTGAAGTTTTTTAAATACAGAATGATATGATCGTATTAGCTACAGTATGGAAAAAAGTAGGAGTAGATGTAAATAGACCAGTTGGGAGGCTATCGCAGTAGTTAAGGGGAGGAATGATGGCTCTTTGTACTATGGGATGGCATTGGAAATGGAAAGAAGTGGGCATATCTTATGGCTGTTGTAGGAAATGAAATTGACAGAATTTGGCAAATGAAGAGTGAAGAAGATGGAGATATCAAACATGACACGTGTTTCTGGCTTGCATAACTGAGTATAAGGTGGTAGCATTCACTGAAAAAACCTTGTTTGAGGGAAAGATAATAAATTCTCTTTTTAATAAGTTATGGGTGTGTTTAAGATGCCTAAGTAGTAATGTCAAATAGGCAGTTGGATATGGAGGGCTACTGATAGAAGTTTGGTGTAATTGAAGTTATTTTTGAAAACAAGAAAGGATGCCATTACCACATCAAAAATACTGAGGAATTCTTAAAAACAGATGAGATCCAGCTGATGAATAAATGAAGAGCAGAGAAAAACCACTGCAGAGGTAAGAATAGCTCTGGAGATGCACTTAACTCAAAACACTTGGTCAGTAAATGCAAAACACTGTAATAGATGAGACCCTGAAGGAGTTGTCAAGGTGGTGGATTAAGCACTACGTTCTGGCACTGTATGACCTGTCACCCTTCTCATCCCCTTCTTACACTGGAAACACTGGCAGCTCCCAGTGCCTGCTGCCAGGTCAAAACCCGAGGAATTACTGCCAAGCAAAGTGAACTAAGTCTTCACTTTGGCTCCTTAGGGTCAATGTTGGAACTGGTGTGAGAAGCAGAAGGGAGTCTGAAGTAACTCCAGATTGATTGCCACACAGAGAGCAGAGGGGCAAAAAGTTAAAAATATAGATTATGCTTATGGTTGCTAAGTCCAGGAAGAAGATACATTATGGCTCTCTGAAGTGGGAATTCTGATATAAGAGACTTCCAATGTGGATACTAGCCAAATAGGGCAGTGTCCCCATGTAACCTACAATACCTGGAAAATACAGGAGGACATCCCCACCTAGACCGTAAGTTCCAAGAATGTCTCATCACTCTTCTAAAATCTCCAGAGGTAGGTTGTTGTTTCAGAATTTATACTCTGTGCCATACAAACAGATTCTCAAATAGAGATATGAACAATCAGAAACAGTCAAATCTTTGAAGAAAATCAGTGCCATGGAAGAGAGGCCACAAATGCAACAAACAAAAGAATTAACACCTGAGGGAAATGGTAGAAAACTTTAAATATCTCTTTAGAGACAAGAGGCCGTTGAATCCATAATATAACATGCTGCTATAAAAAAAAATTATAGTCCCTGGAAACTAAAAATATCATCAAATTTTAAAACAAGAAATGAACCTAATATTGAGATGTATTCAGCTGAAAATTAAATTAGCTAGCTAGAAAATAGAATAGAGGAATTTTCTTAAACTATAGTGCAAAAGAGCATGGGAGGTTCTCAACAAATGCTTTTCCCTCCTTCTTCTTCTCTCCTCTTTGCCTGGTTAACTTCTGCTAGTTCTTCAAAAATAGATTCAGGTGCTATCTCTACTGGGAAGCCTTTCCTGACTGCTCTTCTCTCTTTCTAGATGAGTTGTTCTATCCTGGTAATTCTATGGCACTGTCATAGGACTCAAAACAGCAGTATAATTGTTTTTGTTCCTCTAGGCCCTAAAGCTATTGAAAATAAGCACTATCTTTTATCTTCCTATTCCATTCTTGGGACATAAAATAGTTTGAAATGCTTGTTGAATGAGTTTTCTACTCTATTTAGAGGAAATAAACAATTTTACCATAAACAGTATTTTTTTAAATTGTAGTTTAAATATATGATAAATGTCCTTGGTTACTAGCTTTATCAAATTGATGTGTGAAAGGTATGAGGAAATAGAAAATAGACTCTCTAATTAACAAACTGGTTGTATTCTGAGTTCATTTGTTGATTGATATTTGAGACCTAGAATACTTTATGCTATAATAAAATATAAATGGTTAGGTTTTGAGCAGCCCACAGAATTCTATTTAACATATAATTACTTGTTTTAATTCTGTCTTGGAATCTAGTAATTTTGCAACATGATGAAAATTAACTCAGGATTTCATATTTAATATGGAGGATTGAACATATATGTTTACTTCTCCCTTCTGAAACCTCACTAAAATACCAATAAAGCCATTAAAAAAGGCATGAATCCACAACATAGAGAAGAAGAGACCTCAGCTGACAAGAGATAATCAGCAAAAGTTTGGAATTTGGAATGTAGATGAATAAATTATAATAGGCCTAACAGACAGGAAAAAAAAGCTGAAACCTAGATACCTAGAACAAACCAAGAAGCAAATGGAGGCAAGCTGAAGTTTCAGAAATTAGAGGAATCACATACTCCTGAAGGAATAGATAGAGTTAATGTTGAAAATAGGATTTTTGGAAATCCTTAAAAGTAGCAATTAGATGGGCTTCCCTGGTGGCACAGTGGTTGAGAGTCCGCCTGCCGATGCAGGGGACACGGGTTCGTGCCCCGGTCCAGGAAGATCCTACATGCCGCGGAGCGGCTGGGCCCATGAGCCATGGCCGCTGAGCCTGCGCGTCCGCTGAGCCTGCGCTGTGCTCCGCAGCGGGAGAGGCCACAACAGTGACAGGCCCGCATACCGCAAAAAAAAAAAAAAAAAAGTATACATTTTATTTATTTATATTTATTTTTTATTGAAGTATAGTTGATAAAACTTGCATTTTTGAGCCAAGAATTATAACTGAACCAAAGTAGGGAAGGAATAAATTATAAAACTTTGAAAAACAATGGAAAAGATTTATAGTGCATTTTCTCCATATCAAAAACAGAATTATTTTCTCAGATTGAAGTACAATTTAAGATTGTGTACAATAGTATGCCTTTTCAGTTGTATGTGTAATTTTACATTATTAGTATATAACTGCATGTACATTTCTACAACTTTGAATTCTTAGGATTTTGAATCTGTTTACTATTGAAACATTTTACCCTTTTTGTTTGTTTGTTTATTCTACAGGACTAAGTTTACAGCATGATATTTCTAGCTCTCTTCTAAGTTACTCAATCACAGACTCTTATACAGAATACAAGACTTTTGAAGAGAGTTTAAGTAGCTTCCCGTCGCCTGAACTCTTCAGAGGATCAGATTATTTAGGTGAGAAAATAATTTCAACCTTAAGTTGCTCCACTATAGAAATTGCTCCTTTGTCCACAAATCCTGCAATGAATAATGTTCCTTTTGAGGAGGTATACTTCTTTTCCACCAAAACCTTCTTCTGCCCACTATCCATTGTGTTCCATGCTCAGTCACATAGGACTATAGATCAGAAGCCCTCAGATCAGGGAAGGATGAAAAGATTAGCATTTATATGTAATACATATCCAGTTAGTAAGCAGTTTTGCACATAACATATGTATACTTGTTCTCTTGAACCATGAGCTATCTTTTACTTCCTATACTTCTCTTACTTTTCAATAACTAAAAGCTTGACTAGACCATCTCCCTGTCTGAATTTTTTCTACAAATTAACAGTTATTTACATTTAGTATATGTATAATTAAGAGCCTTTGGTTAATGATGCAGATTGAACACATGCCTTCCTCCACAACTTTGCGCAATGGCTTTTTTAAAAAGACATAAGCACATAAGAGTAAAGAGAATGGGGAAGAATAAAGCATAAAGTTTGGAAAGCTAGAGAGCAAATGGTCTGATAAAGCAGAATTGAAAAAACTGAGTCCTAAATCAACAATGAGAATACCCCAGAAACAAGTTAGTTTGTACAATACCATAGTATCCCAGAAAAGTTTTCAATGTGGCTTGTAAAATACTTGTAAAAAGCTGTGTCTGAAACACAAAAGATGTGGTGACTTCTCCTTTCCTACTCACATGGAGTCTGGAGATTTATTCTTTGGGGTGTTTTGAAACAGAGGGACTCTGGACTGGAGGATACTAGGCACTGTTAATAGCAGGGATACCATGGTATTTTGAAATGTTAGTCCCAATTGCTTATTCCCCTGTAGTAGTGTTATATAGCCATACCCTTGTCATAGCCTCATAGTGGATGAAGTGTACTTCCTCACTCTTTTCCTTTGGAGTTGACCATATGACTTACTTTGGGCAATAGGATATCAGTGAGTGATACATAAACAAACTTTTGATATGTGCATACATGATTGGGCTTGTCCTCTTATCCTTTTGCCATCGTGAGACGAATACAGATCTTCTTCCACTTATGATGGAAAAAACTGTAAGTTGAACCATTATAAGTCAGGGACCACATGTATATCCTAATTAGCTTTTACCTCTCCTGTGGGACTCCAGAATAAGAGATACAGAGCAGGATAGCCCCAGGCAGACTGCAGACTTCAGAGAGCTGCTCCAGCTGATCACCAGACCCATATAATCTAAAGCAGAGCTGCTTGAGCCAAACAGTAGACATGAGTATAAGAAATAAATGCTTTCATTTTATGCTACTGGCATTTCAGTGTTATTTATTATACAGAAAAAACCAACTGCTTCAGATACTGTAGTGAATGCAGAAAGGGGGAATTAAATGCAAGTGTACATTCCAAATTGTGGTACTTGCTCACCCAGTGCCTATTCTCATCCTAACCCAACAGCTCATTACTCTGTTCAGCTTCCAGAATGCTAGCACCCAGAATTGAAACTTTCAGGCAAGAGAATGGAAGGTTTTTTCCTGAGAAATCTGAGCAACCCTAAAGAAAGTATCTAAAGATACTGGCCTCAGTAGTCCTTCAGTGAAACTGACAAGGACCCTACAGTGAAGCTGCCTATGTGACAAGCCCCAACTAAGCCATAGAGATCCCACTTAGCCATTTAGGGCCCTCAGAGAGCCAAGGACTACTAGACTTCGAGAAAACCCTCTAACATAAAACATAGAGATCAGAACAAAGCAAAATATGGTAGTGGGTCAGTAAGGTGTTGGAATAGGAAACCCTAGACCTGCCTTCCCCCAGGGACACACCAATTCAACAACAATACGTGGACTAATTCCCTTTGTGAGAAATCTAAAAACTAGTTGAGGGGCTCCTGCACCTCAGGCAAGCTTGAGACCAGTCACATCAAAGGCAGTAGGAAGGACTTCCCTGGTGGCACAGTAGTTAAGAATCCACTTGCCAATGCAGGGGACACGGGTTCGATCCCTGGTCTGGGAAGATCCCACGTGCCGCGGAGCAACCAAGCCCTTGTGCCACAAGTACTGAGCCTGTGCTCTAGAGCCTGCAAGCCACAACTACTGAAGCCCGCACACCTAGAACCCATGCTCAGCAACAAGAGAAGCCACCACAATGAGAAGCCCGTGCACCACAACAAAGAAGAGTAACCCCCACTTGACGCAACTAGAGAAAGCCCGCACGCAGCAACAAAGACCCAACTCAGCCCCCCCCACACCCAGAGAAGCCAGTAGGAAAATTCAAGACACCCTTTCACCATAATTCACACCCCCCAGCACAGGTTGGCAGGAAACCTTCAGCTTCCAGCTTCTCCCTAGGGAGGGAGGGAAAGGACGGAAGCATGTGTCAAAAGTTCTCAATTTTCTGGGAATGGTCAAAGAATTGCCTACTGTCTTATCTGCCTCAGAGGGCTGATGGGACCTGACATACTCTAGAAGTCTGATGGGTGCTGAAACAAAGATAGTATTTTGTCCTAGCATAAAAACATTCACTAGATCCCGGCTTCTCTCTGGAGCGGGAAAGAGTTGGACTGTGTCCAACATTCCAACATTTCCGGGGGCTGCTCAAAGGAATAGTTTTTGTCTCATCTGTCTTGGAGCACTGATGGGACTTGGTGTATTCTAGATTCCTCATGGGCACTAAGAACAAAGACTATGGTTTGAACTGGCAAGAAGGTTTGAGAGGATCCCAGAATCTCTGGTTGGGAAGATTGGTGAAGGTCTTCTGTACGACACCTATCTGTGAAGACTGGGAGAGGTGGCTGTTTTTTCTAATGTGCAGATACCAACACAAATCATTAAAGAAAAAGAAACAGGGAAACATGGTCCAAAAAATGGGAATAAGATAAAGCTCCAGAAACTGACCCTAATTAAATGGAAATATATGAACTACCTGACAGAGAATTCAAAATAATTGTCATAAAGATGTTCAACAAATGTTCATAAAGAGCTCAGGAGAACAATGCACAGAGAAAGTGAGAATTTTAAGAAAGAGATAGGGAAAAAAGTTAACCAAAAAGAAATCTTAGAGCTGAGAAAAACAGTAAATGAATTTTAAAAACCCAGTAAAAGAGATTGGACTAGACCAAGCAGAAGAAAGAATCGGCAAACTCAAAGATAAGTCATTTGAAATTATCCAGTCAGAGGAGCAAAAAGGAAAAAGAATATAAAAGAATGAAGAAAGTTTGAGATTTCTGTTAAGAAAACAGATCAGTATATGGATTGTGGGAGTCCCATAGGGAAAAGGGAGGTAGGAAGGGAGGGAACGAGAAAGGGCCAGAAGGCTTTTTCACAGAAATGGTGGCTGAAAACTTCCTAAGTCTGGGGAAGGAAATCTACATCCAGACCTAGGAACCCCAACAAACCTCAAATAAGATGAACCAAAGAAATTCACATGGGTGCACATAATCAAATTGTCAAAAGTCAAAGACAAAAAGAGAATTTTGAAAGCAGCAACTAAAAAAGTGACTTGATATGTACAAGGGGACCCCATTAGACTATCAGCGGATTTCTCAGGAGAAACCTTGCGGGCAAGAAGGGAGTGGAATTTTACAGACAAAGTGCTGAAAGAAAAAAACTGTCAACCAACAATACTCTAACCAGCAAAGCTGTCCTTAAGAAATGAAGAGAAGATAAGGAATTTTCCAGACAAACGAAAGCTGAAGGAGTTAATCATCACTAGACCTGCCTTACAAGAAATGCTAGAGGGAATTTTTCAAGTTGAAACAAAGGACTCTAAAACAGCAACATAAAAGCATATGAAAGTATAAAACTCACTGGTAAGTATATAGACAAATATACTAATACTATAACAGTGACATATAAATCACTTAATTCTAGTATAAAAGTTAAATGACAAAAGTATTAAATATGACTATAAAAATATGTCAATGGATACACCATATAAAAGGATGTAAATTGTAACATCAGTATTGCAAAGTGTGTTTGAGGGGTGAAGTAAAAGTGTAGAGTTTTTGTTAAATTGTTATCGGCTTAAAGTAGACCGTTTAAACTATGTTTTGTGTAAGCCCCATGGTAACCACACACTCACAAAATACCTATAGAGGAGACACAAAAGAAAAATAGAAAGGAGTCAAAGCATATCAACATAAAAGAATCAGTGAAAGACAAAGGAACATGGCAAAAGAGGAAAGAGAGGTAAAAGAACTACAAAACAGAAAACAACAAAATTGTAATAGTCCTTCTCTATCAATAATTACTGTAACTATAAATGGATTAAACCCAATCAAAAGACAAAGAGTGGCTGAATAGATTGAAAAAAAATCCAGCCATATGCTGTCTACAAAAGACTCATTTTAGATTTAAGGACACACATGGACTGAAAGTAAATGGATGGGGAAAGATACTCCATGCAAATGGTGACCAAAAGAGAGCAGGAGGGGCTATACTTATATCAGATAAAAATAGACTTTAAGTCAATAACTATTATAAGAGACAAAGAAGGACGTTATATAATTATATAAGGGTCAGTTCATCAGGAACACATAACAATTATGAATAAATATTCACCCAACATCAGAACACCTAACATATGAGGCAAACACTGACAGAAATGAAGGTAGGAATAGGCATCAATACAATCATAGTAGGAGACTTCAGTACCCCCACTTGTAATACTGGATAGAACATTTGGACAGAAAATCAACACTTAACTGATTTCAAAGTACCAATATATTGCAAAGCTACAGTAAATATAACATTATAGTACTGGCAATACAGACATGTAGACCAGTAGGACAGAATATAGGGCCCAAAACTAAATCCATAAATATATGGTCACCTGATCTTTCACAAGAGTGCCAAGAATACACAATGTGGGAGAAATAGTCTCTTCAACAAATGATGTTGGCAAAACTGGATATCCAGATACAAAAGAATGAAATTGGACCCTTACCTTATATCATACAGAAAAGTCAACTCAAAATGTAGTAAGGACTTAAACGTGAGAACAGCAACTGTAAAACTCCTAGAAGAAAACATAGGGGAAAATCTTCATGGCAATTGGTCTTGGCAGTTATTTCTTTATGTGACACCAAAAGCACAGGGAACAAAAGCAAAATGAGACAAGTGAGCCTTGATAAAACTAAAAAGCTTCTGCACAGAAGAAGAAACAATCAACAGGGTGAAAAGGCAACCTATAAAAAGGGAGAAAATATTTGCAAACCACATATCTGATAAGGGATTAATATCCAAAATATATTGGAAACTCCCACAATTCAAAAGGAAAAAAATCCAAATAACCTGATTAAAAAATGACAAAGAACTTGAATAGACATTTCCCCTAAAGAAGACATTCACATTGCCAACAGGTATATGAAAAGATCACTAACCATTAGGGAAACGCAAATCAAGACCATAGTGAGATATCACCTCACAACTCTTAGGATGTTATTAGGTTATTATTTTTAAAAAAAAAGAAGTGTTGGCAAGGATATGGAGAAATTGGACACCCTTCTACACTGTTGATGGGAATGTAACATAGTGAAGCTGCAATGGAACACCGTACGGCAGTTACTCAAAAAATTAGAAGTAGAACTACCATATATGATCCACCAATCCCACTTCTGAGTGTTTATTCAAACTAATTGCAGTCAGGACCTAGAAGATATATTTGCACTCCCGTGTTCATTGCAGCCTTTTTCACAATAACCCAATGTGGAAACAACCTAAGTGACCATTGAGGGACGAATGGAGGAAGAAAATAAGGTATATGCATACAATGGAATATTATTCAGCCTTAAAAAAGAAGGAATATCAGGATATATGTATATGTATAGCTGATTCACTTTGTTATAAAGCAGAAACTAACACACCATTGTAAAGCAATTATACTCCAGTAAAGATGTGAAAAAAAAAAAAAGAAGGATATCCTGCTATATGCAACACTATGGAAGAACTTTGAGGACACTATGGTAAGTGAAATAAGCCAGTCACAGGAAGAAAAATACGATATGATTCCACCTGTATGAGATATCTAAAGAAGTCAAATTCATAGAAGTAGAGAGTAGAATGTTGGTTGCCAGGACCCTGGAAGAAAGGGGTGTGGGGAGTTGCTCTTCAACAGGAATAATTTCAGTTATGCAAGATGAATAAGTTCTAGAAATCTGCTGCACAGCACTGTGCCTACAGTTAACAATACTCTATTGCACTCTTACAAATTTGAGGGTATGTCTTATGTTAAGTGTTCCCACCATAATAAAATTAAAAATAAGAGAAGAAACCAAGCAGAAATAGGAATACAAGGAAGATACTGGAAAAAAAAACCTTCACTGAGATAAAAAAAATGTATATTGCATCCATTGAATAGGAATAGGATGCTGTTGGAAAAAAAGGGGGGTGAATATTCAGAGAACAAATTAAATGCAGTAGCAGAATGGAAAACTCAATAGAAGGATTAGAAGATAAGTTGAGGAGATTTCCCAGAAAGAAAAAAAAAAAAGTCAGGAGGAAAACACAAAAAATGGCGAAAAAAGGTAAGTTAGAGAAGCAATATATGAAATCTAATATCAAATAATAGGAGTTCCAGAAAAAGATAATGAAATAAACAGAAGGAAGAAAATTATCAGAGATACAATTCCAGAACACTTTCTAGAGCTAAAGAATATGATTTCTGGGTTAAAAGGGCCATACTGTGCCTAGCACAATAGATGAAAAACACCAACACAAAACATTATGAAATTTCAGAACATCTGAGGATGGAATAAACAGAATGGATTTATACAATTTGGTAGAGTTTAGGATTAAATAGATGAAAAATACAGAGAAAACTAAACAAACAAGACTTTTATTGACTCCAGGAAAAACAAAAGGTGGTCATGGTATATACCACAAGAGTAAAAATTAAGATTTTTATGGCAATTTATCATCATTATGTCTATATTGAATATTGGCCTAAATAAATATGTGATATAATAGTATGAGGACAATGGGAAAGGTGGGTAAAAGGAAATAAGAGTGTTAGGGGACTGCAAAAGCCCAAAGATTATTTAATATCCTGATGCCGTCAAGGCTTGTCTGTTTTTCTCTGTCTCACCCAAACTTTCTTCAACTACCATAGCTTGGTATGGGCTGGGGACCGAAGTTGAGGAGAAAAAGGTAATCTGCCACTTGTGTGCTGTTGTTCAAAATTTTGTGCCATTTCTCCCTGCTTTTTTAGATTGGGAGTGTCCCATGTTGGAAGAAAACTTGCTATGTAAGAATTCCACTCTTTTGGACACCAGTAAAGCAGTACCGATACAGAAGGCACTACAGTTTTCAAACCTCTCTGCAATTTTAGGTAAGTTTCACATTCTTTTTCCTCATATCACAAGAGGAAACCCTTGTCTATTTTGGAAAAGCAAAGTACTTTTTTCTTTTGAATGATTTCTAAGCTAAATTCATTGATTAGGATTACCTTTGGCTACACATCATATCTGACTAATAGTAAGTAGCTTAAGTACATATGGGTTTACTTTCTTAAAACATTTATTTTGAATTTTAGACTTGAAGAAAAGTTGCAAAAGTAATACTAAGGGTTCCCATATACCTCCCATCCAGCTTTCTGAAATATTATCTTATACAACCGTAATACAATGGTGATAATCAGGAAATTAACATTGGTATTAAACTGTTAACTAAACTACAGACCTTATTCACGTTTCACCAGTTTTTCCACTAACGTCTTTTCTTCTGTTTCAGGATCCTATCTAGGATCCTACATTGAATTAGATTGTTATTTCTCCCTTAGTCTACTGAGATCTGTGACAGATCCTCAGTGTTTGTCTTTCATAAGCTTGATACTTTTGAAGATTACTGATCAGTTATTTTGTAGAATGTCCCTCGGTTTGAATTTGTCTAGTGTTTTCTCATGATTGGAAAGAGATTATGCAATTTTTGATAAGAACACCACAGAAATGATGTATTAAGGAATTCTTAATGTCAGTACATATATCTTCTTATTGGTGATGTTAAACTTCACTTAATTAGGGTGGTATCTGCTGGTTTTCTCCACTGTAAAGTTCCTAGTTTCCCTCTGTAGTTAATAAATACCTAGAAAAAGATAGTTTGAGGCTCCATAAGTCCTGTTTCTCCTCAAACTTTCATTCACTGATATTACCATTCATCAGAAGAACTTGATTGCCACAGTTCTTTCTGTGGTGTTCATCTCATGGTGATTTTCTTTTTTTTTTTTTTTTTATCTTTATTGGAGTATAATTGCTTTACAATAGTGTGTTAGTTTCTGCTTTATAACAAAGTGAATCAGTTATACATATACATATGTTCCCATAGCTCTTCCCTCTTACGTCTCCCTCCCTCGCACCCTCCCTATCCCACCCCTCCAAGCGGTCACAAAGCACCGAGCTGATCTCCCTGTGCTATGCGGCTGCTTCCCACTAGCTATCTACCTTACGTTTGGTAGTGTATATATGTCCATGGCACTCTCTCACTTTGTCACAGCTTACCCTTCCCCCTCCCCATATCCTCAAGTCCATTCTCTAGTAGGTCTGTGTCTTTATTCCTGTCTTACCCCTAGGTTCTTCATGACATTTTTTTTTCTTAGATTCCATATATATGTGTTAGCATACGGTATTTGTCTTTCTCTTTCTGACTTACTTCACTCTGTATGACAGACTCTAGGTCCATCCAGCTCACTACAAATAACTCAATTTCCTTTCTTTTTATGGCTGAGTAATATTCCATTGTGTATATGTGCCACATCTTCTTTATCCATTCGTCCAGTGATGGACACTTAGGTTGTTTCCATCTCCTGGCTATTGTAAATAGAGCTGAAATGAACATTTTGGTACATGACTCTTTTTGAATTATGGTTTTCTCAGGGTATATGCCCAGTAGTGGGATTGCTGGGTCATATGGTAGTTCTATTTGTAGTTTTTTAAGGAACCTCCATACTGTTCTCCATAGTGGCTGTATCAGTTTACATTCCCACCAACAGTGCAAGAGGGTTCCCTTTTCTCCACACCCTCTCCAGCATTTATTGTTTCTAGATTTTTTGGTGATGGCCATTCTGACTGGTGTGAGGTGATATCTCACTGTAGTTTTGATTTGCATTTCTCTAATGATTAATGATGTTGAGCATTCCTTCATGTGTTTGTTGGCAGTCTGTATATCTTCTTTGGAGAAATGTCTATTTAGGTCTTCTGCCCATTTTTGGATTGGGTTGTTTGTTTTTTTGTTATTGAGCTGCATGAGCTGCTTGTAAATTTTGGAGATTAATCCTTTGTCAGTTGCTTCATTTGCAAATATTTTCTCCCATTCTGAGGGTTGTCTTTTCGTCTTGTTTATGGTGTCCTTTGCTGTGCAAAAGCTTTGAAGTTTCATTAGGTCCCATTTGTGTATTTTCGTTTTTATTTCCATTTCTCTAGGAGGTGGGTCAAAAAGGATCTTGCTGTGATGTATGTCATAGAGTGTTCTGCCTATGTTTTCCTCTAAGAGTTTGATAGTTTCTGGCCTTACATTTAGGTCTTCAATCCATTTGGAGTTTATTTTTGTGTATGGTGTTACGGAGAGTTCTAGTTTCATTCTTTTACATGTAGCTGTCCAGTTTTCCCAGCACCACTTATTGAAGAGGCTGTCCTTTCTCCACTGTACATTCCTGCCTCCTTTATCAAAGATAAGGTGACCATATGTGCTTGGTTTATCTCTGGGCTTTCTATCCTGTTCCATTGATCTATCTTTCTGTTTTTGTACCAGTACCATACTGTCTTGATTACTGCAGCTTTGTAGTATAGTCTGAAGTCAGGGAGCCTGATTCCTCCAGCTCTGTTTTTCGTTCTCAAGATTGCTTTGGCTATTCGGGGTCTTTTGTGTTTCCATACAGGTTGTGAAATTTTTTGTTCTAGTTCTGTGAAGAATGCCAGTGGTAGTTTGATAGGGATTGCACTGAATCTGTAGATTGCTTTGGGTAGTATAGTCATTTTCACAGTGTTGATTCTTCCAATCCAAGAACATGGTATATCTCTCCATCTATTTGTATTATCTTTAATTTCTTTCATCAGTGTCTTATAATTTCTGCATACAGGTCTTTTGTCTCCTTAGGTAGGTTTATTCCTAGGTATTTGATTCTTTTTGTTGCAATAGTAAATGGGAGTGTTTTCTTGATTTCACATTTAGATTTTTAATCATTAGTGTATAGAATGCCAGAGATTTCTGTGCATTAATTTTGTATCCTGCTACTTTACCAAATTCATTGATTAGTTCTAGTAGTTTTCTGGTAGCATCTTTAGGATTCTCTGTGTATAGTATCATGTCATCTGCAAACAGTGACAGCTTTACTTCTTCTTTTCCGATTTGGATTCCTTTATTTCCTTTTCTTCTCTGATTGCTGTGGCTAAAAGTTCCAAAACTATGTTGAATACGAGTGGTGAGAGTGGGCAACCTTGTCTTGTTCCTGATCTTAGTGGAAATGCTTTCAGTTTTTCACCATTGAGGACGATACTGGCTGTGGGTTTGTCATATATGGCCTTTATTATGTTGAGGTAAATTCCCACTATGCCTTCTTTATGCAGGGTTTTTATCATAAATGGGTGTTGAATTTTGTCAAAAGCTTTCTCTGCATCTATTGAGATGATCATATGGTTTTTCTCCTTCAATTTGTTAATATGGTGTATCACGTTCATTGATTTGCGTATATTGAAGAATCCTTGCATTCCTGGAATAAACCCCACTTGACCATGGTGTATGATCCTTTTAATGTGCTGTTGGATTCTGTTTGCTGGTATTTTGTTGAGGATTTCTGCGTCTATGTTCATCAGTGATATTGGCCTGTAGTTTTGTTTCTTTGTGACATCCTTGTCGGGTTTTGGTATCAGGGTGATGGTGGCCTCGAAGAATGAGTTTGGGAGTGTTCCTCCCTCTGCTGTATTTTGGAAGAGTTTGAGAAGGATAGGTGTTAGCTCTTCTCTAAAGGTTTGATAGAATTGGCCTGTGAAGACATCTGGTCCTCGGCTTTTGTTTGTTGGAAGATTTTTAATCACCATTTCAATTTCAGTGCTTGTGATTGGTCTGTTCATATTTTCTATTTCCTCCTGATTCAGTCTTGGCAGGTTGTGCATTTCTAAGAATTTGTCCATTTCTTCCAGGTTGTCCATTTTATTGGCATAGAGTAATCTCTCCTGAGCCTTTGTATTTCTGCAGTGTCAGTTGTTACTTCTTCTTTTTCATTTCTAATTCTATTGATTTGAGTCTTCTCCCTTTTTTTCTTGATGAGTCTGGCTAATGGTTTATCAATTTTGTTTACCTTCTCAAAGAACCAGCTTTAAGTTTTATTGATCTTTGCTGTTGTTTCCTTCATTTCTTCCTCATTTATTTCTGATCTGATCTTTATGATTTCTTTCCTTCTGCTAACTTTGGGGTTTTTTTGTTATTCTTTCTCTAATTGCTTTAGGTGCAAGGTTGGTTTTTTATTCGAGATATTTCCTGTTTCTTAAGGTAGGACTGTATTGCTATAAACTTCCCTCTTAGAACTGCTTTTGCTGCATCCCATAGGTTTTGGGTTGTCATGTCTCCATTGTCATTTGTTTCTAGGTATTTTTTGATTTCCTCTTTGATTTCTTCAGTGATCTCTTGTTTATTTAGTAGTGTATTGTTTAGCCTCCATGTGTTTGTATTTTTTACAGATATTTTCCTGTAATTGATGTCTAGTCTCATAGCGTTGTGGTCAGAAAAGATACTTGATACAATTTCAATTTTCTTAAATTTACCAAGGCTTGATTTGTGACCCAAGATATGATCTATCCTGGAGAATGTTCCATGAGCACTTGAGAAAAATGTGTATTGTGTTGTTTTTGGATGGAATGTCCTATAAATATCAATTAAGTCCATATTGTTTAATGTATCATTTAAAGCTTGTGTTTCCTTATTTGTTTTCATTTTGGATGATCTATCCATTGGTGAAAGTGGGGCATTAAAGTCCTCTACTATGAATGTGTTACTGTCAATTTCCCCTTTTATGGCTGTTAGTATTTGCCTTATGTGTTGAGGTACTCCTATGCTGGGTGCATAAATATATACAATTGTTATATCTTCTTGGATCGATCCCTTGATCATTATGTAGTGGCCTTCTTTGTCTCTTGTAATAGTCTTTATTTTAAAGTCTATTTTGTCTGATATGAGAATTGCTACTCCAGCTTTCTTTTGGTTTCCATTTGCATGGAATATCTTTTTCCTTCCCATCACTTTCAGTCTGTATGTGTCCCTAGGTCTGAAGTGGGTCTCTTGTAGACAGCATATATATGGGTCTTGTTTTTGTATCCATTCAGCCAGTCTGTGTCTTTTGGTGGGAGCATTTAATCCATTTACATTTATGGTAATTATCAATCTGTATGTTCCTATTCCCATTTTCTTAATTGTTTTGGGTTTGTTATTGTAGGTCTTTTCCTTCTCTTACGTTTCTTGACTAGAGAAGTTCCTTTAGCATTTGTTGTAAAGCTGGTTTTATGGTGCTGAACTCTCTCAGCTTTTGCTTGTCTGTAAAGGTTTTAATTTCTCCATCAAATCTGAATGAGATTCTTGCTGGGTAGAGTAATCTTGGTTGCAGGTTTTCTCCTTCATCACTTTAAATATGTCCTGCCAGTCTCTTCTGGCTTGCAGAGTTTCTACTGAAAGATCAGCTGTTAACCTTATGGGGATTCCCTTGTGTGTTATTTGTTGTTTTTCCCTTGCTGCTTTTAATATGTTTTCTTTGTGTTTAATTTTTGACAGTTTGATTAATATGTGTCTTGGCATGTTTCTCCTTGGATTTATCCTGTACAGGACTCTCTGTGCTTCCTGGACTTGATTAACTATTTCCTTGCTCATATTAGTGAAGTTTTCAACTATAATCTCTTCACATATTTTCCTAGTCCGTTTCTTTTTCTATTCTTCTTCTGGGACCCCTATAATTCGGATGTTGGTGCGTTTAATGTTGTCCCAGATGTCTCTGAGACTGTCCTCAGTTCTTTTCATTCTTTTTTCTGCTCTGCAGTAGTCATTTCCACTATTTTATCTTTCAGGTCTCTTATCCGTTCTTCTGCCTCAGTTATTCTGCTATTGATCCCTTCTAGAGTATTTTTAACTTCATTTATTGCGTTGTTAATTGTTGCTTGTTTCCTCTTTAGTTCTTCTAGGTCCTTGTTAAATGTTTCTTGCATTTTCTGTATTCTATTTCCAAGATTTTGGATCATCTTTACTATCGTTATTCTGAATTCTTTTTCAGGTAGACTGCCTATTTCCTCTTCATTTGTTAGGTCTGGTGGGTTTTTATCTTGCTCCTTCATCTGCTGTGTGTTTCCCTGTCTTCTCATTTTGCTTATCTTACTGTGTTTGGGGTCTCCTTTTTGCAGGCTGCAGGTTCGTATTTCCCGTTGTTTTTGGTGTCTGTCCCAAGTGGCTAAAGTTGGTTCAGAGGGTTGTGTAGGCTTCCTGGTTGAGGGGACTAGTGCCTGTGTTCTGGTGGATGAGACTGGATCTTGTCTTCCTGGTGGGCAGGTCCACGTCTTGTGGTGTGTTTTGGGGTGTCTGTGGGCTTATTATGATATTAGGCAGCCTCTCTGCTAATGGGTGGGGTTGTGTTCCTGTCTTGCTAGTTGTTTGGCATAGGGTGTCCAGCATTGTAGCTTGCTGGTCGTTGAGTGAAGCTGGGTGTTGGTGTTGAGATGGAGATCTCTGAGAGATTTTCGCCATTTGATATTATGTGGAGCTGGGAGGTCTCTTGTGGACCAGTGTCCCGAAGTTGGCTCTCCCATGTCAGAGGCACAGCACTGACTCCTGGCTGCAGCACCAAGAGCCTTTCATCCACACGGCTCAGAATAAATGGGTTAAAAAGTAGAAAGAAAGAAAGAAAGAAAGAAAGAGAGAAAGAGAGAAAGAGAGAAAGAGAGAGAGAGAGAGAGAGAGAGAGAGAGAGAGAAAGAAAGAAAGAAAGAAAATAAAATAAAATAAAATAGAGTAAGATAAAATAAAATAAATTTATTAAAATAAAAAATAATTATTAAGAAAAAAATTTTTTTAATGTAAAAAACAAAAAATGGACGGACAGAACCCTGTGACAAATGGTGAACGCAAAGCTATACAGACAAAATCTCACACAGAAGCATACACATACACACTCACAAAAAGAGGAAAAGGGGAAAACATAATAAATCTTGCTCTCAAAGTCCACTTCCTCAATTTGGGATGATTCGGTGTCTATTCATGTATTCCACCAATGCAGGGTACATCGAGTTGATTGTGGAGATCGAATCCGCTGCTCCTGAGGCTGCTGGGAGAAATTTCCCTTTCTCTTCTTTGTTCGCACAGCTCCTGGGGTTCAGCTTTGGATTTGGCCCCGCCTCTGTGTGTAGGTCGCCAGAGGGTGTCTGTTCTTCGCTCAGACAGGACGGGGTTAAAGGAGCCGCTGATTCGGGGGCTCTGGCTCACTCAGTCCTGGCGGAGGGTGGGGTACAGATGCGGGGCGAGCCTGCGGCGGCAGAGGCCAGCGTGACGTTGCAGCAGCCTGAAGCGCGCCGTGCGTTCTCCCGGGGAAGTTGTCCCTGGATCATGGGACCCTGGCAGTGGCGGGCTGCACAGGCTTCCGGGAGGGTAGGTGTGGATAGTGACCTGTGCTCGCACACAGGCTTCTTGGTGGCGGCAGCAGCAGCCTTAGCGTCTCATGCCCGTCTCTGGGGTCCGCGCTGATAGCCGCGGCTCGCGCCCATCTTTGGTGCTCCTTTAAGCAGCGCTCTTAATCCCCTCTCCTCACGCACCAGGAAACAAAGAGGGAAGAAAAAGTCTCTTGCCTCTTCGGCAGGTGCAGACTTTTTCCCAGACTCCCTCCCGGCTACCTGTGGTGCTCTAACCCCTTCAGGCTGTGTTCACGCCCCAGTCCTCTCCCTGCGCCCCAGTCCTCTCCCTGCGCTCTGACCGTAGCCTGACTCAGCTCCCAGCCCCCGCCCACCCCAGCGGGTGAGCAGACAAGCCTCTAGGGCTGGTGAGTGCCTGTTGGCACCCATCCTCTGTGTGGGAATCTCTCCGGTTTGCCCTCCGCACCCCTGTTGCTTATCTGCTGTTCTGCTTGGGTGATTTCTATTATTCTATCTTCCAGATCACTTATTTGTTCTACTGTGTCATTTAGTTTGCTATTCATTGCTTCTAGATTGGTTTTTATCTTGGTAATTGAATTGTCCACTTTTGATTGGTTCATTTTTATAATTTCTAGTTCCTTGTTACAGTGATCTGCATTTCTATCAATAATCTTTCTTAATTATGTTAGCCATTTTATTACTGCCTTTTTGAGTTCAAGGTCTAGTAGACTGGTGAGCTCAGTTTCATTGTTTTTTTCTTACAGAGGATCGTTGTTCTTTTAATTCAGAGTAGCTCCTCTGACTTTTCATTTTACTTAACTTTGTCTCTATTAATTTAAGAGAAACAGTTATCTACTATGGTCTTGAAAGGGTGTTTTTTATGTGGGAGCATCCTGGTGCAGGCTGTGTGTGTCCAGTGTTTTGGTGCAAAGGCTGGTTTTGGTATAGACCCCAGCCATGTCCGTCCTCAGGTTTTTCTGGCTGTTATCCCCTTGATAGGGGGTGTGGTTCATGCTAGAGTATCTAGAGCCTATGCAGAATGTGAGGCAGGGCTTCCTCTCTGCTCAGTGGCTGTCACCACTTTGTCAGAGGCAGGTCTGCTCCCCAGTTGCTGGATTAGAAGCTCTGAGGGTTGGGTCTGATCAGGCTCTGTTGCCCTTGAGTCTGTCCCGTCCCAAAGCAAGTGAGGCTTGTTCAGTCACAGAGGACCTGTGTGCCACCTGTGTAGGCATCCGTTATTCTGCTCAGCAGCTGCTTAAGTTCGCATCCCTTTCTCTGTTGTATTTGTCCCAGATATAGTGCAAGGCTGTGGTGTGACATAGGCTGTGGCTGGCGGTCAGGGCATTGTGGATATAGGAACTGAGGTGGCTGTGCTTCCTCCTGAGATCTGGTCTGCCTCTGTAGCAGACCTCTCCCAAGACCTGCCTGCTCCACATCTACCACTAAGGTGTGGTGTGGAATTGGTGGAGCCAGGGCACTCTCACTGGGAGCCGAACCACCATGTATTCCTGAGCGTGCTGACAATGGCCTCCACGGCTCCACCCAGATCACACTCCAGGCCCTCTTGGTGGTCTCTGCGTAGCTAGATGGAGCCCTCTCCCAGGGCCTATGTGCTCGAAGTTCAGGGCCTAACCACTGCACACTCTTTTGATGCCACCCTATGTGCACGCTGACAGTACCCACCACAGCTCAACCCAGATCTCACCCCAGGCACCCTGGTCTGTCTCTGGGTAGCTAGATTAAGTCTTTGCCCAGAACCTACACCAGGCTATAGTGTGGAGTGAGTGGGGCTGGGGTACTTGCCCCTTTGGGTTGAGAAGTGACATGAGGTTCTCTTTGCCCTGATTGTTAGCAAGCCAGAATGTGTGTACTCCTTAAGGTAGAGTCTAGGCTTTTTCAGCCCTTCTGTCTGTCTCAGCAGATTTCCCAGCAGGCCAGGGCACTTGTCTCCTGTGCACAGGACCCAAGGACTGTGATGTCCAGGTTGGGCTTGACTTGCTTGCTCCCCAGGGTGAGGGTCCACCCATGTGGACCTTTTCTTCCTTACAGATCTCTCCCAGGGGCACAAGTCCTGACCCAGTGCCGTTTTCTTCCATCTCACCTGGTTATGTGGAGATCTGTCTCACAGCTTTGGTTGTATAGGAGTTTTTTCTGCCAGTTTCCAGTTAGTTTTCCATGAGAATTGTTCTATATGTATATGTATTTTTGATGTGTTTGCTGTGGGAGGTGAGTTCCACATTCTTCTATTCTGCCATCTTGGTTACCCTCCCCTGAATTATATTTCTAACAGATTGTTTTTTTTCCTTTCTTAGGTACCTCTTCAGAAGACTATCAGAAATGCCATAGGAAAGTGTAAGAACTAACATTTTAAAAGTTGTTGTGCTTTTAAAACTTTGTGTACTAATAGTTATATAGCAAGTATGATTGGTAACCCACAAATTCAGATGTTTGTTTATTCAATGTTTGTTGAGGACTCACTGTATACCAGAACTGTTCTGATTGCTGGAGGTATATTTGCTAACTGTCCATCTATCTGTCTATCCATCTAATAGCTGTAATGAACAAAATTGATTAAAAACAAAATCTCTGCCTTCTTTGAGTCCACATTCTAGTTGGAGGAGATGGACAATAAATAAATAAGCAAGTAAATTTATACCATGCTATATGGTAATGAATGCTATGGAGAAAAATAAAATAGGGGACTAGGGAGTATTGGGATAGAGATTTGCTCTTTTAAGTGGTGTGGTCCGAGACTCACCATTGAAAAGGCAGCATTTGAGCAGAGACCTAAAGAAGGAGACAGAGCAAGCTGTGTAACTCATTGGAGAAAAGAGCATTCCAGGTAGAGGGAATAGCTGGAGCCATGCCCTGAGGCAAGAAGGCCTGGGCTCCTGGTGTGAAGTGAGGGAGGAGGAGTGACGTAAGAGATAAAGTGAGAGAAGAAGCAAGAGGCCAGATCGTATAAGGCACTTTAGTCAAATATAAGTGAATTGGAAGGGCTTTGAAGGGTTTAGAAGGATGATATGATATGACTTATGTTTTAAAAGAATCATGCTAGCTGCTGTGTTGAGAATAGACTATGATGAGGCAAGGAATTAGGGAAATTATAGTTAGGAGACTACTGCCCTAATCTGGGCAAGAAATATTGGAGTATGGACCAGAGTGGCAAGAGGGGAGATAGTAAGAGGTAGGATTTTGGATATATTTTGAAAGCAGAACTAAGAGGATCCACTGAAGGACTGAGTGGTGAAGTATGAAAGTAGTCAAGGCTAACACCATGGTTTTGGCTTGAGCAACTGGAAGGATGGAGTTGCCATTTATTAAGATGGGGAAGACTGAGGAGAAACATATTACCAGGGGCAGATGAGTTTGGCTTAGGGCATGTAGACTGAAGGGTAAGGTATGTGAGAGAGACGTTCAAGGAGGTGGTCACATTCTGGATCATGAATACCTTAAGAGCTGGTATTTTTATTTTTTCCTGAATATGATGAGAGCCTATGAAAGATTTTCAGTAGGACTGAAAATATAATGATTTTTTTAAACACCTAATCTTCAAAGGTTGAAAGAACTTACACAAAATTCATACAAGTTTAAAAACAAAGTCAGGAGACGCCATCACGAAAGTGAAAAGACAGTATACACAATGGGAGAATATATTTGCAAATCATATATCTAATAAGGGAATTGTATGCAGAGTATGTAAAGAACTCTTACAACTCAACAATAAAAGGACAAATAACCTGATTTAAAAATGGACAAAGCATCTGAACAGGCATTTCTCCATAGAAGATAAACAAATGGCCAATAAGCACATGAAAAGATACTCACTATCATTATCCATTCGGGAAATGCAAATCAACTTCATTGAGATACCACTTCACACCCACTGGGATGGTTATAATCAAAGAGACAGATAACAAGTATTGTCTTGGATGTGGAGAAGTTGGAACTCTCATACATGGCTGATGAGAATTTTAAATAGCGAAGGTGCTTTGGAAAATAGTTTGGCAGCTCCTCCAAATGTGACCCAGCAATTCAGTCCTAGTTTTGCATACCTAAGAGAAATGAAAACTATGTGTACACAAAAACTTGTACATGAATGTTGACAGCAAGTTTATTCATAACAGCCAAAAAGTAGAAACAATCCAAATATCCATCTACTGATGAATAGATAAATAAAATATAGTATATCTGTAATGGGATGTTATTCAACAGCAAAAAGAAGTGAAATTCTGATATGCACTAAACATGGATGAACCCTGTAAATATTATGCTAACTGAAAGAAGCCAGTCGTACAAGACCACATATTTTACGGTTTCATTCATATAAGATAGCAAGAATAGACAAATCTATAGAGACAGAAAGCAGATTAATGATTGCCTAAGACTGGGGGGTTTGGGAAGAAATGAGCATTGACTGCTAGTGGGTACAGGGTTTCTTTTAGGGGTGATGAAAATGTTCTGAAAATTGACTGTGATGGTGGTTGCACAACTCTCTGAATATACTAAAAACCATTGAATTACACACTCTAAATTGGTAAATTATATGGTATGTGAATTATATCAGTAAATCTGTTAAAAAAGACAAAGTTAGGACCAAGGAAACCAAGGAGATATGATTTTTAATAGGCGATATAGATATAACCAGATTTTTTTTTTTACCAGAATTAAATGGTAGACAGTACAATATGGTCTTCTTTGATGAGGATCTATAGTATTGGTACTTTGTGTTGCTGAGTGTGTGGGGGCAAGGACTGATAAACTGCTGAGCAAAAATTTCTGTGGAATTTTTAATTACCCAACCAAAATTCTTGCCAATCATCCTACCTCTTCGCAAACATATGCATCATATTTCTGTCTCGTGCAATCACTCTTGCAGCAAAGAAGATGGATTAGGAGTGATTAGATTGAAGGGATGACTATTGTGGCATTCCAAGTGAGGCATGATTAGGACCTGAACTTTAGTGGCAAGGATTGCTTAGAAGGAAAACTTGAGAACAATTCAAGAGTGATAATCAACTGTTGTAATGATTGGACGGTTAAGAGAGGAAGATGGAGTCCATGATGACCCTCAGCCCTCTGACTTAGGAAACAGGATGAATGATGACTCATTCACTACGTGAAGGAACACAAATAGAAAAGCAAGAGTGAGTTGGAGTGACAGGTCTGGAAAACACTGAAATACCTACAGCACTTTGAAGTGGAGATATCTAGCAGACATTTGTATATCCCAGCCTGGAAAGCAAGGGAAAGGTTCTGGGCTGAAAGCATAGTTGTTCCCTTGGGAAAGTGTGTAGAGTGAGAAAAGAATAGTTTTAGTGTGATAGGCTCCTTATAGTTATGCTTGCATCTAAATGATGAGAAATTTCTGAAGAAAAGAAAATCAATGACTGTTATTCTTGGGTGAATTATTCTTCCTTGGTGAACAACAGCAAAAATTCTAAGGCTAAATTATTAAGAAAATATAGCTTTATTGACTTATTTTTTTAAATAACTGATCTAAACTTCTCATGGGCTTTGATTACCTTTCTCCCCTGTTTAGCAGGGAAATGATGAGTTAAAGTTATTAATGCCATCCAGTTACTTCCAGGTAAAAGTCTCTTTTGGGTAAAAGCTGAGTCTTTCATATCTTCTCCCACTCCATATTCCTGAGGATGATCATACCTCTTGATTTGCCTGGGACAGTCCCAGTGTGTGCCTGCTGTTCTCACATAATCTTTTATAGAGCTTCCTTTTACTCTCAGAAAGGTCCCAGTTTGGACAAATCGTCACCCTAAATATAGGTGTATAGGCCAGAGGTGGGGGAGGGGTGAAGTTGGGTCTTGAGGGTGTCTGGGATCCACAAGTTGTCTCTGAATTTTTACTGATTTGTGCTGCAGGTTTCAAGACTAGTTCGTACCTGGGCTGGACTCTACTGATAAAGTCATTGATGAACTTACAGCTGTATTTTGGGCCTGAAGTCCTCCGTTGCTGATTTTTCCTCACCTTAGCTTTTATTGCCGCCCCAAACCCCTTAAGTCTCATTGAAGTCCTCCATCCAGACTTTGACTTAGTTGCCTTTCTACAACCTTCGTGGTAAACTCACCTAGACACAACAGCCCTATGCCAGGTATTTTGGTTCTAAATTTGACCACCTTCTCTGCATTGCCTTTGGTATGTGGAACCTTGAGAACTAGTTTACAGTATACAGGAATTAAGGGACTCTTAGGAGGGCTGAGGCCTCCTCTCTGCCTGAGTATCCCAAGCTCTTATTTTTATGTTGAGTTTCCTCCTTGTGTGGATGTTTTCTCCTAGAGTTCTAAACAGGGAGTTTGGCACATGCCCTCTACTTTGGGCTTTCTCTTCACCTCTTCTAATGTCATCATCACACCTATTACCCCCACCTCCAGATTTTGGGCTTGAAGGAGAGAAGTCAGTCCCCATTGTCTAACTGCTTGTTTCCTAAGCCTGTGTCCCCTTTATCTTTCCAATAAACCTTTAGGCTGGAAGGCATAGAGGGGGGATCTATCTTAGGTCACATGAGTTCTTACAGTAAAACTCTGTAGTTCATGTAAAACTCTGTGGTTCTGTCTACAAGCCTTAATCTATATATGTTAATAGGACCTTGAGGAATGTAGCAGGATGTTAAATGTGCTTTCATGTAGTTTTAGAGTTTGGACAGTGACCTTAATAGATGAGAACAAAATAAAAATGACAATTACCCCATCCCCTATTCTGTGTAGAACCATCTATGTAGAATTTGTAATAGGTGAGATCAAAACCTAATTCTTTCAATATTAGACCATCACCAATCTCTAAGCTATTTTAAGAAAAGACAAAGAATGCACTGAGAGGATGAAATGATCAAGAATGTTTCTTTGATAAGAGTTATTGATGTCATATGCAAGGAGAGGAGAAAACTTCTCCCTCACCTCAACACAAGAGAGAAGCTTCCAGAGATCCATTTGGAAAGTTCAACGTATGTTCCCTGGAATTTGGCTTCTGACTCACACCTGGTAAAGCTAAAAGCAAGAAAGTCTGTTAGATGCTTTGGAATGGCTGATAAAGAGGACACTAGAAATACTTTCAGAGTTTGGCACAGCAAAGATTTGTGCATATTGCCCAGACGTCAGACATAGATCCCACAGAAGGGATCATCTTGAAAGGGATCATGCCAAATACGACTTCCTGGAAAGGACAAAATAAACTTGACTGAAAGAGACTGGAAATTTTACCATCAAATTGAAAAGCTGAGGACATCATAAAGAGCAAGTGAGACAGCCCCAGAGATAGGGAAATCTTATCACCGAACCCTTCAAAATACTTCAGGTTTGGGCTTCCCTGGTGGTGCAGTGGTTAAGAATCCGCCTGCCAATGCAGGGGACACAGGTTCAAGCCCTGGTCCGGGAAGATCCCCCATGCCGCGGAGCAACTAGGCCCGTGCGCCACAATTACTGAGCCCGCGCTCTAGAGCCTGCAAGCCACAACTACTGAAGCCTGCGCACCTAGAGCCCGTGCTCTGCAACAAGAGAAGCCACCGCAGTGAGAGGCCCACGCACCGCAACGAAGAGTGGCCCCCACTCGCTGCAACTAGAGAAAGCCCGTGCACAGCAACAAAGACCCAACGCAGTCAAAAATAAAATAAATAAATTTATTAAAAAAAAACTACTTCAGGTTTGAAAGAGTCAGCATTTGGTTATCTGTCATGCCCAAAGGGCACCAAGGACATATTAGAATAGTATCAGTTAAGAAAGACCTTTCCTACAGTTCTTTCCTGCTACTCCAATGCCAAAGGATCCTAAAGAGTAGTTAACAAATGGGGAAGGAAAAAGAGCAAGAAATAGAGGAAAAAAACAGCGATGGTTGCTTTCCTCACTGCAGGCTATGAGTCTAAATCAGACCTCAGTTGGGAGAAGGAAGAGGTTTAAGTTGGATAATAAGAGTTTAGTGTTGTGATATTATGCTGGGCTTTTTATTACCTAGAAATGTCTGTTGGGCTTCCCTGGTGGCGTAGTGGTTGAGAGTCCGCCTGCCGATGCAGGGGACATGGGTTCGTGCCCCGGTCCGGGAAGACCCCACATGCCGCGGAGCAGCTGGGCCTGTGAGCCATGGCCGCTGAGCCTGCGCGTCCGGAGCCTGTGCTCCGCAATGGGAGAGGCCACAACAGTGAGAGGCCCACGTACCGCAAAAAATAAATAAATAAAATAAAATAAAATAAAAATGACTATTTATAGGCCAGAGAATACCACAAAAGCAACAGAATACACCTGAAAGGGGCAAGAAAGTACTATTTTGACAGGATGAATTTATTTTTTTGTATCTGATTCCTTTTTCCAATATTTTTTATTGAAGTATAGTTTATTTACAATGCTGTGTTAATTTCTGCTGTGCAGCAAAGTGATTCCGTTATACATATATATACATTCTTTTTAAAATATTCTTTTCCATTATGGTTTATCATAGGATATTGAATATAGTTCTCTGTGCTATACAGTAGGACCTTGTTGTTTATAAATTCTATATATAAAAGCTTACATCTGCTAACTCCAACCTCCCACTCCATCCCTCCCCCAATCCTCTCCCCTTTGGCAACCACCAGTCTGTTCTCTATGTCTGTCATTCTGTTTCTGTTTCATAGATAGGTTCTTTTGTGTCATATTTTAGATTCCATGTATAAGTGATATAGTATGGTATTTGTCTTTCTCTTTCTTATTTCACTTAGTATGATAATCTCTAGTTGCATCCATGTTGCTGCAAATAGCATTATTTTGTTCTTTTTTATGACGGAATAGTATTCCATTGTATATATGTACCGCATCTTCTTTATTCATTCATCTACTGATGGACATTTAGGTTGTTTCCATGTCTTGGCTATTGTGAATAGTGCTACTATGAACATGGGGGTGTATGTGTCTTTCTGAATTATAGTGTTTTTTTTTTAACATCTTTATTGGGGTATAATTGCTTTACAATGGTGTGTTAGTTTCTGCTTTATAACAAAGTGAATCAGTTATACATATGTTCCCATATCTCTTCCCTCTTGCGTCTCCCTCCCTCCCACCCTCCCTATCCCATCCCTCCAGGTGGTCACAAAGCACCGAGCCGATATCCCTGTGCCATGCGGCTGCTTCCCACTAGCTATCTACCTTAACGTTTGTTAGTGTGTATATGTCCATGACTCTCTTTCGCCCTGTCACAGCTCACCCTTCCCCCTCCCCATATCCTCAAGTCCGTTCTCCAGTAGGTCTGTGTCTTTATTCCTGTCTTGCCCCTAGGTTCTTCATGACATTTTTTTTTCTTCTTAAATTCCATATATATGTGTTAGCATACGGTATTTGTCTTTTTCTTTCTGACTTACTTCACTCTGTATGACAGACTCTAGGTCTATCCACCTCATTACAAATAGCTCAATTTCGTTTCTTTTTATGGCTGAGTAATATTCCATTGTATATATGTGCCACATCTTCTTTATCCATTCATCCGATGATGGGCACTTAGGTTGTTTCCATTTCCAGGCTTGAATTATAGTTTTTAACAGGATGAATTTAAAGAGGAAATATGAAGGAATAAAATACTTTTTTGCGTACTGAGTTCAACTTTTCACCAAAGCAGTAATAGGAATTTAAAAATCATTTTCTCACATTCAGTTTTCAACTCCACTGTCTTGCTGGGGACTCAGAAATTCCACTTTGGTGGTCAAAGGCTGAGGTTTGATTCTTTTGTATTCCTCTTGTAATAGCTAATCCTCTTTTACACATTTCGATAAGATTGGGGGCAGTCTCATTTGTGAAAGTATAAAATAGAACAGAGTATTAATTTTTTTTAAGTATTATTTCTAATGTTACTTGAGATCCTTACCACAAGAATCCTGGAAAACAAGGGACGTCCCAGGTGGTCCAGTTGGTAAGACTCCACGCTCCCAATACAGGGGGCCCAGGTTCGATACCTAGTTGGGGAACTAGATCCCACATGTATGCCACAACTAAGAGTCATGCTGCAACTAAGAGTCGGCATGCCTCAACTAAGAAGTCCACATGCTGCAACTAAAAAAAAAGATCCTGCATTCACAAAGAACATCCTGCGTGCCACAACTAAAACCCAGCACAGCCAAAATAAATATTTTCTTTAAAAAGGTAATGAGGTATCATTTCTTAAAAAAAAAAAAAAAAGAATCCTGGAAAACAAGATTGCTATTCCTTTTCCATAAATGAGATAATCAAGACTCAAGACAGTTAAAGTAACTTTCCCAAGGCCACTGAAGTGTAAGTAGCAGAACTGAGCTTTAAATCAAGGTCTGTCTGATTCTAAATACTATGCTTTGTCCTCTACACATATTATCTCACACTGATGAACGTATAAGTATATTGCCCTTTATTATGAAACTATTTGTTCATATAAATATGTTAGCATTTTTTCTAACTAGCTTTATTTTTTCTATAGGATAATTGATTGCATTGAAATGTCTTTAAGTATTATTTGAGGATTCTCAAAAGTTACTGAAAGAGTAAAAGAATCCCATTAATTTGTTCTTATTCTAGCATGATGATGTTAGCAGACCAAAGTATTTCTCCAAAACCAAAGAGTACTGCAAGTTCAGAATCAGGTAATTAGTAATGAAACTAATCATTTTCATAATCCTCTATTTATTTTTAACATCTTTATTGGAGTATAATTGCTTTACAGTGTTGTGTTAGTTTCTGCTGTATAACAAACTGAATCAGCTATATGCATACATGTATTACCACATCCCCTCCCTCTTGCATCCCCCTCCCACCCTCCTTATCTGACCCCTCTAGGTAGTTGCAAAGCACTGAGCTGATCTCCTGGTGCCATGCAGCTGCTTCCCGGTAGCTATCTATGTTACCTTTGGTAGTGTATATATGTCAATGCTACTCTCTCACTTCGTCCCTGCTTACCCTTCCCCCTCCCCATTCCTCAAGTCCATTCTCTACGTCTGTGTCTTTATTCCTGTCCTGCCCCTAGGTTCATTAGAACCATTTTCTTTTAGATTCCATGTATATATGTTAGCATACACTATTTGTTTTTCTCTTTCTGACTTACTTCACTCTGTAGGACAGACTCTAGGTCCATCCACCTCACTACAAATAACTGAATTTCCTTTCTTTTTATGGCTGAGTAATATTCCATTGTATATATGTGCCACATCTTCTTTATCCATTCATCTATTGATGGACACTTAGGTTGCTTCCATGTCCTGGCTATTGTAAATACAGCTGCACTGAACATTGTGGTACATGACTCTGTCTGAATTATGGTTTTCTCAGGGTCCATGCCCAGTAGTGGGATTGCTGGGTCATGTGGTAGTTCTATTTTTAGCTTTTTAAGGAACCTCCATACTGTTCTCCATAGTGGCTGTATCAATTTACATTCTCACCAACAGTGCAACAGGGTTCCCTTTTCTCCACACCCTCTCCAGCATTTATTGTTTGTAGATTTTTGTTGATGGCCATTCTGACTGGTGTGAGGCGATACCTCATTGTAGTTTTGTTTTGCATTTCTCTAATGATTAGTGATGTTGAGCATCTTTTCATATGTTTGTTGGCAATCTGTATATCTGCTTTGGAGAAATGTCTGTTTAGGTCTTCTGCCCATTTTTGGGTTGGGTTGTTTGTTTTTTTGATATTGAGCAACATGAGCTGTTGTATATTTTGAGATTAATCCTTTGTCACTTGCTTCGTTTGCAAATATTTTCTCCCATCTGAGGGTTGCCTTTGAGTCATGTTTATGGTTTCCTTTAGTGTGCAAAAGCTTTGAAGTTTCATTAGGTCCCCTTTGTTTATTTTTGTTTTTATTTCCATTTCTCTACGAGGTGGGTCAAAAAGGATCTTGTTATGATTTATGTCATAGAATGTTCTGCCTATGTTTTCCTCTAAGAGTTTTAGAGTGGCCTTACATTTAGGTCTTTAATCCATTTGGAGTTTATTTTTGTGTATGGTGTTAGGGAGTGTTCTAATTTCATTCTTTTACATGCAGCTGTCCAGTTTTCCCAGCACCACTTATTGAAGAGGCTGTCTTTTCTCCATTGTATACTCATGCCTCGTTTATCAAACATAAGGTGATCGTATGTGCGTGGGTTTATCTCTGGGCTTTCTGTCCTCTTCCATTGATCTATATTTCTGTTTTTGTGCCAGTACCATATGGTCTTGATTACTGTAGCTTTGTAGTATAGTCTGAAGTCTGGGAGCCTGATTCGTCCAGCTCTGTTTTTTTTTTCTCAAGATTGTTTTGGCTATTTGGGGTCTTTTGTGTTTCCATACAAATTGTGCAATTTTTTGTTCTAGTTATGTGAAAAATGACATTGGTAGTTTGATAGGGATTGCACTGAATCTGTAGATTGCTTTGGGTAGTATAGACATTTTCACAATGTTGATTCTTCCAATCCAAGAATATGGTATATCTCTCCATTTGTTTGTATCATCTTTAATTTCCTTCATCAGTGTCTTATAGTTTTCTGCATACAGGTCTTTTGTCTCCTTAGGTAGGTTTATTCCTAGGTATTTTATTCTTTTTGTTGCAATGATAAATGGGAGTGTTTCAATAATTTATCAGATTTTTCATCATTAGCGTATAGGAATGCAAGTGATTTCTGTGCATTAATTTTGTATCCTGCTACTCTACCAAATTGATTGATTAGCTCTAGTACTTTTCTGGTAGCATCTTTAGGATTCTCTATGTGTAGTATCATGTTATCTGCAAACAGTGACAGTTTTACTTCTTCTTTTCCAATTTGGATTCCTTTTATTTCTTTTTCTTCTCTGATTGCTGTGACTAAAACTTCCAAAACTATGTTGAATAATAGTGGTGAGAGTGGGCAACCTTGTCTTGTTCCTGATCTTAGAGGAAATGGTTTCATTTTTTCATGATTGAGAACGATGTTGGCTGTGGGGTTGTCTTATACGGCCTTTATTATGTTTAGGTAGGTTCCCTCTATGCCTACTTTCTGGAGAGATTTTATCATAAATTCATGTTGAATTTTGTCAAAAGCTTTTTATGCATCTATTGAGATGATCATATGGTTTTTATCCTTCTGTTTGTTAATATGTTGTATCACAATGATTGATTGAAGAATCTTTGCATTCCTGGGATAAACCCCACTTATCATGGTGTATGATCCTTTTAATGTGCTGTTGGATTGTTTGCTAGTATTTTTTTGAGGATTTTTGCATCTAGGTTCATCAGTGATATTGGCCTGTAGTTTCTTTGTGACATCTTTGTCTGGTATTTTGTTTGTTTTTTTTGTTTTTTTCCAGTATGCGGGCCTCTCACTGTTGTGGCCTCTCCCGTTGTGGAGCACAGGCTCCGGATGTGCAGGCTCAGTGGCCATGGCCCACGGGCCCAGCCGCTCTGCTCATGTGGGATCTTCCCGGACCAGGGCACGAACCCGTGTCCCCTGCATCGGCAGGCAGACTCTCAACCACTGTGCCACCAGGGAAGCCCCTTTGTCTGGTTTTGGTATCAGGGTAAAGGTGGCCTTGTAGAATGAGTTTGGGAGTGTTCCTCCCTCTGCTATATTTTGGCAGAGTTTCAGAAGGATAGGTGTTAAGTCTTCTCTAAATGTTTGATAGAATTTGCCCGTGAAGCCATCTGGTCCTAGGCTTTTGTTTGTTGGAAGATTTTTAATCACAGTTTCAATTTCAGTGCTTGTGATTGGTCTGTTCATATTTTCTATTTCTTCCTGGCTCAGTCTCGAAAGGTTGTGCTTTTCTTAGAATTTGTCCATTTCTTCCAGGTTTCCATTTTATTGGCATATAGTTGCTTGTAGTAATCTCTCATGAGCCTTGGTATTTCTGCAGTCTCAGTTGTTACTTCTCCTTTTTCATTTCCAATTCTATTGATCTGAGTCTTCTCTCTTTTTTTCTTAGTGAGTCTAGCTAATGTTTTATCCATTTTGTTTATCTTGTTAAAGAACCAGGTTTTAGTTTTATTGATCTTTGCTGTTGTTACCTTCATTTATTTTTCATTTATTTCTGATCTGATTTTTATGATTTCTTTCCTTCTGCTAACTTTGGGGTTTTTTGGTTCTTCTTTCTCTAACTGCTTTAGGTGTAAGGTTAGGTTGTTTGAGATTTTTCTTTTTCTTGAGGTAGGATTGTATTACTATAAACTTCCCTCTTAGAATTGCTTTTGCTGCATCCCATAGGTTTTGGGTCATCCTGTTTTCATTGTCATTTGTTTCTAGGTATTTTTTGATTTCCTCTTTGATTTCTTCAGTGATCTCTTGTTTATTTAGTAGTGTATTGTTTAGCCTCCGTGTGTTTGTATTTTTTACAGGTATTTTCCTGTAATAGATATGTAGTCTCATAGTGTTGTGATCGGAAAAGATACTTGATACAATTTCAATTTTCTTAAATTTACCAAGGCTTGATTTGTGACCCAAGATATGATCTATCCTAGAGAATGTTCCATGAGCACTTGAGAAAAATGTGTATTCTGTTGTTTTTGGATGGAATGTCCTATAAATATCAATTACGTCCATCTTGTTTAATGTATCATTTAAAGCTTGTGTTTCCTTATTTATTTTCATTTTGGATGATCTGTCCATTGGTGAAAGTGGGGTGTTAAATCCCTACTATGATTGTGTTACTGTCGATTTCCCCTTTTATGGCTGTTAGTATTTCCCTTATGTATTGAGGTGCTCCTATGTTGGGTGCATAAATATTTACAATTGTTATATCTTCTTCTTGGATTGATCCCTTGATCATTATGTAGTGTCCTTCTTTGTCTCTTGTAATAGTCTTTATTTTAAGGTCTCTTGTGTCTGATATGAGAATTGCTACTCCTGCTTTCTTGTAATTTCCATTTGCATGGAACATCTTTTTCCATCCCCTCACTTTCAGTCTATATGTGTTCCTAGGTCTGAAGTGGGTCTCTTGTAGTCAGCATATATACGGGTCTTGTTTTTGTATCCATTCAGCCAGTCTATGTCTTTTGGTTGGAGCATTTAATCCATTTGCACTTAAGGTAATTATCAAAATGTATGTTCCTATTACCATTTTGTTAATTGCTTTGGGTTTGTTTTTGTAGGTCTTTTCCTTCTCTTGTGTTTCCCGCCTAGAGAAGTTCCTTCAGCATTTATTGTAAAGCTGGTTTGGTGGTGCTGAATTCTCTTAACTTTTGCTTATCTGTAAAGGTTTTAATTTCTCCGTCAAATCTGAATGAGATCCTTGCTGGGTAGAGTAATCTTGGTTGTATGTTTTTCCTTTTCATCACTTTAAATATGTCCTGCCACTCCCTTATAGCTTGCAGAGTTTCTGCTGAAAAATCGGCTATTAACCTTATGGGGATTCCCTTGTATGTTATTTGTTCCTTTTTCCTTGCTGCTTTTAATATTTTTACTTTCTACTTAATTTTTGATAGTTTGATTAATATGTGTCTTGGCGTGTTTCTCCTCGGATTTATCCTGTATGGGACTCTCTGCGCTTCCTGGAATTGATTAACTATTTCCATTCTCATGTTGGGAAGTTTTCAACTATAATCTCTTCAAATATTTTCTCAGATCCCTTTTTTTCTCTACTTTTTTGGGACCCCTATAATTCGAACGTTGGTGCATTTAATGTTGTCCCAGAGGTCTCTGAGACTGTCATCAATTCTTTTCATTCTTTTTTCTTTATTCTGCTCCCTGGCAGTTATTTCCACCATATTATCTTCCAGCTCACTTATCTGTTCTTCTGCCTTAGTTATTCTGTTATTGATTCCTTCTAGAGTATTTTTAATTTCACTAATTGTGTTCTTCATCACTATTTGTTTGCTCTTTAGTTCTTCTAGAGCCTTGTTAAGTGTTTCTTGTATTTTCTCCATTCTGTGTCTGAGATTTTGGATCATCTTTACTATCATTACTCTGAATTCTTTTTCAGGTAGGTTGCCTATTTCGCCTTCATTTATTTGGTCTTGTAGGTTTTTACCTTGCTTCTTTGTCTGTAACATATTTTTTTTGTTGCTTCATTTTTGTTTTTTTTTTTTTGATGTGTGGTGCTGTATTCCTGTCTTACTGGTTGTTTGGCCTGAGACATCCAGAACTGGAGTTTGCAGGCAGTTGGATAGAGCTGGGTCTTGGTGCTGAGATGAGGATCTCCAGGAGACCTCACTCTGATTGATATTCCCTGGGATCTGAAGTTTCTCTGTTAGTCCAGTGGTTTTGACTTGGAACTCCCACCACAGGAGCTTCAGCCTGACCTCCAGCTTGGGAACCAAGATCCCACAAGCTTTGTGGTGTGCTTAAAAAAAAAAATAAGAAGAAGAAAAAAAGGAGCAGTACAGTATCAAAGAATAAAAAAAAAATAAAATTAGAAAGATGAAAGATATATTAGGAAAAATAAAACTATAATTGAAACATCTGCAACAAGGTAAAATAAAACCACAACAGAAAAAAGAAAAAATAAGGGTGGGGTGGGGTGGGGGTACAAGCCAGAAGGAGAGATCACCAGTCGTTGGGGGTTCCTCCATCCCCTTAGGTGTCCGTGGTCCCCCATCGGTGCCTGCTAGGTGCCCTAGTTGTGAGGAGATGCGAATTTTGTTTCCTCCTAGTACACCATCTTGACCCTGACTCCCTCTATTCATTTTTGTCACAGTGCTGCAGTATATGTTAAGAAAACTGGTAGCCCAGGAAATTGAGTGCTTTTTAGTGTGGTTGTATTTAAGAAATGAAGATATGTGAGGTTAGGTCTTAACTATCCCCACAGCACCCATCATTAATTCATTTAATAAACATTTACTGAGTATGTATTCTGTACTAGGTATTACTATATATACCGATAGGGAGTGATGTATTTTCCCTGACCTTGTAAATTTCATCGTAGGAGAGGAAGATAATCAGTAAACAGATGCATTGGAGTTATGTGTGATGGTTGAAAAATAAAAGAATCAACAAAGTGCCTTGCATTTTTGGCCCTCTATTATTTAGTTTACTATTAGAATAAACATAGCAAGACCTTTACAACCTTATTGACATCTATTGTATTTCAGATTTCTATTTTCTTTATTTCCTGCAAGAAGTTTTATAGCATCTGTTTGGGGATAAATTGAAAGAATTGCTTGTTTTGCTCCTGATGGATATAAATGTTTGTATGAACTGAAAAAAAAGAGTTTTTTTGGTGTTGTCTTCACTTTAAGCGGTTGTCTTAATGAGCATTTAGAAAATGCCAGGTATTATGTTAGGACGTGTGGGTATAAAAATGCTTAAGATGGTTTCTGTTCTAAGGGAAATGAATCTAGTGATAAAAACTAAACTTGTAAAAGCACACATCCTTGGAAAGAGTAGCACCTACTACCTTGGAGGGTGAGCATTAGAAGGAAGATTTGCTTTATAGATCACAATTAAGGAACTTGTGAACAAGGGAAGAAAGATATGAAAGGGAAAGTTGGTAAGGGTATCAAAAACAATCATGATTTTACCTAGTTCTTGCCAGATTTTGGCTGTGGAAAATATTATTTATAAAGCCTGGTAGTAAGGCAGAATATTGATTCTGTAATTATGTATGCTTGTGTATTCTTACTTTTATGTGGTTGATTGACTTAAAATTTCAAATTAAATAAATTACATCTTACTCTAGAGTTATTTTTTACACATTCTTTAATTCAGCAAATCCAAGTTTGTTCCAGTTGTTTGTTAGGCTCTTTACTAAGTGTTAGGAAACCAAGAATTGGCTCTATTCCTGCCCTCAGGGGTTCATAGTCTAGTAATAGAAACAAACAAACAAGAAATTACTTCTCAGACATCTCCTGCTCAGTCTTCTTTGCAATCTTATCTACTGCTATTAGCTATTAAATGTGGGAGTTCTTAAAGGCTGATTCCTAGATTTTAATTTCTGTTCAGTCTACTCCCTGATATGTATAAGTGTTCTATAGAAGGCAGGGCTTCCAAATTTTCCATTCTAGACTCTCCTCTGAGGTAAGACCCTTATATGTAGCTGCCTTCTGGACATCTCCACTTGGATGTTTCAGAGACACCTTATCTCATCATTCGTTAATTTCACTCATTCAACGAATATTTATTAAGCACCTACAGTGTAACACAAACTGTTTTAGTTGCTGGGGAACATGACAAATTTCTTGCCCTAACAGAGTTTATGTTATAGTGGAGAAAGAAAGAAAATAAACAGATAAAAACAGATAAATACATATATCACAACATCAAAAATAAGAGTAATGAGGGAAAATAAAGAAGGGTAAAAACAGAGTGTGTGACTAGGGATGCTGTTTTAGACAGGCTAATCAGGATAGGCCTCTCTGAGGAGGTGACATTCGCACAGAGCTTGAATGAAGTGAGAGAGTGGGCCATGTGAAAATCTGGTGGCAGAGCATGCCAGGCATAAGGGCATCACAAGTGAAAAGTCCATGAGATGGGAATGTGTTTATCATGTTGGAAAAAGAGAAAAGAGGCTAGTGTGACTGGAGCAAGATGAGGAAATAAAAATGAATGGTTGAAATTGTAGTCGGTGAGCAAGTGGTATAATGTAGTCTCATATGCCATTGCAAAGATTAGGGATTTTTTTCTAAATGTGTTGATAAGTGCATCTTAGAGCAGAGGAATGACATGATCAGGTACATATTTTAGAATTATCACTCTGGCTACTATGTGGATAATAGACTAAGGGGTAAGAGTGGAAGCAAGGAAACCTTGTGAAATAAACTATTGCAATGGTCAGATAATGGTGTTTGAGACTAAAGTGATAGCAGTGGTCTGATTTGGAATATATTTTAAAGGCAGATGGGCCAGGATTTCCTGATTAGGTTGGTTGTTGGGTAAGAGAGAAAAGTCGAGAATGACTCTTAAATTATTGGTTTGAGCAACTAGATGAATGGTGGTATCATTTCTTGAGATAGGAACATCGTAGGGCAGAGCAAGTTAGGAGAATAATTAAGAGTCTTTGGTTTATGCATATTAAATTTGGTCTGTCAGCTCATGTACATAATGTTACATGAAAGAATGGAAACACAAACAGGTATATACTCATTTATTTTATATATATATATAAAGTTCAAGAACAGGCAAGACTTATTCTGGCTAACAGAAGTCAGAATAGTGGTAATCTTTAAAAAGGGGGTGCTGACTGGGAAAAAACATATAGGAAATTTCTGGGGTGTTGGAAATATTTTATGTCTTGATCTGGGTGATAATTATATGGACGAATACATGTAAATATAAGATTTGTTCCCATTACTGTACATATGGAGTACCTTAAGAAAATATTAAAACATTAAGAGGATTTTTAACCTTCAGCTGGAGATGTTGTGAAAGCAGTTTGTGACACAGAGTCCGGAGTTCAGGGCAGAGACTGGGGCTGCAGATAAATATCTAGAGTCAGGTATAGATGTTTTGAAGCTGTTAGAGTAGGTGAGTCACTTAGGAAGAGAAAAGAAATAGAAAAGAGACATGTAAAAGAATGTAAATGGAACACTTCAACATTTAGAAACAGCTGTAACAAAATTTTCCAAGAGATCAAATAAAACAAGGGTTGATGACTGAGAATTGTTACAACCAAGACCTAACCTAGTCTTCCTCCTCCAGTGTCCTCCATCTCAACAAATGTAGCTTAATAAACCAAAACATGGGATCATCCTCAACACCTCCCTGTTTGTCATTTCTGTCTCTAAGTACTACTTTTATCTTTTACAGAACTCTCATACCTACAGCTTCTCTCTACATTGGGAGATGAAGATGAGAGGAATGATTAGCCTCAAAGTTTACCAAATTTAGCAAATAAAGATAACACAATGCTCAGTGAAATTAGAATTCAGAAGCAAATAATTTTTTAATATAATTATGTCATGAACATTGCCTAGGCTGTACTCTTACACAGAAAATACTTAAACTAAAAAGAATTTGTAATTCATCTAAACTTCACATTTAAGTGGGCATCCTACGTTTAATCTCTGCAATGAGGCTGGAAATATGTAAGCAATACAGAGATTATAAAAATAGGATTTTGTATGCCAATTTAAGGAGCTTAAGTTTTAACTTGAGGGCAGTGGAAAGCCTTTAAAGAGTGTTAAGCAGATGATATTAGATTTGTATTTTAGGTATACAGTGTGGATAGTGGACTGCAGAAGGAGGTGATTTGAAAGGCTATTGGGATCTATGTAGCAGGAAAGGTTTTGGGGTACAGGTAAAGTTTTTGGTAAGATGAAAGAGGCCTGAGTATGTTTTAAGTGCTGGTAGGAAAGTTGGAGTAGAAAGGGAGAGACTGAAAATACAGGATAGTAGAAATGGAAGGATAATTAATGAAGAATTCTAATCACATGCAACTTTCTCTACTAATTGAAAGGTAAATCTTTTATATACAGTTTATTTACTCCTGTGAAACCTGGAGCTCTTGAGATAAAGGTATTTTTAAGAATTCTTTCTCCTTTCTGTAGCAAGTCAGGTTGTTCAACATACATTAAGTTTTTCTTCTAAAACTATTACAAAATCATAGTCATTAAAATCCATTTTTTCCTCAAATTTGAGTTCTCTTTTCTGTACTTAGAGTTAATGACAGGTTAAATAATGAAAATACTAAAGTATATTTTTATTATAGATAATGCATCTTGTGGAGTTTTACTTGCTGAGAAAAATTACCCTTCAACCCCTCAAAAAACAAAGAAAAAAGCAAGTATTGAAGCAGAATAACCTTATAAACCATAAATTTCATTAATATGGGACATACTATTTTCTTTTAAACAACACTTTTATAGGAATTATTTTTCAGCTATTTAAGCCAATAATGGAAAACATTTTTGGAGCTTAGCAATTAGATTGCATTATTGTTGCATGAATATATACTCTATATAAAGTTAATGAAAGAGGATTAAAACTTAAAAATTTTCCAATTTCCTTAAATTGGATGTCTATTAATAATTAATTTAAAGTGAAAATAACACATTTGCTTTGTAGCCAGAACAGTGTTCTATGCTAAGGAACTGAAAATCAGTACATTAGGCCTGGAATCTAGAGGTCTTTGGGGAGGAATTCAGACTTGATTATGTATATAACAGGAGCTATTATCTGAGTGGCTACTCAGAGTAAAGTATTATTATACTTTTCATTATATGTTTTTTATAGCATTCCTATCAGGTAAGTTTTTCATTTGTTTTATTTTTTAGCAATTTTATAACTGAGAAAAATGGGGTTTAGATATTAACCAATATGCTTGAGGAGCTTGTGACAAGTCTTTCTCAATCTAAAACCTGTACTTTTTCCACTGTACCGTATGGTCACTATATACTTTGGGGAGCAAATTGAAAGAGGGCAAGAGTGTCAGCAGGAAGATTCATTAATAGAAAGTTGCAAAGGTTTTTGGTGGGAGATGGTGATGGCTTTAACTAGGATGTTTTGTAGGAGAGATGGAATAATATGCGTGGATTAAAGATAATTTTGCCTATAGAGTTTATGGATTGGACATAGAGGATGAAAGAGTGAGAGGTGTCAATAAAGGCTTCTAGGTTTGTGTCTTAAGCAGCTTTGATGGATAAAGGTGCTAGATAATGTGATAGGAAAGGCAGGAGATCTGAAGGCACATAAAGATGAAAATGTTGGAAGGGCCATTGGCTGTAAGTTTCCAGGTCAGGAAAACAGAACAGGAGTATACAATATTATAGATATTTTAAAATTCATGGTAATGGGTGAAATCACCTGGGAAGGAGTATCTAGAGAGTAAGGAAGAAAAGGGGGTCCAGGATCAATTCTTGAAAAACTCTACAGTCACATGGAAAAGGAAAAGTGGGCAGAGAGAACGGGGAAAATAAACAGCATATGGTATCATAGAAGGTAAAGGAGGAGAGCTTTTGCTCCTTAAAGGGAGAGTGGCCAACTATGGTGAGTGCTGCTTGGAGGTCCAGTGTTATAAAGAATTGTGAAAAATTGGAGGACTTCCAGTTTCTGGTCCAACATGAAAGGAACTTAGAAGTCACTACTCTGTCCTAACAACAAGTAGAAACCTGAACAAACTGAAAAATAAGCAACTCTTTATAGATCTTTCGAAGAAGTAAGTAAGGTCACATGGTCAACTGCTACACCAAAATATGGAAAGACAGACAGGTGGATACATAGAATAATGACTTACCCAAGCAGAAACACATGAACAGAAACCTCCCTGTGAACCAGTGCTGGGGTGGGAAACCCAAAAGTGTGATTGATGAATTGCTAAAGGCTCAGTGTGGACAACTCTGAAAGTTAAAAACTCAAGAGGGACCCAGTCATCAGAGGAACCTCCACACTTTTGTGAGTTTTACCTCCAGAAACTCTACCAGATCCTCACAGTGAAAATCAGAGAAGAATACCCTCATGCTTCTGGTAGTGGAAAGGGAAAAGGAACCATTTTGAAATACATCAGAATATTCTGTTCTTCTTAACAAAGCCTGCCCTCAACAGAAAGTGTTTTACAATAGCCTAACTTGCTGGGGTTTTATCAGAGCCTAACCTACCTGGGGAGGGGAAGTACCTGATTCCAGCCAGCTCTCCCCTTCCAAGTGGAGGAAGGAAATTATTCAATTCCAGCTCCCTCGAGCCTTCCACATGGGCGAATGGAAGTACCCGATTACTACAAGATGGTCCTTTCTAGCCATCCTGTCTCAACTCAAGGGGGAAAAAACTGAGAAGAACTGGTGATGTTTGCAGTTCAGGGGCACAGGCTCAATAAAAGACTGAGACCTAATCATAGAACTGTAGAATGCTTCCCCATCCCTACAATTTATCAGTGCATCACTAAAGACGTATTCACCACAGTTGCTATTACCCAGTACATCATGTCCACATTTTAGCAAAAAATTACAAGCCATACTAAAGGGCAAAAACTACTGTTTAAAAAAGCTGATTAAGCATCAGAGCCAGAGTCAGATGTGGCAGTAGTGTTAGAATGATCAGACCAGAAATGTAAAATAACTATGATTAATGTGCTAAGGCAGTTATAGGAAAAAGTAGACAACATGCAATATAAGCAGAGAGATGGAAATTCTAAGAAATAATCAAAGGAGTGCTAGAAATCAAAAACACTATAGCAGGAATGAAGAATGCCTTTGAGGGACTCAGTAGTAGAATAGACACAGCTAAGGAAAGAATATCTGAGTCTGAGGACATGACAATAGAAACTTCCCAAACTGAAAAGCAAAGAGAAAAAAGGACTAAAAAAAAACAAAAAACTGTGGGACAACTACAAAAGGTGTGACATATACATAATTAGGATTCCAGATGGAAGGAAACAGAGAAAGGAACAGAAGCAACATTTGAAACAATAATGACTAAAAATTTTCCAAAATTAAAATGTCAGACATTAAACCACAGATCCAGGAAATTGAGAGAATACAAAGCAGGATAAATGCCCCCAAAACTACATATAGAAATATCAGATTTGAACATCAGAAAATCAAGCAAAGAAAATATCTTGAAAGAAGCCAGAAGGAAAAACACCTTACCTATAGAAGAGCAAAGATAAGATTTACAGACCTCTCCTCAGAAAACATTCAAGCAAGAAGAGAGTGAAGTGAAATATTTAAAGTATTGAGAGAAAACAACCACCAACTAGAATTCAGTACCCTGTGAAGTTATCCTTCAAAAGTGGAGGAGAAATACATACTTCCTCAGACAAACAAAAATTGAGGGAATTTGTTGCCAGTAGGCTTGCCTTGTAAGAACTATTTAAAGTTCTTCAGGAAGAAGGAAAATAACATGTCAGTATAGGTTTATCTATCTTAACAAATGTACCACTGTGGTGTAGTGTGTCAATAGTAGGGGAGGTTGTGCATGATTGGGGACAAAGGGGTATATGGGAACTCTGTACATTCAGCTGAGTTTTGCTGTGAACCTCAAACTGCTGTAAAATATGAAGTTTGTTAATTTTTTAAAAGTCAATTGCATTTAGGATCTAGAAGGAAATTGATGACTTTGGCAATAATAATTTTAGTGGACTAGTTAGGAAACTAGATTGGAATAGGTTAAAGAGTTATAGAAATTGAGAAAGTATAAAATATATAAATAAGCAAATTGGGACATAAACAATATAAAATGTGTGTGTGGAGGGGAAAGTAAATGTGTAAAACTTTTTAATGCAATTGAAGTTAATTTGTTTTCAGCTTAAAGTAGACTATTATAAGATGTATTATGAATGCCTTAGGTAATCAAAAAGCAAAAATCTGTGAGAGATACACAATGATAAAGAGAAAAGAATCAAAGCATACCACTAGGAAAAAACCCCATCAATTCACAAAGAAAGACAGCAATAGAGGAAGAAAGGAACAAAGGAACTATAAAATAATCAGAAAGCAATTAACAAAATGGTGATAGTCCTTACTATCAATAAGTCTGCACCTCTCAGTAATTATTCTAAATGTAAATGTTTTAAATTCTTCATTTAAAAGATATAGAGCAGCTAAATGAAAACAAAATGACTATATGCTGTCTACTAGAGACCCACTTAAGCTTTAAGGACACTAAGGCTGAAAGTGAAGGGATGGACAAAGTTATTCCATACAAAAAGAAACCCGAATAGAACAAGGGTAGCTATACTTATCTGAGACAAAATAGATTTTTAAGTCAAAAGCTGTAATAAGAGACAAAGAATGCCATTATATAGTGATAAAGGGGTCAGTTCATCAAGAGGATATAACAATTGTAAGTATATACTTACTGAATTTTGAAGCACTGAAGTATATTAAACAATTATTAACAGATCTAAAAGCAGAAATAGGCAGCAGTGCAATAAGAGTAAGGGACTTCAATACCTGGCTTTCAAAAATGGATAAATTATCCAGACTGAAAATCAGTGAGGAAATAATGGACTTGAACTACACTTCAGACTAAATGCACCTAACAGACATATACAGAACATTCCACCCAACAACGGTAGAATCCACATTCTTCTCAAGTGCACAGGAAACATGTTCCAGAATAGATCATACGTTCACAAAACAAGTCTTTAACAAACTTAATAAGATTGAAATTATATCAAGTATATTTTCTGACTGCAATGGTATAAAACTAAAAATCAACAATAAGAGCAAAGCTGGAAAACTCAAATATTTGGAAATTAAACAACATACTTATGAAAAACCGATGAGTCAAAGAATAAATCAAAAGAGCTATTAAAAATATCTTGAGGAGGGGCTTCCCTGGTGGTGCAGTGGTTGAGAGTCTGCCTGCTGGTGCAGGGGACATAGGTTTGAGCCCTGGTCTGGGAGGATCCCACATGCCGCGGAGCGGCTAGGCCCGTGAGCCACAACTACTGAGCCTGCACGTCTGGAACTTGTGCTCCACAACAAGAGAGGCTTTGATAGTGAGAGGCCCACGCACCGTGATGAAGAGTGGCCCCCGCTTGCCACAACTAGAGAAAGCCCTCGCATCGAAATGAAGACCCAACACAACAAAAATAAATTAATTAATTAAAAAAATATATCTTGAGGGCTTCCCTGGTGGCGCAGTCATTGAGAGTCCACCTGCCAATGCAGGGGACACGGGTTCGTGCCCCAGTCCAGGAAGATCCCACATGTTGCGGAGCGGCTAGGCCCATGAGCCATGGCCACTGAGCCTGCGCATCCGGAGCCTGTGCTCCGCAACGGGAGAGTCCACAACAGTGAGAGGCCCGCGTACCGCAAAAAAAAAAAAAAAAATCTTGAGAC